AACAAACCAGCTCTCAGCACTGCATTCCTGGTTATCTCTCTCAGCATTTGCTTTCTCTAGAGTCTTAAATCTTATCTCTGCAAGTCCTGGCCAAATCCTGTGCAGCTTGCTCACATATTGTTTGTTGTGTTGGTAGCCAGATTATCCGTGAGTCAAGCTGCCGGTGATGTCATTTGCTCTTTTGTTATCTCTGCCTCTGCGAAAGAGCCAGGTACAGTCCCACCAGCAAATTCTCTTGTTCTTGGTCCAGAATTATGGGCGATGCTTCCAGGAAATACCAAAGCCCTATCCCTTATATGGTGAGGCTGGATCACCTGTGTGACTCATCCACCTTTCCTTCTTCCCACCTTGACAGTTTGAAAAAAGGCTCTGAGAAGAACACAAGAGGTGCTGCCTTTTAGAGTTGATGTTATAAAGTCACTGCTTTTGAGGCTGTGGGCTCTGAGTCACCACAACTGATGAAGTCATATTGGTGCTCTTCCTCAGAACAAGCAAGCTCTTGTCCATTGCCCATGCTGGACCGCTCCTGTCTGGGCATTGCATTCCTTTCTGCTTTGCCACACATTTTTTTCTCCAAGTAAGGTCACAGGAGCTGCTGGGCCCGGATCGTTAGGAACCCCTGAACCGTTTGCTTTTGACAAATTAGACACAAGAGGTGTAGCCTGGAATTAATGGCTGAAATGAATCCATTATCCTCTTGTTCTGGAACCTGATTTCCCACGCCCTGACTCTGCTTCTCGTGGAAGAGCGTTCCCGTATTATTGATATTCCTACGCAATCTGAACTGATTTCACGACAATTAAAATCCAACACAAATAATTTGAGTGCAACAGAAATGTTGTTGGATGCATGGATGTTCCAGTGTGCAGGCATGACAGACCTCTCCTCCCTCTAATGGGCTCAGTAAATGTCATTTGTGAGGTGGCATTCAGCTGGAACTAGCTACTCGCACATTGGACCTCACCCGTGACTGTCATCAGGCTACATCTCTGCAGCTTACGTCAAATTTTACAGTACAGTTAGATGCAATAATTGCCATGATGTGGGGGAACCACACAAATCCCTTGAGCACAGCACTCTCCAGTACCCCAGGAAAACTCACACATAGTATTAGGTCACTGGAAGTGTCCTGCCTCTCAATGCAGAGATTCCACTCTTACCTTTCACCGCTAATTACCAGACCTTGGTACACTTACCAAATGTATTTCTGAAACGTCCTTATTGCACTGGCCATCCCAGCAGCAATTAACACCCATCAATTATATGTTAAAGATCATACCTCCTACAGTTGGAGTTTGGAAGTCAGTCTCATGGTATTTTACCAAGTCTTTGTGGGCACAGTGAATGGAATCAGCCTGTTTTGTTTCTTAATTAGAGAGTTTACTGCTTGAACTTGAGGGTTACTTAGTCCTTGAAAACCAGGAAGGAAAAGATAACAATGGGGGACATCATTATTACTATCTGTGATTGGTGAGAATCAGCAGTTCTCAGCCACAGAAGTATAATGGAATTGCTTTAGGGACATCCTGAGTAATTATGGGGGCAGTTCATGAGGCAGCAACTCCATAGAAGTCAAAGACTGAAAGAGTCCCTTCTAACCTCTATAAGCTCAACAACAGCACATCTGATCTACGACCGGATGGATCCTTTCGCAAGACAAAGCTTTTTGTTTCTCCAAAGTCACTCGGACTTCAGTGGAAGGAATTGCTTCCGAGAGTTATTAATTGAAATTCAATCACTTCGTCAGGGGATGAAATGAGACCATAATGCAATTAGGCAGTGGCTTAAAATGCTAACCAGATGAAAGGTCTCTATTGTCTCCTACTCTGTGTCATCCTTTTGAATTGAACCTACCAACTGAGAGCTTGGCTGAGACAATCTTGATCCATTTGGATTCTGTACTTTTTCACATAAAAAGGACTCATAGATGGGAGATGGAGACAAAAAAGCCAGGCCTCAGCCTCCAAACCTGTTTGCAGTTCCAGGATTTTGGCAGCCTATGCATTTGCTTCTCTTGTCATTGTCTGGGATTAACTTTCCTCATGCTGAGATGTAGCAGGCAGCCTCCTTTGAGGGCAGATGACTCTAGTCTGTCTGGGTGTTTGATGGATAAAACAATTACACCCAACACAGATACGTGGTCAAAACTACCTCCTTCCACAGTGGCTGAATGAATTGAGGCATCATGCAGAGATGCAACCGGTGGCCTGTTCTCTGGGCGGGTGATTTGGGTTTCCCAAGAACTTTTAATTCTTTAACACTTTCCAGAAGTTCTCTAAAGGCAACTCTAGGATGGAAGGTCACATGTTAAATCCTTGCATTTAACTGCCAGCAGTTCAGTGCACAAGAAGGATACTGCCCCCACTCTGGCCCCCAGCCTACTGTCAAACCACAAAACACGGCATTGCTGGAGCAATTAGGGCACCCGAATTTCTCCATACAGGAAGAACGTACGCCTCTATGTAATACCTCTTTCTCTCATCTGGATTAACACACCCACCCAGTGCAATTATTTCAGTAAGCAGACAGAACAACAATGATGGAAGCTTCCTTGCCTGAGGTATGCTGAGAACGCACAAGGCACACACTGCCTCTCCACCTGAAAGAAAGTGCTACGCCTTAAAGTAGCCAAACCCCAAATGCCTCCCAGACAATTCATGCTTTGCTTCTTCAAACCAGATGACCAAAATAAGGCCCCAAGTTCAAGTGGAAGATCACAGACTTCGTAGTGTGAGATGGCGAGCCCTGAAAGGAATGTGGAAATGGGGCCCAGCATGAAAGTCACCTGTGCTTCAATTTCTCTTGGCTTCCTGACCAATAGCTCCTGCCACTTCCCCAAGCTCTTTCGCCTTTCCATAGCACAGAAAACTTCCCGAAACAAAATCCTGCTTCGTTTTTCTTTTCTTTTGCTCAAACTGATCTTCCACTTTTCTTACTTTTGTACACTGCTTGCCATTGGTTGCACCTTCACCAAACTCAACCAATGGCTGCAGATAGCACAGGGGCTGTTACAGTGCCTAGATGAGAAGCAAAGGGTTGATTGACATGTTCATGCTGCTGGGATGGCCTCTTCCCTAAGAACTGAGGATCGCAGTGGTGTTTTCCAAAACTATTCGTTTATGAGTTGTATTGGCATTTATTAACTCCATAGAAATTGAGGCAAATGAGGCTATTATGACAGGAGCTGTAACCAAATAACGTTGGTGAGGAAACATACTTGTGTGTTTGCTGCAGGAAAAATGAACCGTGTGGATTTTAATTAGAATTAAAGTCTGTTAATGGTCAGATAAACTCTGCCAGTGCCTCTGCAGTGAACCATACAAGCTTTGATGTGTTTTTAAGCAGAAGCAAAACAAGTGCCTTCTTCAGAGCCCCCCTTCTTAATGTCCCGTGTGAACAACACAATGCCCAAGTTGTCCAACTCCCTAGTACGTCAGCAGTGGCGGCTGCGGGAGGCTTTGGTGAAGCCAGCAAAGAAGGCAGCCTCTCCATTTGAACACAATGCTCCTTCTGTGCAGCTGGAGGGAGAGAGGAGAGGGGGGCAACGAATGTGGTAATGAACAGCCTGGAGGCTGGGTGGTGAATCTCCACTCTGATGAAAGCAGACTTTTTTTTACTGTAGTCCAGGCCTTCAAGCGCAGCCTGCCCACAGTCACCTGGTCGTGTTTGGTGACTTGCAGGGGCTTGGGATAAAATGGAAAACAGCACCCTTGATTTGCTGCCTGCTTGGGTATGCTAAAACAGGGGCTTCTCACAACATCTAGCATGCCCCAATGCGTACCTGGTGGCTGTATTTGACTCAGAGAGTACTTAGCTAACCTGTATCAGTGTTAACATCTAAAGCACAGGACCTGCCCCAAAGAGGCATCATGTCTCTAAATATCAGTTGCTGGGAATCACGGGTGGGCAGAGTGCTGTTGTGCTCATATCCTGATTGCAGGCTTCCCAAAGGCATCTAGTTGGCCAATGTGAGAACAGGATGCTGGACTAGATGGGTCAATGGCCTGATCCAGCAGGCTCTTAGTTCTTTTCCAGTTCAAAAATTTATTGTTGTTAGCTGCTCTGAGCCCAGCTCCGGCTGGGGAGGGCGGGATATAAATAAAAATTTATTATTATTATTCCAGGGTACAGCTAGAACAGCTTGTGACCCAAGAGAGCTCCACCTCTCCTCCCCACTGCCCCCCTCCAACACTGCAAAGCATTCTGAGACTGCAAGCCACTTTCGCAGCATGACCTCTCTTAGCAGTCTGCTGCATTAAAAGAGAGAACTTTACCCAGCTTCAAGGTCACGCTAGCTCCCGATATAGTGTGTTCCCCACACTGAGTGTAGCTAAACAGTAAGCCTGAAACTTATGCACATTTAACTAGTGTGTATTCAGCTTTATGCGCAGGGTAAATATATATATATATATATATAGGGGAGAAAAGAGGGCACGGTTCCAGGAAAAATGAACTTGGCAATCCAGCCGGCCATTCAACCCAATGAGTTTTAACTATATGTGATTTTGGCTTACGTTGACCTGGAGGGAAGAATGAGTCAATGGGCCATGCGCAGTTAAAACAAAAAATGTCCCCGAGCATACTCAAGAGTTCATGCACCTCAGCACCACTGAGCAGCCACGATGTGAATCCCGGACGAACTTGACCCCCTTGACTCTTTTAATTCAACGTAGAAACCCACCGCACGGAGCACGTGTCCAACACACGCAGATTCGTGGGCGTGGTTAGAGCGGGCGACGCCGGCGGCGACGTGGGCGTGGCCCACGTGGAGCAACGCCTGAGCTCAAGCCGCGCAAGGAGGGGGGCGTGGCCAGCAGGAGCACGCCGGAGGACCGCAACGCGGAGGGAAGGGAGTGGGAGGAGTCTGAGGCGCGGCTCGATGCTGAGAGGGAGGGATGCTGCATAAAAGAATGAGAGGCGTGGCCAAGACAGGCGTATAGAAAAGAGAACGGGAGGAGAGGGCGTGGCTAAGAGACAGAAGGGGCGTGCTCAAGCTATAGGAAAGGGACTAGAGAAAAAAAGGAGGCGTTGCGGAGTGGGCGGGTCCTTCTCCGCGCAGTCCCCACCCCACCAGCCAACCCCAAGCCGCTCAGTGGCCGCCTTTTGGGTTAGTTAGCCGGCGAGCACTGCAGAGGCGGCAGCAGCATCGGCGGCGCCGGCGCATCTTCCTCTTCTTCTTCCCCCCTCCCCCCTATCGAGTCCATTTTCACCTCGGCGCGAGGAGGAAGCTGCGAGGATGGCCGTTTCGAACGTTCGGGCGTTTGAATTCCACGGCGGCGGCGGCCGTTACCGATCCAACGGCCGGATCCCAACGGCCGACGGCGAATAATTCAAACGATAAGAATGAAATAACTTCTGTTGTTTTTTTTTTTTAAATTTGCATATTAAAAATAATATCAGGGAAAGCGACCTCCCGTGTGGTAAGAGGAATAGATATATAGATATTTAAAAGAAACATTTTTTTACCTCAGTGAAGGATAAAGGGAGGGCGACGCCGCTTAAAATGATGCTCAACTCGATGCTGTTCGGCGAGATGGCGGCGAGGGCTTTCCCGGCGTCGGCGGGGCCGGCCTCCTCGTCGGGGGTCGGGGGCGAGATGGACGACGGCGTCGGCGGGGCCCCGCCGGTGACGGCGGCGCTGCGGAACGACCTGGGCTCCAACATCCACCTCCTGAAGGGGCTCAACGTGCGCTTCCGCTGCTTCCTGGCCAAGGTGCACGAGCTGGAGCGGCGGAACCGGCTGCTGGAGAAGCAGCTGCAGGCGCAGCAGCTGAGCGAGCGCGAGCGGCGCCTCCACTACAAGCGCTTCCCGAGGCACCAGGCCGTGCAGACGGACCCCGTGCCGCCCTCCATGCCCCCTTACGTGCCGTCCGCGGCGGCGGCGGCGGCGGCCGGGCCTCCTCCTCCTCACCCGCCTCCTCCGTCGTCGGCTTCATTCTCCTCGTTCCCGCCGGCATCGGCTCCCGCCTCGCAGCTGCCTCACTCGCACTCGCACCCGCCGTCGCACCACTCCTCCTCCTCCTCGCAGCAGCACTACAGCCGCTTGCCCGGCACCATCTGGAGCTACACGCAGGTGAGGCGGACGGGCGGAGGCGGCCTGGAGACCCTGCAAGGGCCCGGCGTCTCCTGGGTGCACCCGGACGGCGTCGGCGTCCAGATCGACACCATCACGCCCGAGATCCGCGCCCTCTACAACGTCCTGGCCAAAGTCAAGCGGGAGAGGGACGACTACAAGAGGAGGTGGGTGGAAGGCCGCCGCGGGAATGGGCTCGGCTTGGGGGGCGTGGGGGGGAGAGTGACACGTGGATATTGGGGGGTGGGGCGGGGGCGGAGAGGACCCCGACGCGCGAATTGGGAATCTTTGTGTGTATGGGATTGACACGTGAATCATGGGGTAGCTGCGGCACGTGAATGGCCTGTTTGTGGGTATGGAAATGACGCGTGGATTATGGGGTGAGTGGGACATGTTAGTGGTTTGTGGGGGGGAATAACACGTTAATTGTGTCTATGTATGGGAATGATATGTGTGGGAATGGTCTGTGCTTGTGTCGGAGTGGATTATTCAATCAGTGGAACATGTATGTGGTTGGGCTGTGGGGGATGACCTGTAAGTATTACAATAAAAAGATGAAAGATGAAAAAAATCTTTTTTAATAATTCCAGTGGCACCTTAAAGATCAACTAAATATAAGCTTTCAAGGTATGAGCTTTTGTGTGTAATACACACTTTGTCAGAATTTACACATGAAAGCTCATACCTTGAAATCTTATATTTAGTTGATCTTTAAGGTGCCACTGGAATTAATAAATAAGATTTTTTTCATTTTTCATCTTGTTATTATGGCAATGACAAATCAACAGGGCTATCCACCTGAATCTGTAAGTGTTATGTGTGTGAGAGGGGGATGACACGTGGATTATGGGAGAGGGTTGGGACATGAGGATTGTGGGACGTTGGTTGGAATAGGACTCATGATTTGGGGTGGGGGAGAGTGTCCTAAGCAGTCTTTCCTATGGGGAGCACTTGTGGCACCTGAGGAAACTGGGCACATATGGGAGAGAGAGTGGTGGTGTTAGTGGAGATATTTGGGCTATATCCCAGCTAAGTCTTAAGGGTAGACCCACCAAGATTAATGGATCTAAGGGTAGACCCACCTAAGATTAATGGATTTAGAAGAATTTAGAAACTGCCTAGAATTTGAAAATAAAATAAAATTAAGTGGCATAACAGTCTTTAAAACCCCCACTACTTTTCATCATTTAATCAGAAACAGAACTAGACACCCAAAACAGGGGCCAGTTTCATTGGAAAGCTCTGGCAAGTCTTCACAAGACATCTGAAGCAGCTGTTGGTTGTTGCTTTATGGATGCTAGTTAATCATGTCCATTAATTTCAGTGATTCTGCTATGGGTATGACCAGTGCTGCATACAATCTTTTACTGTATTTCTGACAGAGAGATGGGTAATTTGTAGCCCTTCAGATGTTGCTAGACCACAGCTATCAGGATCCCTGACTATTAGGCTTGCTGGCTGCTGGGAGGTGGAGTCCAGCAACATCTGGAGGGCAGAAGGTTGGCTAATATCCATCCTTTTACATTTCCATCTTATGATTTAGTTATACTTTGTATTAGGAAAAAAATTCATTTCCCTTTTATGTCTATTGGCTCACTCATTTACTTTTTGTATGATTGGAATTGATTGCATGGGTACATTTCCAGTAGATCAGAGATGGAAAATCTATGCCCTTCCAGATGTGGTGGAATTTCAGCTCCCATAGTCATGCCTAAACTCTGGCCATGTTGGCTGGGACTGATGGAAGTTGGAATCCAACAGCATCTAGAGGACCACACGGGTTCCACATCACTCATAAGCTCCACTTAAGGCATTTTCTGTAGTATGAAAACTCAACAGAACTTCAAAAACATAAAGCAGCAACATTAACAATCATTTAAAAATATAGGCCACCTAAAGCAGTATTATAAAGTTCCTGTACTCATAGAAAACCTATCCATCTTAAAATAGCTCTCTCTCTTGTTAAAGAGAAGGCCACATAAAGTAAATGGGGTTTTAACTCTCAAAGGTTCTTTTTAAAGGGATGTTTGTTTGCAGTTCTAGTATAATGTCAGCTGGATGGATGGAGTTTAGGAAGAAACGGCTCCTTTGGCCTTCCTAAACAATTGTAGTTCATCCGGAAGGTTAATTTCATCTCTATTATTAGAAGCACAATTCTATGCACGTTTACTCAGAACTAAGTCCTGCTGTATGTTGGGGCTTATTCTTGGGTAAGTGCATAGGATTGGGGCTTTGATATAGTCAACCTTTCCTTTGGTACATTTATAGTGAAAGTAGTAGAGGGCCTCTTGCCACCCCCACCCCCCATCAATGGATCTAGCTCTCTGGAGTCTTTGGAGGGGGTTTGGATAGTAGATTTCTTTCTTTACTTAGCTTCCTACTCTGCCTTTCCTCTGATAGGCCCAAGACTGTTTAGCAAATTAGCATTGGATGGGTTTAGGTGGTGGTGGGGATAATGATAGAAAGAATATTAACCTTCCTTTTCCCCTGCCCCCATCTGTCCCAGACATTTGGAAGCTTTTTTGCAGGGGGAGAAGGGCTCAAGGTGAAATGCAGTGGAGGAGAAATGAGAGAAGAAGAGAGATGGATGGATGGAAGAGGGATAGAAATATACAGCTGGGGAATGGAATGAATGAAACTGAAGGGGTGAATAAGAATGGGAGTAGAGGCATGTGGAGAAGAGGAAGTGAAGAAAGGGAAACACTGAGTAAGAAGGGGAGGAGAAAATGGCTGGAGGATGACAGAGGAAGTGAAGATACTGGAAGGATAGTGGGAATTGGGGAAGAGAGAGAAATAAGTCAGGGATGAAAGATTGTAGTGTAGGAGAGAAGAAGTGGGGGGTGGAGAGCAGGGCAGTAGGGGCATGGGGATGAATGAAAAGGGGGGAGGGAATAGAGACTGTTAGGAATGCATGGGGGAAGGGAGAGGACTGAAATATGCTGGAAAGGAGTACACAAATAGAGTAGGGAGGCCAGCTTGGAATGGAGCAGAAAGAGGGGGTGGTAAAGAAAGAAAAGGACATTGAAATAAAGGTACAGTCGCAAAGATTGCCAGAAGTTCACTTAGTCTATTTCTGTCTTAAGACTGAGCCACCAGATGTTTCTGGATAACTTCAACCCATTGTCTATCCCAGTACCTGATATTCAGAAGAATGTTTGCAGAGTAGGAATTGGATATTCAAATTAATAAATAAGGATTTCTGGGGAGAGAGATGAGGAAATCTGCAATTGGGGAAGAGGATAAATAAGGGGGAGGGGAAGATATGCCACTATCAGGCAATTACAAAATTTGGGATGGGGGCAGGAGTAAGAGAGAGCAGGATAAAGTAATAAATAGTACATCAGTTCTTACTCTCCAGAGCTCAAAGAGTTAGGCAAAGATTCACTGTTTACCATAGATAACAGTGAAGGGGGGAATCCTGGTCCTTCTGGCAGAAAGTCATATTTATAATGCAGTGCTTAAAGACTTATCCTTGTCAGGGCTTTGTGTTTCTTAGCTTATCTTGGTAGAGTTGAGGGGTATGGGGAGAGTTGATAATGGGCTGGAGGGGAGGGGGTTTGATACAGACATAGAATGAGGGCCTCTGAGATGACAGATGGCAGCCGGGATTTTGGTATGTAAATCTCAACTCCTTCCCAACCCAGTAGGAAGTGGGGGCAGCACATCAGGTGGGGGAAGGGGATCGAAAGGGGGAGATGATGAACATGGGCGGGAACAGCACTTCCCATTCCACCCACGCACATGCCAATAGAGCAGGAAGTGAGTTCTTGGGGGAACTGGAGAGGGAGGGTGTGAGTTTGAATAAAGTGAGATAAAAAAGGAAGTGGTTGTTTGAATACAATTTTTACCTTCTTCCTTTAGGACAAGAGAGTGGTGACAGATGGGCCCTGGGGTAGACTTCATGATGATAAGTGAGATGAGGGATGGGATGAGGTGCTGTATTTCACATGAATAAGGCAAAACAGTTGGCTGATTAGTTCAGTGGGCTCCCTAGTTGTGGAAGAAATAGACAGTATAAAGTCTGAGACGGATGGAGGATGAAGAGGAGTGAAGGGGATTGTGAAGTGGCTTCATGGGGAGCATATGGTGGTTCTGTGCAGAGCAGGATGCAGTGTCAAATTTAAACACTGTGATGCTGCATGCTCTAGTGCAGAGTGGGAATTGAGTTTATGACCCTTGACAGAGGAGTAATTTTCATAAGGTGGGTACTTTGCATGATGTTTCAATTAGGGCACTGGAAAAGGCCTATGTTCGGTACAAGATGGCAGCATGAATGGTTAGGGAATCTCTCTGTGCAGTACTGGTTTTCTGACTGTCACTGTAGGAAAAGGTGGGAGGGTGGAGAGAGAGAGAGAGAGAGAACTGCAGCAGGAGATGAAATGAGTGCTTTAGGTTATGGGATAGAGGGTAAAGGTGATGCCCTGCCTGTTGAGCTGAGCGGCTGCAATGTCACCTCAATAAAAATTGGATAATGCGTACCTGTGTCCTCATGTCAAAGAAAGAAGGAGTTAAAATTATTTGTAAGATGACACACCATAGAATTAGGGTTTGGGTTGTAGAAAAGGAAATATATACAAAAGACTCTCTGCCTAATCTACTCAAGGGAAAAGATGAAATCGAGCAAATTGAGTATTTCTTTGAACTCTGGTAGTCAGGGTTGTGGGTGGGTTCCTGCCCGATTAGGAAGATACCTCTGGCAAGGACATTATAGAGACATCTGCTTTTTTGCTCTGTGTTTACAATTTGGTAGCAAAAGCTGGTTGGGGATTTCTCCTTGATGAGCCTGCTTTTTGGCTCCTGTGAATGAGCTCAGTGGTGCAGTATTTAGACTGAGAACACTGCAGAGGAAGGGATTGCATCCAAACAAAGCTGTTTGAATATAATGCTTGCCTTAAAAAAAGAAAAAATCACCTGTGCAGTCTCATTTCCTATAAACTCAAAGTAGATTTGAGCATATTGAGTTGCCTCTTTAGTATGCTGACTTTCTCCCCTGTTATATGGTATGTGTGTTGTGTAGGTGTAAATAGGAATGTAGGAAGATGGCTATTTGAATAGGTAACTGCCTTGAGAAAGCTGCAGGATGCAACCTTCCTTAAGCTAGACCTTCTGTTGCCTTTATAAACTGGGCGTAAGCATTCTCTTTTTAATTGGTAGACACCCACTCTTTTTTAGGGCCCGGCTATTCTGCCTGTCCTTATCGTCATACTTCATGTTGGACTGGAATTTTCCTCATAATACTTTTGAAATATTCTGTAGATATAATGTAATCATGACTTTAAAAATTGAGAAGGAAATGTTATGGTCAGTCTTGGCTCCCACTTCCACACTGTATTGTTTCTAGGTACAGTCAGCAAACAGGCTTCCTCTTGGTCCCTGTTCTGTATATTTCATATGAAATTTACTCTATAATGTGGAGTAATTGTGGCATACATTACCTTTAAAAGTTGGCTGGAACTCTTAACTCTATCAAATACTTTTAAGATACATTAATGCTGAGTTTAGAAAAGAATGAATATTTGAAGATGTTGACCTTTGGGTTTGTAAACAGCAATAAAAACATTTTTGTCATTATTAAGGCTTTTATTTATAGATGATAACAAAATAATTAAAAAGAACATAACAATCTTTTCTGTTTTTTGTTATTTTAAGGGCTCAGTCTCCAGCACTATTTTTAAAAATAACGCTCATAGTTTTTTCTACTTTTAAAGAAACTGTCCTTGCTCTTTATGCTCTGACTCTTTATTTTGAAGTTGCTTACCCAAGTCTTGTTTGGGTATTTAAACTCTTTACTGTTATTATGCAAAGCAGATGGCATTGTAAATGTATGTTATTTATTCATGGTTTTGGTAGCTTACTGTGGATGTTCTAAAAGGTATTGCAACACATAAGTGATCCTGATGGTGCTGTTGTGGGTAAGAGCCCATGGAAATGTCATAAGGCGGTACAGCATATATTGGCTGTCTGTTTACAGCAGAACAAATAATCTAACATAGGACTGTTTCTGAAGCTGGTCCTACTCTGAGTAAACCCATTGAAGTTGATAGAAATGCCCTACTAAGCTCCATTAGTTTCAGTGGATCTTCTCTGAGTAGAACTTACTGGATACAACCCAAAAAGTGAAAAGTCCTGAATTTCCTCTGTCGTCAATTGGAGGATTCAACTGTAGATACAATTGCTGGCGCTCCCCTCCCCCTGGTGTGTAATTCTATAAGCTGTATATGGTCCCTCTTTTAAGTAGCAAATTCACAGAGGTTTGTTACCGATCACTTCTCTTAAAACATTTTAATTACATTTTTATTGTGTTCTTTCTCCATGGCACTAAGGGCAGTGTGTGCGCCCTCTTTTGTTCACAGCAACCCTGTGGACTAGGCTAGGCTAAGAGATGGTGAGTTTCATGCCTGAGTGGAGGCTGAATATGGGTCAACACTATTATTATTATTATTAGTAGTAGTAGTAGTAGTAGTAGTAGGACCACCCTGCCCGACTGACTGGGTTGCCCTAGGCTACTCCAGTGGTGGGTAAGGCTACCCCTAGGCTACCCCTCAGTGGTGGGTAAGAATGATCATCAGACACTGAATTTTTAAAAATGTGCTAGAGAAATAATTCCTTCTCTTCCCTCCCTTCTTCAGTGTGTATGTGGGTGTCCACAGGATACACAGTTTTTGTGGACTCACTTTGCATTGCTGGCTGCTTGTGTGCGTTTGGGCATAAGGAAACATGGCTGGCATGGTATTAGGGGATAGGAGAGCAATAAACTCATTGTAACTCAAGGCCCAGAACAAATACATGGATATTACAATAATTTATTTCTGTGGGAAGTCTGACATCCCACTCTAATCTAAGACTTCAGTTGTTTTAAGTGAAAAACCACTGAAATCTCAAAGAGAATGTATGAGTTCAGGTTCATAGTTGTTGGTTTTTTAAGCAGAAGTTGACAAGTGAGAATACAAGTTATTATTGTAACTTGTATCCTCCCATTTTCTTGTTCCTGCAAAATAGTATCCTCCACAAATAAATCCATGAGTGGCACACTGATACATGAAATTTGTAAATGAGGCTATGGTGGATTAAGAATCTATGTGACTGCAGTTCTCAACTGAAAAAGGAGAAATAAAGGCATTACAGTCTTTGCAAGTGGTTTGAAGGAAAACTGGCATCCCAATCCATACACATGTGCAACTGATCCAGGGAACCAGTCCTGTAATCACACTTGGTTGTCAGCTGGTGTATGCATGTTTACTCATAAGTAAGCCAGTTGAAACTTGCTTAGGATTGCAGCTCTTGGTCCACATTAGGTTTTTTGCTGTGGTATCTACTAACTTGTAGAAGAACCATTAGCTGATCTGTTTTTCATCGGCTTCATATCATAAAGATTGTACTGACTGTATGGTGTTAGGAATACCATGTGCTTTGAACAAAAGGCAAATAAGACATTTCTTGGACCAGGTAGTTAGCTTAAACTTTCATGTTTTTGGTTCAGAGTAATGCTCTGTGAGGTCTAATAGTAAAAATAAAAAACCCACACTCCCCCCATATTACTATCATCTCACGACTTGTTTTCTTTCTTTTTGATGCTTATGACAAAGGTCCATACTTGCTCTAAAATCTGATATTTATTTTTTGCATTACAAAAGTCAGTCTTCGCTCAGACTTCTTGTTTCTATCGTGGCATTTGGTCTGAAATGTTTAGGGTGTGTCTGTTTAAAGATGCTTAGATTTTTATCTCTGGTGGTGCAGTATATGTTGATAAATATTGCAATAAGATCTTGGTGTGTGGTTTGAATTAATAACTCTGTGTGGCCAGCTAAAGACTGCCTAGTTAGTGAAAATCCCTCATAGAGTCTTCAGTATTCTCATTTCTGAAGAGGTCTTTTCTTTGCAGAAAGCCTATTGATCAGTCTGTCTGGAACTTTAGTTCCAGCACTTGAATGGATTTGTATATTATGGTTCCAAAATTGTCTTTAATTGGTCCAGACATTGAGTGTTTATCAGGCAGTTGGGTCCTCTTGTGACTGTGGAGAGAAAACTAACTTGTTAATATTGGTTGAGCTGGAAATAATTGCTTTTCCTCAGGTTGCACTTTGATTTGGCAGATTAATAAAGTCCAGTTGAGGATAGGGATTATTCCAAATTTTCTGCAGCTGGGGAGGGGAAAGGTTATCATTGCCAAAGGGAAAGCGTGACAAAACTAACAAACTTTTGTTTTCCAAATCTAAGGAACTTAAGCACATTTTTATTAAAAGCAATCTGTGAGGAATGTCTAAATCAACTTTTAAGTTAAAATATCACTGTAACAAGATGCAAATGTTATACTAGCAAAGGCCAATCAAAAACAAATGATTTTTGATATGGGAAGGAATTCCAGTGAAATTATAATTCTCTTCTGACCATGTTCCTTGTGCTACCTTGCTATGGCTTTATTGCATTTCTGATGTTTTTTGGTGTGGGTTTTTCTTAATGAGAAAATGTCTAATCACTATAGTTTCCAAGAGTTCTTTTTTGTTTTCTTTTTCATTAGGAGTTTGTACTAATGAATAGCTTTGATGCAGAAAGTTGGTATTGCCAACTGATTTGTGTCAGTTTTTAAATGCAGGGCAGAGCCAATTCTAAAGTTTTAAGTGCAAGTTTCCTAACAGTAGAGCTATAAATACCACAATCTTGGATGCATTTTGTTTTTTTCACTGGGAATCTCCGCACACGTGTGTGCCAGCCATTTTGCTGGTATACACACGATTCTATCTTTCAAGAAACTTTGAATTATTAAGGTGATATCCAGTGCAAGTAATCAAAGTAGACCCATTGAAATCAATGGACTTAATTTCAGTGGGAATATTGTTGGCTGTTACCCATAGCATTTTTATATTTAAGATACATCCTGATTTAGAGATGGGAAGGGGGAGCAAATGCAGTGAATACGGGCCTTTAAAATGAGGTAGCTCTTTCTTCTCATTTGGTTGTGGTATTTCCATCACAATGCTAGGTGAGCTGCTGCCTTGTGAGCCATAGGCTAAGGCTTAAATACTGAAGCTGAATCAATAGAATTGAGAATAAATGGGCAATAAATCTCATGCCGTAAAACTGCTTCTGATAATTCTTTGGCTGTTTTCACTGAGTCAGTCTAATTTCTCCTTATCTAACATTCTTGTGCTTATCTCTGCTAGGGTTGTAATCAGAAGTCACAAACGTATTGCTGTTAATTATGTGAAAGTGTGTTGAGGTGATCACCAAGGCCAGCTTTCCTCAGCCTTTTGCTCTCCTGGTGTTTTGAACTACAGCTCACATCAGTTCTAACCAGCATGGCCAGTGGTTAGAGTTGATGGGGGTTGTAGTTCAAAACATCTGGAGGGAATTAGTTTGGAGAAGGCTAAGCAAGACTCTCTAAGGGTTATGAAAAAAATCGTGCCACTTAACCATGTAGATAAGATTTGGGGTTGTATCCAGAATTCACCATACTCTGAGTAGATTCATGGAAAATAATGGACATTCCCACTGATTTCAGTGAGTCTTCTCTGACTTTGTTGTTGGCATCCGTCTGTTTTGGGAGACAATGGAGTGGAATTGGAACTGTTGGAGCAGGCTTCCTCAACCTCGGCCTTCCAGATGTTTTTTGGCCTACAACTCCCATGATCCCTAGCTAGCAGGACCAGTGGTCATGGATGATGGGAATTGTAGTCTCAAAACATCTGGAGGGCCGAGGTTGAGGAAGCCTGTGTTGGCGGGTCGCAGTGCCTGCTGTGTCTGTAGAAACTGATGCGGGAGAGACATGTTTTGTTGCAGATTAAGGCATCTGGTTGCGCTGCTGCAGAATTTAGCTAAATAAAAAGCTTGGTTTTTCTCCCCCATACAAAATCCTCATAATACATACTAGTTAGTAGTTTAAGCTTTCATGGAGCCTTTACATTCTTGAAGTGTCTGGTGTATCTTGCCATTTGAGTGTTTTGACCACTAATCTTCTAGGAAGTTCTACTTTATATTTCCTTTTCTTTTAAGTAGCTCTGCAGCACCAGCCTCTTAAATCCAGTTCAAATAGTATCTGAAGACATGAGCAGGGACGACTTGGGTGAAAATAGAAACCTAGACACAAGATATTTCTAGCTCTTCATTATGTGTAATCATAGGCTTAAATGGCTGTAGAAAGCAGTCCAAGTGCTGGACTGTCTGTAGCTAAAGTAAGAATGAGGCTGATGTAAAGCTCAGCAGCTGCTTTTTTAAAAAACTGCAGTTCAGGCTTTGTGGGGACACTGCCAGGATTTTGCCTTTTGACTCCTGTGCAGCTTTTATTTTTCCCCAGGGCTGTTGACTAATCTTAGGGCTGTGCTTTTAAAAGTTGAGAATGTGAAGATTTGTAATTTGGATTGTGTTTAATATATGGCAAAGCTACAGATCTGTGAAAAGGAATGAAGATGGCTGTTGCCATTGCTTAAAATCTGAATGCAAGACTTTTTGAAAAATGATCAATATTTTTGTATTTTTCCATAGGATCTAGTGTAGAGTGCTCCATCAAACATTTTTCTAGTGTGGATAGCTGCCCAGCCAGTAAATAAAATCAAGAATATTTTAATGCTCTTGAAAGGTTTGACTCATTGGCCACACAACCAGTAGAGCTCAATGTTATGCTTCAGTGCTTAAATAAAACTCTGGCTATAACAGGTTTCAGCTTTCTTTTGTCTTCAGTTGCCTTACTAAAGTCCTGCTGAGTGCTGTTTCCACTAGCCTAGTTTCCATTGCTGTTTTTCAACCTCTCAGTGTTTGAAATGTGTGTGCAGGTAGATCTGCAGCATAGTAATGTACCAACTGTTTCTTAGGTTCTGTTAATGGCAGATGGATGCTGGCTTCTAGAGGCTTTTTCCCCTGTCAGAAGATCTACGAGCTGTACCACCAACCTGGAAGAAATATAGAAGTGTTTCTTTATTATGATTCATATCTTTATTTCCTTGATCCTCATTGAGCACAAAATTATTTAGATATCAAAGGCTGCAATCTTATACACGATTACCTGGAAGTAAGTCCTATTCAACACAGTAGGATTTGATTCTGAGTAAGCAAATGTGTGATTGCACTGTAAATATTGAGGTGTGGGGATGTAAATATATATCGTTTCTTCTGTCTAAAGTGATGGTGATCCAGAAGAGGGATATGTGCATGCTCTGGAGAGAATAGCACATACAACCAGTCAATGCTATGGAGTTCAGGTTCCAAGGACCGAGTGACCAGTCACTCAAACCTTACAGCAGCTTGTCTCCGGTATTGGAACTGCTGAAATGAAATAAAGATGTGAAGTCCCAATTCCACATGTTTTGATGGGTGAATGGGTAGATTTTTCAGTCTCTTGCAGCCTTGTGGCACCTTAAGCACATTTCTTTGGATCCTGACCACAAAATGCTCAGCAAAATCCAGCAACTGGCAAGCTTTATCCTCCATAGTCCCTCACTTGACTGTTTTTCTTCATTTTAAAGTATGTGAGAAGACTTCCATTTTAATCTCAGAGGAGAAGAATAATTCTATGCCATTGATGTAGTTGTTTCATCTACAGCCTATTACATCAGCCCCATCCCTAAATCTCCTTTGCAAACAAGAACGTTAGAGCAGCAGAGAGAATGGTATTCTGTCTCCATTAATGATGTGCTTTGCTTGTTAATAACACAGATCTGCACTCTGCTTGTGTTATTGTGTGAAACTGAATCATAGATGGTGCATTTTAAGTATGGGCATGTCTGGCAAAGGGTAATCTGCACTCATGTGGCAAATATTCATTCACTGGCTGCTGTAATCCTGCCAGGATTCACATAGTCTGCTTTATCCAGCCATAATTACTTGGAATACAATATTAACCCACACTAGTGATAGAAATGTAATCTTATCTTGAATGTTTCTTAGTATTTTTTCCTTTGAAAAGTCGCTCAGAATCAGCTACCACAGTTCAGGAGCAAAGCTCAGAGATATAATGTTGATATAATATTCCTCTTGCCTTCATATTGGAAGTCTATGGTTCGTTGGAAATGAACATCAATGTATAGGGCTGTGCTGTAAGTTTATTTAATGTCTAAAACTGTGTGAACGAAATAATAATTTATATGTGTTCAATAATTGTCATGAGGGGCAGAAAAATTATTAGCTACTAGGACTGCACACGTAGATGAATTTAGATGTAGGCTTAGAGGGAGACATTGGAGTGGGTATATTGTTATATAGATGCTGCAAATGATAGGCTGGAATAACTGTTGTGCACCACAAATGCTCTTTTTATAATATTTTGTGAAGGGTTTTTGTTTACCTGCAGCATGTGGGGCTGGTTAGACTTTTTCTAAAAAATAAAAATAAAAACCTTTATCAGTGTAGAAATAAATTTGTGGAATTGGCTGTTTGAAAATCTGAATTGCCACTTGCTACTGCAGTTCTCTCATGCACATTGCTGGTTTCAGGTGTATCAACTGGCTTTATTTCCAGTGTGCTTTCCATCTGCTCTCAACTTCGTATTGCATAGATGCTTTAGGAGGCTGGATAAATTTATAACTTCTCTTGATTGCGTTGACTTTGCCTTGCATGTGATTTAAAGAGGATGCAAGCACATGACCCACCCAGTCTAGCACTCTAGTAATTGCACATTGCTCTATTGAGGAGTGAATAATGAAGTTATAGCATCTGCCAGTGTGTTCCATGCAGCCTGTTCTTTTTATTAAAGTGAACATTGTTGGGGCTATAATACTTCCATTGCTATAACTCTTGCAACTCCATGCACTTGCAGAGATTACTAAATAGCTACTGCACTGGCTGACATAAAGCCACCAACAGTGGAACTGATACAGAGAATAAGGCTGTAATACTGCACCTACTTACCTGAGAGTTAGCTCCACAGAACAAACATATATAGGATTGTGCTATATGTATGGGAGAGGAGGAGTCTTAGCATTAGTGTGGGTCCCACTTCAACTGCCTCCCCATAGGTGGTTCATATGTTCAAATCCTTCTAATCCTTGTCCAATATATTGCGGCAGGAATATGAAAGAACTGCTTTCTTATTATACAGCTATTACTTCAAGAGAATACACTGCCCTGGAGATCTAAGTTAGGACAAATCTATCAGTAATAACTTGAAGAGAGTGCTCAAGACCATGCACATCCAGTCATCCTGCTTGGAGGGAAATCCAGTGTAGGAAAGTTTATTTGAGTAGATAAAGGTTTTCGAGCCTGTGCCACTTAGGGAGGTGAACTCCCAGCATCCTGGAAACCAGATTGCAACCATCTTCTCCCATAAAAGCTTATGACATTGGTACCCTGGCACTTCCTTGATGTACCAAAATAAATTCATTCAGTTTTCAAAAGCAAGTATGTCAATGCTGTTTGTAAAGCTTCTGATCAAATTGTGATACACCTGAAATTCTTCTTTGAGGAAACTATATTTCATTAAACATGGCTGTGTCAATTAGAGTGATACTCTAGTCCTGATTCTTATCTGAAGTTTTGCTTGCAAAATTCTGTGGTGGAGAATAACAATACATTTACTTGAAATACAACAGCCATATGGTTATCTTATTGCAGTGTATCAGTATCAGATTGGTTGCTATAATGAAGATGAAAGAAACACCAGTAATAGTTGTGCAGCTTCACTCTCACTGGATCTTCCACCAAGTATAAAAGCCTAAATCTGAAGTTCTTGAAATGTACAATATTCATCTCTCAAATGGGTAGTATTCTGCTTGTGGCTGTTCAAAAACCAAAATGCACCAGCATTAATCTTTAGGTGCCTGTAAGCTCTTTGTGTTGCTAGCCACTTTTATTTAAAGGAAGTAGACTTTTTTTCCCTAAACTGAAAATTAGGAGTTTTAGTGCAAAGATATCCTGTAATCTTTTTTTAAAAAAACAATCCTGTAATGTTTACAAGGGTAATGCAGTATACTTTGCTTTTTGTTCAAACAAATATCCAAGTTGCATTTGGTGTTGATCAAAAAGTTTTTTAAATGTGCCTTCACCATGCATACACCTACATTGTTTCTTAGCCTTCATGATCAGTGTGTGTGTGTGTGTGTGTGTGTGTGTGTAAAAATTTCATCATATTTCTTTCACCATAGTAAAATGTTGCTTAAAATTCAGTAGACATTTGAGTATTAATGTAATGCAGCTAGTCTGACAGGTAGTTTACAATGTGGCGATATAGATATTGCTTAGGCAAGAAAATGCTCTCCAAAACATGAGTTCTGTATTTAATTATCTTGCACCCTGGAGCTCTTTTCAGCAAGCTAATCCTCTGCTCTTCAGATTGCCAAAATAATTACCTCTTTCAAAAGTGAGCCAAAAGAATTCTGTTTTTACCTCCAGTTATAATAACTGCAGTTACTACAAAAAGCAAAGAATGACTTTCTCTTTTTTTTTTACCACAGATGTTTCATAAGCCTTGCTGCTAATTGTTTTTCCAGTAGGACTTAGATCATATGAAAGCAGTTAACATTCAGTTTGCTAAGGGATATTTTTGGAATAAAAATTTACCACATAAATTAGTCTGCAGAAAGGAGAGCTTACTGCAACTTTTGAACTAGTTCTGGTCAGATAGAGAATGGCATTCCTTTCGACGTATCCATGTAGGGTAGACTGACTCTGTAGAAGGAGGCTCTTGCAGAAGAGCTGGCACACTGGCTGACATGGGCATCACACTGTTCAGTGGGGAGGAATGTGATATATGTACAAGAATAGTCTTCTCTAGAAACTTGTTTACTCCCCTGTAAGCATATTTGAGTTGTAAGTGAATCATTCTTGTGACTGTTGTCTTAAGCAGATGGACATTATTGCCTGACACTGAGGAACTCTTAATATACAATAAGACGTTTCAGTGTATGATAGTTAAAACAAACAAGAATGAAATAAGAAATACAATGTACCTGTATCTCTAGTTGAAATCTGTGTGATATGAATTTCTTCTTAAATGTGAGCAGAGCAGTTTATGGCTTTTTACTATTATTCCATATAATGATTCTAGGTAAACCCCTCAGATTTTTACTGACTAGGAATAGCTGCTACAATACAGCAGCTATGTACTGCAGGATGTGGTTTTGAACAATTCCCCAAGCTGCTGTGGAGCTGGTTTCCCTGTTGTCTTTTATTTTCCTCTCTGAATTGGTTCCTTTCTGCTGAATCTGGAGATCAGTAATACAAAGGCCTTTGTGGCTTTCATCCCAGTTATAAACTGCTACAGTCTGCCCTTCAGAAAACGTCAGGAAGGTGATTCAGAAGCATTTGTTCAGTCTTGGCAACTTGGAAGAAAACGTATTGTAGAAAACTTGCTACATTCACTTTTCCTTTTTCAAGCTACTAACTTTCCTGTTGCTTCAACTAAGCCTACAAAACATGTGTCCTGTTTACCATGGCATGTTTCAGTGTAATTTTAAGGAGTAGCTCTTTTGAAGGGTTCCCCTATTTTTTAGGATCGCCTTAAAAAGAAGGTTGTTTCTGATGCATCCTTTGAGGTGGTTCTCTTTAGTACAGTTTTTTGTCTGGAGAGTGCTACAAATAGTTCATGATGCCTAGAGAAATGTTCTGCAACCTTGGCTCCCCAGATGTTGCTAAACCACAGCTCCCATCATCCCTGACAGTTGAATAAATTGTTATGGGAATCTCCATATATCACCTAAATCATGGATAGGCAAACTAAGGCCTGGGGGCCGGATCCGGCCCGCGGACAGTCCAGGAATCAGCGTGTTTTTACATGAGTAGAATGTGGCCTTTTATTTAAAACGCATTTCTGGGTTATTTGTGGGGCCTGCCTGGTGTTCTTACATGAGTAGAATGTGTGCTATTATTTAAAATGCATCTCTGAGTTATTCCCCCCCCCCAAGAAAATATAGTCCGGCCCCCCACAAAGTCTGAGGGACAGTGGACCAGCCCCCTGCTGAAAAAGTTTGCTGACCCCTGACCTAAATTATATGGATGCCATGCCATCAGAGTTGTATGGCAGGGATGAGGACCCTGTGGTTCTCTTGATGACAGTGGACTCCCATCAACCCCAGCCAACATGGTCAGTGTTCAGTGATTATGGGAGCTGTGGTCCAAAAATATTTAGAGTGTCACTAGTTCTCAATCCCTTCTCTATTCAGGTAAGGCTGAAAAATTGTGGCATTGATTAATACTCAGAATACTAATTTTAAATTCTGCAGTTTACAATGTGTGTTGCAAATAGCATGTGATCAGGCTGCTTGGTTAGAAGGACTCTGAGCTGTTGAGCACGTGGAGCAGGCTAGGACAGAGATATCCCAGCTCTTATTTCAGTGAAGTTCCTTTGGTTTAAGCAAAGAAAATCTTTGCAATGGTAGCTGGAGCATAGCATGCATACAGATCTTACCACAATAGATTGAAATGTATTTATTTGCAAGTTCTGCACAAGAGCTGCTTGAGGAGGTGTTGCCCTGCTGAAATTAACGACAGAACTTTGAAGAATGCGGTCAAAACCACAACCCAACACATTCCTCTCAGCTCTTCGTAAAGCTAAGCATGGAGGAGTTTTGCTATTACAAAGCTTGGAACAAATACAACTTTGCTCTTTGTTACAGTGCAGAGTGTTTATTGTGGCTCCAACAACAAGTTGTTGCTTCCCCCCCTTCAGGTGAATTTAATCACCATGCATAATTGTTCAGTGCTTACAAGGTACTAGCTCACCAGGCATTATCATTGTTCTGACATGTGCATACCAGACCTATGAAATCTCTTGCTAACATTTTCCACCATCAGGAGTATTTCCATTTTGGGGCATAATTAATGAGAACAGGTACAGAAGCCAACTTGATGGGACTGTTTGCTCAAGTCTCCTGCATATAGAAACTTGGTAGCATCATATCAAAAACTAAGAGAAGAGACAGTGTAGTTCACAGGTAGATTAGTTCATTCTGTGCAGAAAGTCTGAGGGTCTGTCACTGGCAGCATCATTCTCCAAGTAGAGCTGGGAAGGACAGGGAACCCTGGAGAGCAGCTGCCTGCCAGTGTTGACAGTATAGAATGTTGTTTTTGTTAAAATTAGTATACTGAACTTCATCGTTTGAGGAAATAATGCTCTAAGTTGCAACCCCTGAGCAGCTTTAGCCAGCTTTTAATGGAATTGGATATTCCCATTAAATTAAAACATTTTTCACAGAGCTGTTCAGTATCCATTCAGTTTTGTATTTCAGTAAGCATCTTGCTAGAAATATAAACACAGACTTGCTAAAATGCATGCAGTTATTCTGGTTACTTACAGCTATTTGTCATCTTCTTGTTCCCTCCTCAGCATCGCCTACCAAGTGCTGACTATCATCAATGATTTGAAAAGCTCTTGTCTGTGGTATACTTGTCTCTGCTGTTAATGGTTTAAAGGAGCACCTAATGGCATACAGTAAAGAGAAGCTAACTCAAAACGCTGCATCTTTATTAGTTGAATTCTGCACCAAGGCAAGCTGGTATAAACTTCAAAAATTACCTAGATGGAGGGTACTAATTTTCCACAATTTTGTTTTATCTTAGTTATAAGCATCATTTTTGCATCGTATTAATTCGTGGAACTAGTACATCAAATGTTGCCTTTTGACATTTTTTTTAATGGCATTGACGTGGATGAGAGATGTAGCTCCCCTCGAATGACGATTTCCAATCAGACATCCTTGGCAGTTGCCACAGTGATGTAACCAGCAACTAAAAAACCATTAATGCCAGCCCTGGTGATTGGGAAATGACTCTTTAGATGGATATAGGGAGAAAGAGATTAGTATGCATGTTACTACAGACCCACACATGAGTAATTTCAAAGTAAACTGGTTGTGTTTGAGCATGAGGAACATAAAATCTCTTGCCAGCATTAGCAAACAGTACGGCACACCCTGCCAGTCAGGTGCACCTTGGGAAAACATGGCCATCAAGAGATCTGAAGCGATTTAAGACAAGCAGCGTTGCCATGGGGCAGCAAGTGGAAAAACGTGTCTCAAGCCCGTGACTGTGGGGCAAGGGGGTACCACCCAGGGTGCAATTACCTGGGCCTGGCACTCGCTGTTCTTTGTTCTTCATCCTTTTGTCTAATGCTGGCGGGGCTCATGACAGAATACCTTAGATGCTTCTCATCGAAGAGATGAGCAAACTAGGTGTAACCCTCATGCCCAGATGAAAAGCTGACATCTGTTATTACACTCTCTCATCCTTGGCTCTCACCAAATGAAGAATTCCTTTCAACACCTAAGTGTGCATGTGTGTTCGATCATCCCTTGAAATTATCACTTGACATTGGAACTGTGGAATTCTGCCACTAGTATGTTGATTAAAGCATGCACCTGATAATCACAATTATTTCCATGGAAGCTTGAGAACCAACCTCTATTGGTTCATATTAGGAGCAAACATGGCCTGCCCTCCTTTCTTCACAATGTTCTTTAGCTCTCCATGTGCAGTTAAGAGGCATTTTAAAATTGTACCCAACAATTGTTTAATGGTTTGTCTCCCTGGGAGGGGTGATTTTCAGTCTGTGACTGTGACATAATCCTCATCCTATCAAGCTTGTTGGTTTGGTGTCTGTTTGGTTTGGCAGCAAAATGGGATCACTCTCTGGGAAGGTCATGGTTTCCCCACATACTGCCTAGGTATGCAGGATTTGGGGGGGTGGGAGGAGATTTTCTTTAACACCTTCCCCCTCATAGAATCAAAGAATTTTATTGTTGGAAGAGACCCCCAAGGGTCTTCCAGTCTAGCGCCCTGCGATGCAGGAATCGCACATTGCTCACCTGCTCTTTGCATGAAGAAGATCTCAAGCTCAGTCCCCAGCAGCATGTCCAACTGGGGCTGGGAAGATCCTCTAGCTGAAATCCTGGGCAGCCTCTGCTGCCAGTCAGTGTAGACAGTACTGGACTAGATGAACCAATGGTTTGACTTAGTACAAAGCAGCTTGTGATGGTCCTATATGAGACAACCTGGAGTTATTTGTTCTATTCTTTAAAAACACACACACACTAAAAAACAACACTTTCCTTTAGTATAGAAATAAGTTCAGTGCAAATGTTCAGGCCAATGCAACTTCTTCCCCATCTGTACAGTTTGCATCCCTAGCAGCATTTGACTCTCCACCACTTATCAGTCAGGTACAGGTCTCACTCGTCACTGTGGATCCACTTGGCATCGCCAATCCTGAGTGTGTTGCTCCTCTCCAGCTCTGCCACCACACTGCCCTTGAAGGTCAGTTCTGCCACCAGGAAAAAGAACTCGCCACACGTTCTCATCTGTGAGTGAGGAGACAGTCCAGTATTCAACCTCCATTTCTTTTGTCACCTTGAGGGTATCCCTCTTGATGAAGCTGTATTTCACTGGAGAGCTAAGATCCTTCCTGAGAATGACGTTGGAAGGGTTTTTCTCCTTCAGGGCATCAACCAGTGACTGCCTGGTATGGCCCAGGGAGGCCATGTCATTCAGGTCGAAGATGATGATTATAGGTTGAGCCCCGTGGTAGTAGGTGGAGGCGATGCATTTGAAGCACTCCTGGCCAGCTGTGTCCCACAGCTGCAGGCACCTCAAAATGCTCCATCTCTAAGTCCACCCCAAAGGTGACTTTGTAGTTATTGTCAATAGTGTCTCTGCAGACTGATTGATCAAGCGGTTCTTCCCCACAGAGGTCGCCAACCACAATGATCTTGGAAACTAAACCCCACGGTCCCTGTCCACTGGGCCTAGCACATCCCAACCACTTTGGAGTGGAAGGAGGTCAGCCCCTTTGGTGAAGCACCATGGCAGTTCGGCAATGATGTGGTTTCTTCTGATGGGGGCAAGGATGTTCCTCATTGGGACATGAGGTTTGACTGCAGAGCTCTCCAGTAGTCCCACCTGGACTGAACTTTGTGCCTTCTGAATGCAAAGCAGCTGCTCTGTCAGATCTACTCGCAAAATATCAAAGCTTGTTTTTCAAATCCTCCATCAGACAGGGAGGGAGCAGATATCCCAGCAGACCTCAACACCTCTCCTGGATGGGGGCAAGAGGAGGAGGGAGGGGTGCCGTTTTTCAGAGGGTAGAGGGCAATTGAAATTTCCTGGGGCCCAACAGGAAAGGAAGGCGTGGACCCAGAATCATTGTAGGCATTGGTATCCCCCACTGTAATGCAAGAGTTAAACCAAATGGTTCAAACTAATGCAAAAGGAAATGAGTATTTATGGAAACTCCCGATCAAGATAAACATTTACACAATGACCACCTTTTAAAATTCCTTCTGCCACTGTTCATATTTCTTTAGAAGTCAGTTCAATTCATGAATAATATTTCTAAGGCTGAAGTATGTAGTTAAACTCTTGACTCTTCTCTATAGTCAACACTGCTTTCATCAGTTTGGTGTGGTTTGCCTTGTTGCCTTGCTGTGTAATACTGTAACTGTTTTTATGCTACCTCTAGAAAGTATTTCCCTCCTCCCGGCCTGTCAAAGAAGCATATGACATTGGAGGTAGTTTGAGGTCTGGGGCTGCAGTGATGGAATAAGTGAGGAATGCCCTATTGCCTATGGAAACAGAGGGCTGGATTCCTAGCTTCAGCTTGACTGGTCCATCATTTCCCAGTAACTATAACAATGAGCCATGTGAATGTTGAGAGTAGTCAAAACACACAGCTGCCCTTACAGGGAGGAAGGAGCTTAGATCATGCTCGGCGTTTAAATGTTTTGGAATTGATACCTTATTTAAAAATAATCCCAGTAGCCTGTGACGTGGCTGCTAATGGCATTTTTGCAGTCTGTAAATTCTGGCTGGCAAAATTTGCTCCATCGCTGAATGTCCTGCCTTGATTGCAGCTGGACATTGTGGGAACTGAGGTCTGAGCCAAGAAAATTTTGAACCTAGGAAGAGCAGCTGTCTGCCAGTGTGGTGTAGTGGTTAAGAGCGGTAGTCTCGTAATCTGGGGAACCGGGTTTGAGTCTCCGCTCCTCCACATGCAGCTGCTGGGTGACCTTGGGCCAGTCACACTTCTTTGAAGTCTCTCAGCCCCACTCACCTCACAGAGTGTTTGTTGTGGGGGAGGAAGGGAAAGGAGAATGTTAGCCGCTTTGAGACTCCTTAAAGGGAGTGAAAGGCGGGATATCAAATCCAAACTCTTCTTCTTCTTCTTCTGCAGCATAAGTGTGAGAACTGCTGTCCTTTGGGCTGCCTTCCCAGACACCTTGCAGTCTCACCGGCTGGAAGTGGGCCTACCAATAGAAGGACAGGCTCCTATGTTCTTACTGCCAGAGGGATGCTAATGAAGCAGTCAGGCGTTTTCCTCTGCTTTGTTGGAAGGGGGAAGGTGACGTGTGTGATCAAGAATGGCTGCCTCAGCATCTCCTTAGGCTACTTCAGAGCAGCCCCACTTATATGCTGGCCTCTCAGGTTGCTTCAGAGCTTGAGCATATCTTAAGGACAGCTGAAACATGCTGCACCAGCATCTTAAAGCTCTCTTGGCAATGAATGAGGCCTTATAGGAATGGCTAAAGAACATAGCAGTCAGCTGCAAGCAATTCCTCCATCACTACCTCCATATTGCTTGTGATTGTTCTAGCAGCAGCAGTGGTGGATTGTTTCAGAATCCTTTTTAACAATATTTGTTTGTGAATAGGATCTGTATGTCATGACTCTAGCCTTGCCTATTTTAACATATTAATCTGAAAGGAGCAAGGCTGGTGGGTTGCTTTAATTTGTGTTCTTGTGTCAGACTCAAGACTGCAGGAGTTGGTTTACACCAGGGAGTCGAGACACTTTGGTTTTTAAATGTGTTCACACAGGGCTGGTATGAAATTAATCAGTGTCATGGGAGAAACAGTCAAAGCCAAGAACAAAAAGGGATTTTGGTTATGACTTCCATTGGGGAAACCTTATGTGCCATTAGTGAAATGTAGCGGCTGGCTCTTCTTCAGAGAGAGTCATTGGCAGATAAAAATTGCCTATCTGGCTCAGCTAGCCTTGCAACTGAAAGCAGGAGGTGGGGTGGGGTGGGGATGGATTGTTCTTTATATGTGTACATTCACATAGCATGCATATGACTCCATCACTGTATGCCAGGGGTGCAGAACCTTTTTCAGACCATTCTCTCCTGGAAAACCTTTTTGGGGGCCACATGAGAGGGGTTGACAAAGGCAACGTATTTCTTCACCCTTACATTTCCCTCTCTATCCTCCATTCAAGCAAGCCAGAGGCAGCTTCAGAGTTTAAGGACATACTCCAGCCAGGCAGAAACATTCAAGGAGGGTACAAGGACAGTCTGGCAATGGGTGCAGCTTGGGAGGGTGTGGGGCCTTGGGACCAGACAGAGGCCTGGAGGGTTGCATCCAGCCCCTGGGCCTGAGGTTCCTCTGTGTCACCAGGAAAGCATGTTGTTAAGTCAGTTAAACTGGGATTGGGTCCTTCCACCGCATGAAGCAAATTAACTAGGTTTAAACAAAGATAATGAAACTTTTCACAGCTCCACTTGTGTGATTGTGGTTAGCAAACACCCTGCAGACTATGAGAGGACAGTGATTTGTCATAACTTTATGACACTTGTTTAGAATGACTCATGTACTGGGGAAGGACCCACCTAACATTTTGCTTTTGCTTTTTATTTTATTTTTTAATACCAGTTTGTCTGTCTCTTGCTCTGCCTTGTAGTTCAAGAAGTTGAAATCAAGGAAGATAAGCCTTTGAGAGCAGCAACTGATACTATCAGTTTAAGTACTGGAGGTACAACATCCTACCTGGCACGTAAAATTGTAATGATCTCATCAATATTCCTTGTGTAAATGATTTGGAAAAATAACTCAACTATTTATCTCTAAATCTGTTGTCTGGAATGGCAACTTTTTTTTTTACCTCCAAGTATATTTCCTGCAGGTCAGAAGATGGATGCAGATTTGGAAAAGCATCATTGCTTCTTGTATATAAATACCCTGGTAACCAGTAACTTGTGTGCAAGCAGGGTCACTAGAGTTGAAGTCTAAAAACACACGTGTTAAAAACAAACCCCAGCACCAATATTTTAAATGGCTGGTGTTGAAAAGCAAGGTTAGAAATATCTTTCTGCTCAAGTGTGTAGTTGCTTATTAGGGAGACTTCACCTCATGCCAGTAGATCTGCCCTGCAGACACAAAAGTAAAGATGGCCATTGTGGGTTGCACATAATGCTTGTGGTTCACAAGAGTTCCTCCTCCCGCTTCAGGAAAACGACACGTTCAGGTGCAGTTTGTCAAGGATTAGTGCGGAAAATGACAGCCTAACAGCTGCCTTTGTTGTCCCCTTCTGAAATGATCCCCTTGGCATGTGGCTGTGTTCTAAATGCAGCCCTTAAGGGTGTGTGTGTTACGACTTGTAAAATGTTGGTTCTGCACAGAAGCTGCTTTTGGAAAGAGTTCAGTGGGATGTGGTTGAATGGTAAACACAAACATCACCAGATTGTTTTGGAAATGGGAATGCTGGCAAATCATTGTATGAATCTGTCAGCAAATGACACAGGAACAGTTCTCAAACTTTTGTAGTTTTGATGAAGTGTTGTGGGTAGATCTTGTGTTTTCTGTTCTTTTACCAGTGTAACCTTGTTAATGTTAGCCAATTGGATAAGTAAACAAGTGTAATTTCATACTGTGCTTTTAATTAGACTGTTGGGAGTATTTTAATCATCCTTGCGTTGATGCTTTTTTCCAGACGTCTAATGGCAGTCGTCAATCATAGTTTCGTAACCAAGCTTTCAAGTTCTCCAGCACTTCTGCTGAGGGATTTGTGGAGCGAAAGGTCTCTGCAAACGTGACCTGATGCATTCCTGAGGCTTACTTAAGGGAAGCTTTCTGCAGAATGTTTTATCTGATGGAGTCAGCAGTAACTCCTAGTGCCTTGGGCTGCCCTGTGCTTGAAGGAGGAGGCAGGCTTTGGCTTCACCTATGAAGTTGTAGTTGTTAAAAGAGTGTCCTTTATTATGAGATATGATCATTTGGAGGTTAACATGTTTTTACTGAACCAAAGTATTCCTGGCAAGTTTTTCCAATAAGTGAGGTTTAGTACTGTATTTTAATTCTGGGGTAGGGCATGCATTCGCCCTAACCTAGGCCAGCCTTCTCCAACTTTGTGCCCTCCAGATGGTTGGATCACAGCTCCCATCAGTCCCAGCATCTTATGGCCATGCTGACTAGGGCTTATGGAAGGGTTTATGGAAGTTGTGGACCAAAACATCTAAAGGGCCTCAAGTTGGAGAAGGCTGGCTTTAGGCAGTATGTAACAATCTGTGACCAGCAAGGAAAACTGGATCCCATACAGGACTATCCAAGGCACTGCTTGTCAGATCTTTCAATTTGAAATTGGGTTCAGAGCTCGTAAGGCTCTCTCCAACTTGGGCTGTGCTGTTTAAGAGTGCCATTGTCACATACTTCTCTCTTATCTCTAATTCACAACTCTTCTTTTTTCAGATGGGAGGAGGAACTGGCAAAGCGAATGAATCTGGAATCAATGGTAGAGACTCTCCAAGAGGTAGGTTTCGGAGAGCACCTAAATGCATGTTTCTTCAAAGGTCGATAGGGGCCATTTCTTATTTTTATTGGTGCCCAGCTGGCTTCATGAGCTGCCTGTGGCCTGGGGTTAGGGACTGCCTGGGATTAATGACCAGGTGTGTGTATCACTTCATTTGTAAAAAATCAGACCCTAAATGGGATACTAGTTCACAGCTGCTCTTCTGTAAATTGTACTACAGGATAATAAAGAACTCTGATTTTATTTTTTTATAAAGAGGGCTTTGATTCCTGGTATCCAGTGGCACTTCACCAATAGAAGAACAACTTCATTGTTCTAAAGGATGTAGGCTCCAAATATCTGAAAAACTGTCTTTATCTCTACTAGCCTTCTCAGGTGTTAATAACAGTGTGGTGTGACAGGGGTTCTTGATAATTCCACCATCCTCAGTTGTAGCCTGAGATAGGGCTTTCTCTGTGGTGGCCCCTAAATTGTAGAACTCCTTCCCCACAGAGGTGCATCTAAGCATCTTAATTGTACAGCTTTTGTCATATGCTGAAGATGCATATCATAATCCAAGTATTTGATCGTTAAGACATTTTGTTTTTGTTTTGTTCTCTTTCACTGAATTTGTATTGTCTTGTTGCATTTTGAACAGTTTTATAATTATAATAATTTGATTTCTATTTCTGATTGTATTTTCAATTGTTGTAACTCACTCTAGGGTGTTATGGTGAAGGATGCATTGGAAATCTGATAAATCAATAAAGCTGGCAGTCCAGAGGTGTGGGTTGCATAATGGCATAGCTTTTCATTAGCAGCTAAGATGGTCACAGCTACTTATGTGAATCTAATTCACATTGTTGACCTTCCAACATCCAGAGATAATGTTTATTACAGTATTTGAGGCATCTGGGATAGCACTGTGGGGACCCAGAGGACCACATGTCGTTTCCCACTCCATGGCTTACCTGATAGTGAGATAGTGAGGCTGTTCCACAAGATAGGAGCAAACTGAAATTAGCTGCCGGATCTGTATTTGATTATTTCTTTGAGCTTTGTGTCTGAAGCTTGTGCCCTTCCTTCCGCACCACAATTATTTGTACCATTTGTCCTCTAGGAGGCACAAGAAGCCGAAGCCCTCCAAGAAGAGCTAAATGAGAAGATTGAGAGACTGAAAGCTGAACTTGTCGTCTTCAAGGGTCTGATGAGTGATGTAAGTACCCTGGCAGGCTGAGTTGCACCAGGTTTAAAGGGGGGGGAGTCATCTTCATAGCTTCATTAATGAAAAAGTTATGATTTCAGTAAGTGCTGCTTGCAGTTAGTATTATGGCTGCCTTGTATGATCTAATGCATCAGACCAATTCCCTTGTCCTCTCCCTGCTTCCTGTCTGGTCTGTGTAGATGCATTTAACTTGCTGCTTATCACACAACCCTGAGTGTTCCCCGATGGCTTCACACCAGCTAGCAGTGCTGGGTACTTCCCCCCACCCCTCCAGTGCTGCAACCTCTGGAAAGAATGCTCTTTAAAAGGTTTAGGTTTTCCCATTAAGTGCAGGTTTGAAGAAGCACCATGCAGGTGCCATCAGTTAGAAAAATGCTAAAAATACTCCTTTCAGTTTCATCTAACCAAAATGATTTCAGAAACTCCAGTTCAGATCTACTTTGCTGGGTCACTTAGTTTCAAGCCTGCCATTTGAGCATATTGAGTAAACTGTATGCATATTTAGAACTGCGAATGTTATTTTAGGGAGTCGTTTCAGGGAGCAGCTTCCTGCTTTGGAAACTTGAATTGTCAATAGTGTGGCCTGACAATCAGAACAGGTAGAAAGCATGACAAACCTCGTTTATGTGATAACTATTTAGCTGATGTAGGGAACTTGAGTGCTCAAAGATTCTAGTTCACATGAAGAAAAGCCACTCCTGATTTTCCACACACTTCACTTTAAGGCCTTGCTCACATTTATCTCTGGGCTCAACAACAGAGCTACCCCAGCCCTCCTCTTTTCTCTCTCTCTCCACCCCCCTCTGTAGTATTGTTTTCAGTTGGGAACTTCAAACATTGCTCTGGGACATATCAGAAGCATGTTGCCCTGGGCTCCTTATAAAAACCGTGGGGGGGTGTGGAGAGAACCTGTTGGTGCATATTGTGGTTCTGAAAGTCAGACTCCAGAGAAAATGTCAATGGACACAAGTATTTGCACTCTCCTTTTTATGAGGGAAATCCATTCTTCTGGCCAAGTGTGGATGTGTCAGTGTGGCTCTAGGGCAGCAGAACTGTAAAAAGGTTGGCAGGATCTCAGTTGGGTTTACATACCTTGTAACTTTCATGATGTAAACATGCAGGGCATAATTTTATCTTTGTAATTTATAGGTGGACTGTTAAAACTTAATAGTTTAAAATAAATACCGTTAGTGTGTGCAGAGAGCAGCAGCCCAGTCAGAGCACAGTCTAACTAAGGGTGAGGGAATACAGAAAAATGTACATCTTTTGTAGATAGCAGAAGCTGCAGAATTTCATAGAGAGTAGTGCAAGGTTTTTTGGATAAGAAATGATTGTTTAAGAGACATTTCCATAATGGAAGGGTATGAGGTGTAAAATGTTGTCCTTATCAGTATTGTATGTGGAATAAATATTTGGCTTTGGTCAGATTTGGATTTTTTTTTTGGTAAGAAACTAGATGCTTTTCTCTAGAAAGATGTGTGTGTAGATTTTTAAGGGTTATGTAGTGCAAAAAGCACAGTTACAGAATATTTGGGAAATGCTCCTCCATTTATAGCCACTGAATTTCTTACATTTCTGTGCTGCTCTTCCTCCTAAAGGAGCTCAGAACTGCAAATAATGAGCAGCAAAACAATATATATACACAAACAAACCTAGGAAGTGAAAATCTGAACAAGATTAGAAAATTTGGAAGGTCCCTTAATTAAATATTTTAGGTTGTAGATTTTTTTTTAAACGCTCATTACTTTCTGCAGGCATATATCATGTGCCAGGTTTCATCTTGTAAGTTCTTGAAAGATGTTGGAATTCAATAATATCATTGTCCTGTAAGAGAAACTATTTTTAGTGTGAAGTAGCTAGGTGAATTTTCTGACATGAAGTACTGTCTTTCTACATAAAACAGAACCTGCATCCCACACATCATGTGGGGGACTTCTGGAATAGGTTTTTCCATGTACATTCCATAAAATAAATAGCATTGCAAATGTAAGGCTTTGGGTTGAGAGTTTGTTTAAAGCGTAACCTTCCTTGAACATTTGCCTTGGTTAGAAATCAGTGTTCAACTTGCAGTGAATTGACTACCTACCCCAAATGCTGCTGTCCCTTGGATGTTTAGCATGCCTGGAAACCAGGCAGCATTTAATATGGAGGCTGGCGTGATCTGCATTGATGGAGATACTGTAGGTCATCTCCTTCTTATCTTCTGAACTGTATTAATGGAAGATAATCCACTGCTGTCCTTCCTGCAGCCTATGACAGACCTGGACACAAAGATCCAAGAAAAAGCCATGAAGGTGGACATGGACATCTGCCGACGAATCGATATCACAGCCAAACTGTGTGATGTAGCGCAGCAGCGCAACTCTGAAGACGTTTCCAAGATATTCCAGGTGATTAGGCTCCGTCCTGTCCTGTGGAGAACATGGCTGTGCCAGAGAGAGATGGAGCTGTGTTTTGGATTTGGAGTTGCTGTTCAGGATTCCCACTATAAATCATGGGACCAGCTGACAAGCCTCTGTAGAGAACACCCCAGTTTCATGTGCTCTGTTCCCATGTTGGGAATAACCTAACTGAAGCAGGGAGTTGTGTTCTTGCATCTACAAAGGTCTGCACAGGTGTTACCAGGCCTTGGGTCTCACACAGCAACATTAAGACCTCAATCTCTTTAGAAGTCTTCAGATAAATCATAAGAGCAAGCTTGTGTGTCTGCTGGTCCTCTTGAGACACCACAAAAATGCATTACGATGTCCCACTTGGCTTTTATGTTCCTTGTAAAATAAAAATCAGATTTTTTTTCTGACCCTGGGAGAACTCTAGGAGAAAACAAATAGTTAGCTGTCATGACATTGCAAGTGTGTAGGCAGCTGTGAAAACCTCCATCCACAAGTAGATTTTGGTCCAGGGAGTAGGAGACAGGCCATCACCACAGGGCACCCTGCCCCTCCTCTTAGTATTTATGCCCCTGATTATTCTGCTATCCATTATTAAATCCCAAGAAGCACACTGTCCCATACAACCTTAAACCAATAAAACAAAATTCATAAAACCATCCCAGAGTCGTACCAAGGAATCACTTCACTCATATATGCTTACCGATTATAACTCTGTTTGATAGCTGTGATCCACTTTTGTTTATGGTGGATGGATATTTGAAATGAAATTTCTTTGTGTTTCCAAACTCCTTCCTCCAATTTCATTCTGTTTTCCTGTCAAAACTGGTGCCTGTCTAGCTCTGCTTCTAGGTGGAAAATGGTGCAGGACTCGGGGTTCTTCTTCCTAGCTTAATGGCACAGCCTAGTCCCCCCTTGTCACTGTTAGCTGAGGCCAGGCAGGGGACCGCCAAGGGGTGCCTGTTGCTCTCCAGCTTGTCACCTTGAGCATCTCCAACTGCTTGTGCGTCATCCTCCTAGCCTTCGCATGGCCGACTGCAGCCCAAATGGCTGTGCCACTGGGGCATGGCCTGTCTAGCAGCTTGCTTTTTTGCCGCGTGCTGTCTCAATCTGCTTCCCTGTGCTGTGTGTTCTGCCACCTGTAACACTTGTGATTTAATGAATCTGTGTCAGCTGTCACTTGCTCACTCAAACCATTGGAAGTGGGGTGGGGGTGGCTGATGGCTCACAATATTTTCCCCCACCTCATACCTCTCCTTTATCTCTGCCGCTTCTTGGCGTAGCAGCTCACCTGAACCTTCTAGTCACTGCCCTTCTCTCCAATTCAGGTGGCTTCCAAGAAGAAAGAGCGGAAACTCGTGTCGGATGATGACCTCTCTGAGCAGGACCCAGACAATGCCCGATTTTCGGACGATGAAGTCAGTTGTTCTCTGAACATCACGGATGAAATGAAGAGGATGTTTAATCAGCTGTGAGTATTTCAGAGGCTGGGGAATGTCTTGGCATCCTTTTGGCTGTGGCCCTTGGAAGGGTCACACACCAAAATATGGCTTCGAGGTAGTTTCTGTTCTTCACTGAGGCAAGTAGGATTTTGTAGCTTTTAATCATGCAAATCAGAGAACTCGCATAGATCTGCTTGTTTTGCATAATTCTGCTTCTGCTGGAAGAACATAAGAGTAACCTTGCTAGAGCAGACCAAGTGCCCATCTATTCCAGCATCCTGCTTCTCTTGTTGGCTAGCCAGGTGCCTTTGGGAAAATCCACAAGCAATACTGAAAGCCAGGAATCCTTGGCCAATTTGTCCCCCAGGAACTGGTAACTAGAGGGCCACTGCTTCCAGAACCTGGAGGTTCCAGATAGCTGTCCTAGCTAATAACTATTGCTAGACCTATCCTCCATGAATATGTCTAATCTTTTAAAGCACAGATTGGGAACCAAGTGCTTTCCAGATGTTGGACTCCAGCTCCCATCAGCCCCAGTCGTCATAGAAAGAGGGGAGTGGTAGTTCAACCACATCTGGAGGGCATCAGGTTCCCTAGCTCTGTTCTAAATACAGCTAAGATAGTCTTCATATCATAGGGAGGGTAACAAGGAGTGCAGGGCACTCAAGCCTGTACGCTGCAAATAGTAGCTTTTCACTCCCTGCCACCTCTTGAGATCTTGGTGGTAATTGCCTACACACTTCCAGTTGTATGCTTTGCAGTCATCATGGCCAGAAACAACTTGGTTTTCAAAAAGAAAATGAAAAGGGTGGGGATCTGTATGCAGAATTTCAGATACCTGAAAATACAGGTATCTGAAATTCTGCATATAGATCCCCTGAGCAAGGCTTGCTGACAAGAAGGCCTGCAGCCTTTTGCTGTAAGTGCAACCCTAATGCAGGGGCATCACAACACACACTTTGGGACAGCCTACATTGCACTGCATGCCCTGCTGTCTAAGCAACACTTCTTATCCAGTGGGAGGGAAGCTTGCTGAAAATGAGCTAGGCAGGATTGGCTAGCTTATACATACCGTTACTGGAATCCATAATGACTTCACCCAGCAGTCCTCTTCTTAAATGCCAATAAAAGATAAGAGTCTTCGTCACTCAGAAATTATGTCCCCAAGTGAAACTCTTGCTTAGTAATCATAATGCTGGTCTTTATGACTGTTTTTATAGAGCCAATGCTTTTAAACACTTTGCCTCTTTCAAGAAGCAGAATTTCCAGGCCATTGTGCATATGCACTCTCCCTCAGAAGGATCTGCAGTTAGCAGCTCTCATTCATGCCATGCGCCTTACGTAGGAGCCCCACCCCTATGGCATGTTTTCGGGACATGGGATTTGTTCCAGCTCTTATTTTGAATGGCATGTGCCAACATCACCTTTTGCTGCGCACCTTTACTCTTAAAATGCTACATGCTTGGACTACGGCAGTGATGGAGTACAACCCCTGCGTCTGCAAGCCCACCCAGGAATCCTGCAGTTTATTTTGACACTCTGCAAGTAATCTTTTGGGTTTAAACACTGTGGACAAGGTTGACAGTTCTGACTATACACTTAATAGGCCAGTCCATTGCATTGTTGGAAGTGAAAAGAAATCCCTTCTAAAACCCCTAAGGAACAACAACTGCATTAGTGCTGTGTCTTTTCGTAAGAGGGTTCAAATTATTCAGATTATACAAATAGCCATGGTTGCAAAATAAATGCAGCTGAAGGCAAGCAGTAGTTTTAAACTGGGAGGCTTGGCCGATTTTAGAAGCTGGCATGTGCTCCCACGCTGCCTCTTCCAGTCCACTGCCAAGTTTTGAATCCATTCGTCATAAGATGAAGTGTTGACCTCGACTTCCTGCTTTATATATGCTCTGCTGGGAAGGAAATGAACTCAGGAGACAAAAATGTCTGCCATTGTGGAGCTCAGCAGAGTAGCCACAAGATTCCTGGAGGATGGGATCAAGCAGTCCCCTCTCAGGCAATTCTTTAAAAGAAGCTAGTGTAAAATCTTTTCAAAGTTTCATCCTGTTAGTTTTTAGCTGAAAATTCAGGCATCACTGCCTTGTGACGTTGACTAGATGTAACTTCTCAAGCTTGATTGTGTTCCTTCGGCTAGCCCAAATTGGTCCCATAAAAGGCATCAGTTTTGATGTGAGGTGTTCCCTGGAACTGCCTTAGTAATGTTTGCTTACTTAATGATGAGAGCTGTTGTGTTACTTCATTTGTACGGCATTTAACTGCTTACAGGTCTGTAGTCCAAAGGTCCTTGCAAAGTACCTGCTTTACCTGCAGAAGTCACTACATTCACTTCTTGGCATCCCCAGGTAGAACTGGGAAAAGAGTCTTGCTTGGTACGGTGTAGAACTCCTGCCACCCATCTATTCAGACAATACTGATCTAAGTGGATCAACAGTCAGACTGTGTATAAAACCACTTCCAATTTAGACATCAGAGCTAAATGAGCTTCTGGGACTCCTTATTTGCTGTGCAGCTCCCACATGTAGCTCTATCCCCTGGAGATTTCAAAATTGGGTGCATAGAATCTGGGGAGGGGGCAGGATTAGTGATGAAACCATCAGGGCCCCCCAGTTTCTAGTTGTTTCTGGTTGTTGTACGTCAGGGGTTGGCAAACTAAGGCCCGCAGGCCAGATCAGGCCCAATTGCCTTCAGGATCCGGCCTGTGGACTGTCCGTGGATCGGTGTGGGGATTCTGTTCGTTCGGGCTGCAACATTCCCCCCCCCGTGCCATTCCATTCCCCCCCTCTCCCTCACACACACTGCGGCGGCGCCTCCTCCCTCCCTCCTCCTGGCTTCTCCTCGCCCTGCCTAGAGGAGGAAGGGGGCTGGCTGAGCACCATTTTAAGCAGCCCATCTCCAGAGCAAGCCCTTTTGCGCCACTCATCTTCCCTCTGCTGCTGCCACTGCCCTGGTGCTCCTGTGGGCCAGAGAGCGGAGCGGACGAGCTCACTCTGCCTACCCACGAGAAGCAGCAGTGGCCAGGGAAGTTAATCGCAGCGGCTGTGGGTGGAGGTGTGGGGTGAGCAGGAGGACTACTTGCCCCCCCCCCAGTGCCACTTCTCCAGTCCTCCACAAGGTCTGAGGGACAGTGGACCGGCCTGCGGCTAAAAAATGTTGCCGACCCCTGTTGTACGGCATATGAAACTAAAGCAGCACAGAGCAATGATCATAGGTGGTTAGTGAAACTGCCCATCCTTTCACTGCTTTAAAGCATGACTTTTTAATTACATGTGTACATCCTGGGCATTTCGTATCTTTTGTTAGTGATAGGCAGAAATCCTTTTAATTCGGACACTAGAACCTTTGTGTAAAGCTCTGGACTGTTGTTTTGATGTGCAGCACCACCTGGAGGGGAACAGCTGAACTGTCACACTAAGATTAGCTTGGAATTTCAATTCTGTCTATCCTGCAGCAGAATAAAAGGCAGATGTGGAGCCTTTTTTCAGCAGAGGGCGAGATAGCCACATCAAAATCCTATGCCTTTATGTGTGTGTTCTAGCGCTAATACCATCTCCTAAGCTTGTTTTGAAGAAGGATTACAAGGATTTTTAATGAAAATATATGTATATATATTTCCCTGTCAGGCGTGAAACCTTCGATTTTGATGATGACTGTGACAGTTTGACGTGGGAGGAGAATGAGGATACTTTGCTCCTCTGGGAAGACTTCACCAACTGTAACCCATCAATCGAGCTCCAGGGAGAGGTGAGTTTTGGATCTGGGCTCTTTGTGAGATGGGTCTCTAGCTTCTTCAGAAGTAAGGTTGTGACTGATTTCTGGAAGGGTTTTAAAAAGTAATGATTTTTTATTATCAACAACATACATCCAAATTTTCAAAAGCCTCCATTGTGTTAGAATTTGGCACATCCTCTCTGCTGGAGAATAAAAATGGCCACTTTTGCAAAGATTGGTTTACTTGCTGCTGTATAATTGACAGGCGATTGTTTTTGATCGGCACCTGAAGTTGTGTTGTTGAGGCTCCTTTGATTGTGCAGGAAAAAACCAACATGGAGTTTAAAGCTTTGTCATGGTATTGGCTACATTTTTATGTTTTCTCCACCCACCTTCAGCTCCCCACCGTCTCAACACACATGTACTGTATTACTTATTCCTTATGGCGTATTTTGTCTAATATTAGCATACATATGTTTTTTTATACATTAATTTTCTGGAATCACATGGCAGTGCTTTTTCATGTGGAGCCTTCTGTTACCGCATGATCCGGTAGCTTGAACCTTCCATCACATGCTCTTCTGCAGGCAGTGGCGGTTTGTAAATGATGTTTGTGACTGGTTGCCAGGCACTCAAGGTCTTGTTAAATGATAATGGTGGTGTTTGTAAACAAGAAAATGGGGAGGAGGGGAAGCAACTCTTAACTTATCTCCCTTCAACTATAGTAACATGGGCCTATGAGATCATATAGGACTCAAGAGCACTGGTTGTGAATTTGAGAATCTTTAATTTTACTATGTTAAATTATCCTTTTATCAACAACTTACAAGTGGCTGACAACTTCTGGAATGTAGCATAAATTTCTTAAACTGATAGGCACTTGGTGATTCTGTAGAAATTGATTTTGATTTGTCCCATATTGGAGAAATAAAGCTGAAGCCGCTTAAACATTGGAGCAAAGTGAGAAGGGACTTCACAGGAAGCTGGTCAAGCTTTGGTATTAAAAATATAGGCTTGTTGTATATCTGATAATATTTTAACAATTTTTTTTAAGCCAACAACAGAGAGTCACAAAGGAAGCAGGCTAGGCACCGTTAACAAAGTCTTACTAGTTTTTAATGAATGGGACTTTGATTTAACTGACATATATCAGAAACACTGAGCTAAAATGAGAGGACGGGAATGATGGAGTGGCCTAGACATCTTTCTCCAAGGGCATCAAGTCAGCTGGTTTGCAAATTCTCTTTTTAGGATGCCTGGTTCAGAAGAGCCTTGAGCTGCTTATTCCATTGGTGCTTGCTGAACTGTTTGGGTAGAGCAACAGAATCCTGCCCCTGTTGCCCAATAAAGTCTGTCGGGAAAAGTTTCTGTGTTTAATGGGTGTGTAATAATAATAATAATAATAATAATAATAATAATAATAATAATTTATTTATACCCCACCCATCTGGCTGGGCTTCCCCAGCCACTCTGGGCGGCTTCCAAAAAAAATTAAAATACTGTAATACATCAAACATTAAAAGCTTCCCTAAACAGGGCTGCCTTCAGATGTCTTCTAAAAGTCTGGTAGTTGTTCTCTTTGACGTCTGGTGGGAGGGCATTCCACAGGGAGGGCACCACTACCAAGAAGGCCCTCTGCCTGGTTCCCTATAACTTAGCTTCTCGCAGTGAGGGAACCGCCAGAAGGCCCTCCGTGCTGGACCTCAGTGTCCGGGTAGAACGATGGGGGTGGAGACGCTCCTTCAGATATACTGGACCGAGGCCGTTTAGGGCTTTAACACTTTAAATTGTGCTCGGAAACGTACTGGGAGACGTACTGCTCGGAAACCTTTCTGATGTCCCTTTCTGATGATGCATTTGAGCCTTGAGTGCCTTGACACTGGGAGAGCTCTGACCTTTCATGGTCAGATTCTCAGTGTACCTCCATTCCTCCCTTTCTCAGTAACATGATAGAGGGTGGTGATGGTGGGAGGTAGGAAGCTTTATCTCCTTGGCTAGAAAGCCACTGCAGCAGCCACATCTCCTCAGCAATCCACCTTATACTGACTGCCAGGAGCGCATGTTAAGTTGTTCCTTTCCATTTTGTGAACTGTGGTGGTGTGCACTGCAAAACGGTGAGAGATTACACCAAAGTGCTACAGTTGCAAAATGTGGCATACGTTTGTGAAGGCGCCTTTCTAGTGAGCTGCAACTGCCAGGGCGATAAAGCAGTTTTAGTGATGGGCTGGAATTAAGTGACAGATTATTTGCATATAACCATGTGCCTGTGTGTTAGAAGTATAGCTATCAGTGGAGTATTACAGAGTTCAGGCCTAGCATGCTGCAGCTCTAAAGGTTTTAAGAGGCTTAAATCCCTTCTAACTGAAAATTACACAACGAAAGGGTAGATTTGCCTTGTAGATCGAGATCGGGAATAAAAGGCTAATTGACTCAGGGAGCTGAGCACAGAGTGCTGCAACTCCCTCTCTCCAGGCCTCTAGCTCCCCAGACGGAGCCAGAACTGAACCATTTTTCTGCACTGCAGGCTTCTGTCTGTAAAGCTCTGCTAGGCTGAATTCTGTCAAGTGGACACTATCTTAGAACAGATGATCTTGAATGTTACCATAATACACTAAATGCATGGAGAAGGTCCTAGGTTCAATCTGGAGCATCTCCAGGTAGGGCCTGTGAGAGATCCTGGCCTGAAATCTTGGAGAGCCACTGCAAGTCATTGTAGACAATACTGAACTGGATAGATCTACAGTATTGCCTGGCTCTTTGGCTGGTTCTGGGTGACAGAATTCCTTGCTCACCTCTTCCTGATTTTCTTTATTTTATAGCAAGAGGAGAACTTGGGCAACTTGATCCATGAAACAGAATCTTTCTTCAAAACGAGGGACAAAGAATACCAAGAAACGATAGGACAGATTGAGGTAAGGAACGAGGAGCCTAAGAATTGTTTGTCTGTGTGGCCTAGTTGTGTTTAATTAAGAGCAGCAAATGATTAAATCTGATGAGCAGCCACAGGCTGGTCATGGATCAAAATGGTCAGGCTTTTGCCTTATTGCTGAGGGGTAACTTTCAAGGCAGTTACCTTCTCCATCTCTTTTTGCTAATGAGGGCTATGCGTGGTTGAATGGACATGAGAAGAGAAACAAGGTGGGCAAGGTTTTCTGGCGTGGGCAGAATGACAGAAGGCAATAGGAAATAAAGGTTCTAAGTTACAGTTAGGTAGCCGTGTTGGTCTGCTGTAGTCAAAACAAAATAAAAAAATTCCTTCCAGTAGCACCTTAGGGACCAACTAAGTTAGTTATTGGTATGAGCTTTCATGTGCATGCACACTTCTTCAGATTGCCAAAACAGGGAAGAGTTGGGTGCAGCTTGAGAGGGCTTGTGTATGTTATTGGTGAAGAGATACTTCTTTGCCTTGAATCTTTTGGAATTTATGTACCGGTATATCATAAGCTCAGAACTTTGTCAAGAAAAATGAGGAGGTAGCTTATTGCCTCGTTTATAAATAGTGATGCTCACTTCCATTAGCAGCCTTTAGGTTAGCTAGTGGTAATAAATTGACATTCCATCAAAATGGGCAGGGAGGGCACATGGTAGTTCTCATTCTTTGCATGACTTGACTTGGCCCTCTCCTTCTGTGCAGCTTGAGCTTGCCACGGCCAAGAGCGACATGAATCGCCACCTCCATGAGTACATGGAAATGTGCAGCATGAAACGGGGCCTGGATGTGCAAATGGAGACTTGCCGGCGGCTCATTAAAGGCTCTGCTGAAAGGTAACACAGAATCCACACCTGATAACTTTTATTTGCCCAAGTGGGATGGTGATGGAGAGCTTTCGTTCAGAGGTATTGGGAGGGACTCAATAATCTGAAGACTAGCTGTTCTGAGATGTCTGGTTTCGCTGAAAGTACCAAACACAGCAGGCCCCAAGATGTAACTGTTTACCTTGAAAATCCAGTTTAACAGCAATACTGTTTAAGTACGACAGATACTTCATGGCACCCAGTGGTCCAGAGCACTAGGGTGCTGTCTGCTCCATTTGTCATCTCACTTTTTGCAATGTCTGTGAAGGGTTTTACACGTTGCTATAAAACTGTTGATGCCTGAAATGCAGCAAACATATTGCCCTTTGCATTCTGGGGAGCCAGTACTTCCCTACTTTACATCCATGTAAGTTGAACATGCTTTTGCCGCTGTTTAACATGGAAAGACGGCTTATTAAGAGAATGGACCTAACCACACTCTTCCTCTCTCTCCCCTTTTCTTTGTCAGCAGAAATTCCCCGTCTCCCAGTTCGGTAGCCAGCAGCGACTCAGGAAACACGGATGAAATTCAGGATGAGTTTGACAGAGAAGCAGACGTTGAGCCCATGGTCAGCTGATAAATAACCAGAACGTTCTGGCGCAAGGAGAGAAGAAAAAGAAAACCCAGAAAAAGAAGAGATTTCACAAATGCAGAGAGATCAGAGACTTCAAAGCCCCTAGCCTTGGGGGTGCCAAGGACTTGATCTAGTATTTTTTCCCACCCCATCCAAGGATTTGGTGCTGTAAAAAACATTTATACTGTTCTACAAATGACAGATGTGGAGTTCTGTAAGAAAAAGTATGTGAATATGGTATTTTAATTGTGCCTTTGCCCCAAGCTGAGCCACTTTGAGCTCCACTGGAATATCATAGTGCTTTTTATATAAAAATGATGGTTCTAAATAAGCTTCTGGTAGCAGAAGAATGAATTGGTATGGAAGTTTAGCACTGAACTGAAGTGCTGGGCAAATTGGCAGAGCAGGCCCCGTGGCAACTAAGTAGCAAATATCACACCATTGAGCAGCAATGAGGACAAGTGTCTTGCGTGGATTGAAAGTGTCCTCCCCTCCCAATCTTAGCCCTTTAACGACACCTGCTCTTGGCTCATGCAGTTAGAAGGCATGTGAATTGTGGCTTGAGAGAATCCTTTCAGAGACCTGCACAACACCTTTTCTGCTGAGGTCCAGAACTCTATTAGAAGCTTGGTGGCAAGGCAAGAATAGCAAAAGTCTGATGGGGTGGGAATAACACTGTTTTTTAATTACTATGCAAAAACAAGCAAGCAAAGCGTTCGCCTTATTTGTATGGAATGTTAGGTCACTGCTGGGCTTCTCTGTCTCCTGTTGGGAAGGAAGCTGAGCATTCACTTTGCACACCTTTACTTGTTTGTGGAGCTTGTTTTGGCCAAGGGAGCTTCCTACTGCTGCATCTGCTCCCAGTGATCCTTTGGTTCCAAACTTTCTTCCTTCCCTCCCTCTTTTCTTCACCCTCCCCCTTCATTTGTACTTTAGCCATCAAATGATTTCCTCTCAAAAAGTTACTGTTGAGGAAGGACTGCATTTTTGTGCTGCTTTCGGAAGCTTGGAGCGTGATAGCTTTCCACACCATCCTCAGAATCAGTGTTAACTAAATTATAGGGTGAGTGGCATTACCTTTCCCAAGACCCCTCAGCAAGGAACACAGCTTTAGATGTCTTGAAGCATGTCAGGTCCTGCACCTGTACAGTGGTACCTCGGGTTAAGTACTTAATTCGTTCCAGAGGTCCGTTCTTAACCTGAAACTGTTCTTAACCTGAAGCACCACTTTAGCTAATGGGGCCTCCTGCTGCCGCTGTGCCGCCGCAGCACGATTTCTGTTCTCATCCTGAAGCAAAGTTCTTAACCCGAGGTACTATTTCTGGGTTAGCGGAGTCTGTAACCTGAAGCATATGTATCCTGAGGTACCACTGTATTTCAGGTACACTGAAAATAAGTATTACAAGATGTGGATTTTTTTTTTTTTAAGAAAAATCAAGAGTACAGTATTGTATTGTCGGGCACTAAGGTATAACTGTCACATGCTTTGCTTTTCTGAAAAGCAAGTGAGACTAGCTCCCCACTCCATCCTTTGGTGGCTTAAACACAAACATCTGATGTTTATTTGCCAGATAGTCAGCTGGGGTTGGTGCCATGAATCAGCATCTTCCTGGTCCAGATCACTTGCTGTTATCCAGAACAAAAGAGTAGCTCTTTGCCAACATGGTATCATTTTATGCTGCCCAGATTTGGAGGCACAATCACCCTTCTGGCAAAGCTGCTGTGGGTGGGTGGGTGTCAGATAGTTATCTCTCCTGCAAAACACTTCTTAATGACATGAAATGCCTAGAAGAAGAAACCTCTCCCCTCATGCCTACGGATCAACCCCTAGTAAAAGCTGTTGTGTGGCTGATGGGCTCCTTCCCCCTCTGTCTCCGGAGTGCTTTCTTGTCCAATTGGCTGCTGCTTTGGGTTGCTGAAGGTGATGGCTGGCGCCTAGGCAGATGAACACGTCTGTCATGTGAGAGAGACACTCCTGGGTGGGGGAAGTATTTGGCTTCAGAAGGGGAGCTTTACTATATTCCCATCCATGCAAAAAAAGGGGGGAGTGGGAGATGCAATATAAAAAGGGACACTTTGTGTTCGTCCTGATTTGCTGCTTGAAACTCAAGTTTGCTGCTTCTGGTTAGTAGCTTTATGCCCCATTGTTTAGCGACCCTTAAAAAGCTTGTTTTTGCAACTTTTGGTCAAGCGCTTCATCGCTTTCTCTCTCTGCTTTGGAAAAGGAATCTCATTCCTAAGCCCTTATTCTTTTCACCCCATTTCTATCCAAAGCTGTACCCTTTTCTGACTGTGAGTTTTGCAGCTTTTTTTGGGGGGGGGTGTGGAGGGGAGACCAGCAGCCCTGTCCTTTCCAAAGGGTTGGGCCTTGGCACTTTCATAAATAGCATCTCAGGGTCCCGAAGCCAGCACTGAATGTTGGCTCTTTCGCTCTGCAGTTTCTCCAGACACTGGGAGACCCGTCTACCCAATCTGGCAGCTCCTGAGTGCAGGTTGTATGCGTACCTGCTAAACTTCAGTTGCCCAGAAATTGTAGGATTTACTATTTCTGAAACTAAGAATTTGAGCGGTTTTTACTTAAGGCCATCCAACTTCATTGCTGCTAATCTTCTTTGGGGGGAGGGGTGTGTTTTAAACTTTAAGAGCATGTGTCAATGTGTTTGCTTTTAATGGCTGGCATGCTCAAGGTAGAGTGTAGTGGGTAGGCATGGGCAGGGGGAACTGGTTCTTGTATGGTTGTATAAGTGGGTAGGGGGATGAGGTTTCACTGGTCAACACGGAGGGCATCAACAAAATGGTTCATTTTGTAATGACTAGGTGGGTACTCAAGTAAGCAATTATTATTATTTGTATGTGTTAGAGGTAGGTGGGGATTACCTGTGTAAGAATAATGATAGAACAGAATAGTAGTGGTTAAGGTGGTGGTTGGTATCTTTTTTATCATATGCAACCTGAATTTAAGAATTTCTCTTCACATTTTGAATATGAGGTTTTATTATATCTGAGGGAGCATCAGGGTGAGTTCGCGAATGGATCAGTCCCTTAACAGTACAGTTTCCTTCATATTGCATTTCTTTCAGCCAGTGCTGCTGGCTTTAGTAGACAGTGGCACCTCTAGATTTGCATTTAGTCTTGTCCGTCCGTAGCAACCAGATTTAAAGCTTGTCAGGAAAAAAAATGTGAAAATGCTGGACGTGAATTGTAATGACTTCACCCCCCCCCCTTCTGTAAAGCTGTAAATACTTTATTTTCTATTCTTGAGGCAGTGTCATATTGACACTTTTTAAAAAAATGAATTACAATTGGGTGGGAGTGGGGGTGGGAATCTTATTTTCTTGTGGGTTTTTAAGGGATTTTTTAAGCCGGCTAATTTCCTTTACTTGTTAGTGAGAGGATGAAGATCTGTCAAGATTCCTAAGCAAACTAGGTTTGTAAAAAGAAAAGAAAAGGTGAATTCAATAGACGGGCCTTGTGCCTGCTTTATGGATGCATGTTGTTGTTGTTTTAGAAAAAATGTCCAAAGAACAATAATGTTGAATTATTCCCAGTGTTTTATTACTACATCTTGGCTCAGGCAGTGAACAAGTATGCAAAGCTGCTTTGAAGATGAATGCCAAGGACAAAAAGGAAAACCACCCCCTAATGAAATTCACTTAGCTTAAATGTGTACTCTTCAAAGGGGATACTGTATTTTTAAAGGTGTTAAGTTCAGACATCATAACCGTTGTTTGGCAGCATTTGGGGGAAGCCATGTAACAAACTGCAATAGCTGAAAAACATGCTCACCACCCTTCAGTCAGGACTCTCCAAGGTTTTTGCCTCTCACTAGAGGGAAAACAGAGAGCAAACTTCCTGTCCTGTCAGTCGCTCCACATGCATTATTCAAGAAACAAACCCTTCTAGATTTCCCCATGTGGGAACTGAAATAGAGGTAAGGATGTGGCATTATTATTATTATTATTATTATTCAATCTGAATTATTTGTGTGCATGTGTGTACACAAATGTACACAAACACACACATACACACACACAAAGAAATGGGTCAAAATCAGTTTTCTGCATAACATGAAGTAACACTCAAATCTCAAGAGGGTTTATCTAATGCTAGTTCTGCATGAAGATAATGGACATGAACTGTTGATTTCAGTGGGTCTACTGAGAGCCAGCGTGGTGTAGTGGTTAAGAGCGGTAGTCTTGTAATCTGGGGAACCGGGTTCGCGTCTCCGCTCCTCCACATGCAGCTGCTGGGTGACCTTGGGCCAGTCACACTTCTTTGAAGTCTCTCAGTCCCACTCACCTCACAGAGTGTTTGTTGTGGGGGAGGAAGGGAAAGGAGAATGTTAGCCGCTTTGAGACTCCTTAAAGGGAGTGAAAGGCGGGATATCAAATCCAAACTCTTCTTCTTCTTCTTCTTCTTCTACTCTGAGTAAAACTGATTTGGCTCCAACCCAAAGGATTCCTGTACTCAGCACCATTCCTGGCTAGCTCACATACTCAAAATGTATCAGAAGGGGAAGGATGGTTGTAGCAAATTTGAATCTGAATGATGGGAACCTGGGGGGGGGGGGCGCTTTATCCTCTCACCACTTCATTTTTGAGTTGGCCAAGGTCGATGGTGCTCACAAAAAGGATTCAGAGTTTTAGGAAGGTTGTACCTGACTTAGCACTTTGCTACCTATTGCAGCTTGGCTTGGTGGTCAAAAAGAGCAAAGTTCAATTTCCCAAATTTTCACAGTAGCAAAAATATAACTAGCTGATTTGCCCAGCCAGTACTCTGCATGGAAGATTAATAATAGCAAAGATGTTGTCTGCCTTTGTTTCCAACAATATCTGCAGCAACAAGCAGATAGTTTCTGGAAGGTGATTCTGTGATTGTATGGATTTCCCTCCAGAGCCCTAGGCATGCTCCTGGTGTATGCAGGAGTCTCTCTGCCTTGTATTGGCTCCTCCATCCCTTCAAACACATTGAGCATAAATTGTTGAGAGAGCCATTCTAGCCTTTGCAACATTCATGTCATGTGTCGGTGCCAGAGTTTCCACAACAGATCACTTGATTGTTGTGTCTCTCTCAGAAGCAGACTAGAAGAGGATGCAGGTTTCAAAACACAGTCATGCTGCTGCAGACTGTTTGCCTGCCTCTATAAAACTTGCTGCTCCAGATGGTCAATAGCACAAACTCAACTTTTCCCTCCTGGTAGGTTTTCAGACCAGTTTTCCAGATAATTCATAGATAATTCAAGCTTCTGTCTGCCAAGCTCTGTGTGTTCATCCTTTGCTGACTCTGACTCTTTGTGAGAGATGTAGAAAAGGAAGGGCCTTGATCCATCTTGGCAGGAGAGCCAAGGCAAGACCACTTTTTAAGCAGCCTGCTTTAAAGATGGCGATTCTCAGCATTTGTGTCTGGTTTGGAGATTTCAGCCATCCTTTGTTATATAGCCTCTCCTGTTCTGAAGAAGTGGAGACACAAAAGTTTGGGTTGGTGTTTTTGCTATTTTCAAAGAGCTTATTAGCATTTCACACCCTTCATAGCTCCAACAGGCTTGTAGGTAACCTGTCATGTGTATAATTAGTTGCAGATAAAAAGCTGTACCAAAGCAGAGGCCTTATTTTTTTTCCACCTTAGGCCCCTAAATGACTGACATAGGGGATGTGTTGTGAGAAGGCAGGCGGACTACTAAAAACTTCTGTAAGCTGGTAACTTTTTTGTGAATGTATCTTGCAGAGCTGCTTTTAGAAATCCACAAACTGCACTTTATTAGGCAAAGTAAGTTCTAAAATGGAGGCCCTGTTGATCTTGGCAGGTGGTGTCATAGGAATTGCATGGTGCAAAATAGCTGCTCGGCTGGCTGTCTTGCAGAAACTTAGGTACAAGGGCTTAGGTATTGTCTGTTTGCTGTTGGTTTGCTTGTTGGTTTTTTGTTTGCAACTGATGGCTGATGTTCCTCCAGCAAAGGGACCACAAGGCCCCTCTGTCCCCTTGCAAATTCTGAATTTGCACTGTTGCCTAAAAAATAATAATGCAGCAGAGAAGTTTGTGAGTAGTAATGTGGGCATACATTGTTTTATGACTTCCGCTATAAGGAATGTATAAGCTATAAGAAATTTATAACGTCCTTCAAATGCTGGTATCCTGTGGTTTTTTATTTTATTTTTTTAAGGCGGCTCAATTTTGGGGCCAAAAAGGGTAATCTGGATTAACCCCGCTGCCGCCGCCTTTCTCTTTATGACTGAAGTTGCTGAAGTATTTCCTTTCCAACCGCAAAAAAAACCTGACTACTTAACGAGTGTGGGATGGGGAAAGAAACTGTTTACTGTGTTGTTGTACATATTGTGCTTTATATTCTGTATATTAGCATTTTAAGGGAGTGGGGATAACCAGATGTAATGTATTTGTGCTCTAATTGGGAGAAAGGTCCAAGGGTTAACCATTTCTTAAGCTTACTCCAGAAGCACATGCCTCCCACCCCCCATCAAAGTGGGATTTCCCTGTTCCTCATCTGTAGCACAGTCTCACATGAGCCTGTGTTTATTGATGGTTCAGAAACTTTCATTTTGGTTAGGGCACCCAAAAATTGTGTGAGCATCCTGGCACTTCCATGCTCCAAGCGGGTTGTTGCCATGCATTCATGAGTGCCAAAAAGCTCCCACCTTACACATCCAATCTGATGTCCCAAAGCACTGTGGGGACTTTTCCTCTTTTGGAAAAGGAAGCACACCCACGAATCCCGTCCATCTCTGCTTGAACTGCCCTGTGCTGCTGGTCCTGCTTCTAGGAGAGGAGCTCTGAAACATGGTTCATCCTTCATTTCTCAAGTTCTTTCTAGCAAATGTTTTGGTTTTGAATAATCTCTCTCCTCCCCTTCCCTTTCCTTTCTTTCACATACCAAACGGGCTTCTCTGTGAATCAGGGATGTACCTGAAGCTTGTTGGTGGGGAAAACGGGTTCTGGTAATTCTTTGTTTAAAAGGAAAAAAAACCCTTACAATAAACGCCAAACTTCCTGGTTATTGAAAGTTTCGTTTGTGTCTATCTTTTTCTGCGGGGCTGGGCAGCACAGCAATGGTGGACGGAGCCAGTAGCAGAATGGGTGGGGCAGTGGATGTGACTACCCCCTTTTGTTACATTTCATCCAGGCAGAAATCAGGTTTGCATGTCCCTCTCATACACACACCCTCCTTTTTCCAGGCAAAAGCTCTCAGGTAAAGGTAAAAAGGTAAAGGGACCCCTGACCATTTGGTACAGTCGTGGCCAACTCTGGGGTTGCGGCACTCATCTCGCTTTATTAGCTGAGGGAGCTGGCGTACAGCTTCCGGGTCATGTGGCCAGCATGACTAAGCCGCTTCTGGCGAACCAAAGCAGCACACGGAAACGCCATTTACCTTCCCAGAGCGGTACCTATTTATCTACTTGCAATTTGACGTGCTTCCGAACTGCTAGGGTGGCAGGAGTAGGGGCCGAGCAACGGCAGCTCACCTCGTCGCGGGGATTTGAACCGCCGACCTTCTGATCGGCAAGTCCTAGTCTCTGTGGTTTAACCCATAGCACCACCCGCGTCCAAAAGCTCTCAAGGAAGTGGCTATAGAGCAGGGTTGGAGTTGGGGGATGGTTTGGCTTGAGGCTTGGATCTCATTCAGCTCCTGGACCTGAGGTTCCCCACCCTTAATTTAGTCCAGTGAAGACTGAGCATGCTCAGTGGTCACAGAACACTGAGTGCCTGTTTGGGGAGTAGGGAGCAGAAAGTTGGGGGATGGAATGGAGTGTCCTGGAAGACTGTAAAGCTGGCAAGAACCTGGAATGGAGTTTTCCACACTGCAAGTAGTAGCAAGCCCATGCTGCTGCTACAGAACAAGGCTGTAGTGAACCCTCTGTGTTGCACACCAGGCTCCACCAACCCTGGTGCCTTGTAAGTGTTTTGGACTAAATCTCCCATCAGCCCCAGCCAGTGCTGATGGAATTACAGTTCAGAGCACCTGGAGGACACCAGGTTGGTAGTGACTGATCCGCACCAACTCTTTCCAACTTAAGTGAAGCCTGTGAAGACCTGCCCCTTATGAGCTCAGGATCCTGCAAAAATTCTCCCTCAAGCTTCTTGTAAGGTAAAAAGGTAAAGGACCCCTGGATGGTTAAGTCCAGCCAAAGGAGACTAAGGGGTTGTGGCGCTCATCTCACTTTCAGGCCAAGGGAGCTGGCTTTTGTCCACAGACAGCTTTCCGGGTGACGAAACACCATGATGGAAGCCGGAGCGCACGGAAACGCCATTTACCTTCCCGCTGCAGCGGTACCTATTTATCTACTTGCACTAGTGTGCTTTCAAACTGCTAGATTGGCAGAAGCTGGGACAGAGGAATGGGAGCTCACCCTGTTGCACGGATTTGAACTGCGACCTTCCGATCAGCAAGCCCAAGAGGCCACAGTGCCACCCGCATCAAGCCTCTTGTATTCAGTCCCTCACTGTGGCATCAGGCTTTGTTTTTTCTTTAAGTGAAACTTGCATATAACTTTCTCCTGGTACTTCCAGCAGGCCCATTGATCATGCGGTGTTCTGTTACCCCTGTTTTCTACTTATAGCCTTAGAATGCTAATAATAGCTCACTTCAAGGTAATGCTGATAATGGTCTGTCTGGATAGATCTGTGTGCCGAGAGCACCTTTCCTAGTTGCTCAGCCTCCACTACCTCATTTAAAACAGAATTAGTTTTTTAAAAAAACAACAACACATTTCTTGAAAATATTATTTCATTTATTACCTGCCCTTTGCCAACAGGTCCCCAGGATAGGCTAGAACAACCTTAAAATTCAGCGTTAAAGGTAAAGGGACCCCTGACCGTTAGGTCCAGTCACAGACGACTCTGGGGTTGCAGCACTCATCTCGCTTTATTGGCCGAGGGAGCCGGCGTACAGCTTCCGGATCATGTGGCCAGCATGACTAAGCCGCTTCTGGCGAACCAAAGCAGCGCACAGAAACGCCGTTTACCTTCCTGCCGCAGCGGTACCTATTTATCTACTTGCACTTTGACGTGCTTTCAAACTGCTAGGTTGGCAGGAGTAGGGACCGAGCAATGGGAGCTCACCCCATGACGGGGATTCAAACCTCCGACCTTCTGAATGGCAAGCCCTAGGCTCTGTGGTTTAGACCACAGCGCCACCCGCGTCCCTAATTCAACATTAACAATGGTTAAAACAAATAACGGGCTGCGTTCCGAAAACACATCTCATGTGTCAAAAGGCCAGAGCAAAGAAGTGTGTCTTTAGAATACAACAAAAGCTGCACAATGAAAGTACCTGATGGACCTCCGTGGGGTGGGAGTTCCACAGTTCAGAAGGTGCCACCAAGAATGCCCTCTCCTGGGCTGGCCACCCCCCTGAGCTTCTGAGGGCAGAGGAACTACCAAGAGAGGCCCCTCTGCTGATTTCAGCACCCAGAAGGCTCTGTAGGGAAGGAGGTGGCCTTTTAGGTGTTTGCAGCCTGGGTCTAGGGCTTTAACGACCCAGAAGGTACTATTGGAGGGTTTGGAATTTTTAACATGCTTTTGTTCTGGGCTCCTCGCCTCACCACTAGCAGCCCTGCTTGTGATTCCCAGCAACTAATATTTCAAGGCCCCTGGCACCGTTCTTAACAGGAGGTAGAACCTGCCCTTGACGCATAGCTGTCAACCGTCCCTTATTTGGCGGGAAACTCCCTTATCCCAGCGCCGTGTTCCGCTGCTGTCCCTTATTGATGATGTCCCTTAAATTTCCCGGATTTCAAAGGAAGCAGCTTCCCTGCCGGCCAGGGAGGGGGGAGGCTCCAACTGTGTTGCTTGGCTGCCCGGCTCGCCCCCCTCCGGCCTCCTCTCACCAGCCTCGGCCTCTGGGAGCCCCTCTGCCCCGGGACTGTCGGGAGCCTTGGGCCCTTCCGCCGCCATCCTCCTCACAGCCGCCGAACTGAGCTTCTCTGCTTGGGGCCTCCCCTCTGTCTGCCGCTCCCGCCGCTCCCGCTAGACCCTACTGCGGCTGCGCTGCTGAAGGACCCGGATGAGATGGGCAGCCTGGCGCGGCCTATGAATTACTGAGGAGCCTTGAGAGGAGAGCGAGGGCAACCATAGAGAAAGCAGTTCAGAGAGAGGAGGATGAGGTGGAGGCGCAGGCAGGTGTTCCAAGGGCTAACCATAGAGGGGGAAAGCGGAGGAAGCACTGCAAGCGCTTCTCCCATAGATTTGTAGTGGTAGACTAGCATAGATGGTCTGACCTGTGGGTTTACTTCGGGTGCTATCCCCCCCCTTCCTCCCGCCCCGCCTGATGGAACTGAGAGCTGCAGATGGAGCACGAGAGAAAAGATACAGAACTGCAGCAGCATCTTCGTAGCTTGGACTTCGTTTTGCGTGAAAAGTGGTTGCTGCTTGTAGTTATTTAATTGCAGTGTTTCATCAGCTGGTGTCTTGAGCAGCAACCTCTGGAAACGAAGGGCTAAAAACCAGCGCTGCTCTCCCAAATTATCTGGTCCCTTTTCACTTTGTATTTCAGCTGGTTGACTAAAATCCCTTATTTTGGCTGCTGATCCCTTATTTTCAAATCTGTAAGTTGACAGCTATGCCTTGACGACTCAAGAGCTCTTGACCCAACTGCACTGTAGTTGTTGGAGATCACAGGAGGAGAGAGGGCTCTTGTGGTCAGATCCTGCTCTCAGACTTCCCTTTGGGCATCTATCTGGTTGGCCAGAGTGAGAACAGGATGCTGGATTGGATGGACCTTTGGCCTGATCCAGCAGGGCTCTTTTTATGTTCTCCAGCAATACCAGGCAGATATCCCACAGAGAAAGCTCTTCTCTCTATCAGTGGTTCTCAACCTTGGGTCCCCAGATGTTTTTGGCCTACAACTCCCATGATCCCTAGCTCACAGGACCAGTGGTCAGGGATGATGAGAGTTGTAGGCCAAAAACATCTGGGGACTCAAGGTTGAGAAAGGCTGCATGGGTAGTGAAATAAAAAAAATTAAGGTATTATATATATAATAAATGTTCATAAATGTACCAACCAAGTTCATACATGGATGTGTGGACCACATGTCTGGAGCAGCACAGGAGGACCGCCCTGAAACCATTTTCAAATGTGTTTTCTGCAAGGAGGGAGGAGGTGGGGGAGCCTCCCCATTGTCTTTTTGTTCACAAATCCTGTCTTAAGGGTATGTTTGTGTATGAATAGGGTGAGCCTGTGACCTGGCTCAGGAACTAAGTATTTGTCATTACAAAAGTCTGGCCAGGCTCCCCAGGGTATCCAATCAAGTAAGCATTAACAGGTAACCTGCCAAACAGGAGGTAAACAACACACTCAGATTTCTGCTGTAGACCACCCTTTCTGTTGTTACGGAAAAATCTAGGTGTGAGGCTGCTCAGTCACCCAGCTCGTCGGGCAGAGCCCACGGGTCCCTGCAGAATAAAGGAAGGAGTCCAGCCAACCGGAGCAAATAGCTATAGACCAAAGTTTATTGCGCAATCCAAAGTTTATTGCGCAATAGTTTCAAAGAGCAAATTTGAACCCCGAGGATGGGGTGACAAAGACTTTTAAAACTTTCCCACCATATCCCAGAATACAGTTCGTACAGCATCATTGCTACATCAATACTACATCACTGACATGTCACAAAAGGTGAGGGGTTAATATTGGCAAACATGTCCAGACAAGTCCTTGGTACAAGATTAGCATAAGCAGACATGGCAGGGCAAGACTCAGGTATAAGATTAGCATAGACAAATATGTCTTAAGTACCCACCACCCAAAAGATTTGGCTTCCTTTGGCTAACAATGAGCCCAGCAATTGTCACCTCTGGGAACTTCCTGGAGTCCTTTTTCAAGGGGAAAATAGCTTTGGAATGGAGGAAACTGGGAAAGGTTTTATATTATTTTTAAAGCTAGGTAACTTCCCTGAGCTGTCAAGTTGAAAGGATACATTCAGGCATAATATTTGTAATATTTAACTTTAAAGATGTGCCCCCCCCGGTAATTTCCGTAACACTGTGATGTAGGTATGAAGTATCTGGGGGTGGTGGTCTTGAGCTACACCCCTTCTGTGATGTAGGTATGATGTTTCTGGGGGTGGTCTTGAACTCCAAGGCGGGCAATTTAAAATGTCTATATAAGGGCGGACACACCTTTGTTCTGGGTCCTCCTCCTCCTCCTGCATGTGAAGGGGGCACCCTGTTGCAACAGTTCAATAAAGATCAGGCTTTGCTTCTCAATATTCTCAGGTTGGCCTCTGTTATTTTCTCCGACCGATGAAGAACCTGCAAAGGACTCTGTAAGGGCTCTTGTGTCCCCCATAAGGGAATAAGGGCAGATTTACGTTTATTACTGTTATGTACTAAAGTTCTCACCCTGGGCCAGCAGGGGGATACTGTAGATAGTTTTCACTCAGGTCCACATATGCAAATAAGGGATTGAAAGTGACGTTCAGTGATTGGATAGTTACAGAAAATGGTTACTGTTGCGTTCTAGTGGAGCTCTATATAAGCAGGCTGGCTGAACCCTTCAGTTCAGTTCTGTTCTGGCCTGTGAATAAACAAGAGCTGTTTGAAGAATTGCTGTGTCGTCTGATATGTTCACCCACAACTTAACAATTACAGTAGGCAAACTAAGGCCTGGGGGCCGGATCCGGGCCAATCGCCTTCTAAATCTGGCCCGTGGACAGTCCGGGAATCAGCGTGTTTTTACATGAGTAGAAGAAGAAGAAGAAGAAGAAGAAGAGTTTGGATTTGATATCCCGCTTTATCACTACCCGAAGGAGTCTTAAAGCGGCTAACATTCTCCTTTCCCTTCCTCCCCCACAACAAACACTCTGTGAGGTGAGTGGGGCTGAGAGACTTCAGAGAAGTGTGACTGGCCCAAGGTCACCCAGCAGCTGCATGTGGAGGAGCGGAGACGTGAACCCGGTTCCCCAGATTATGAGTCTACCACTCTTAACCACTACACCACACTGGCTCTAGAATGTGTGCTTTTATTTAAAATGCATCTCTGAGTTATTTGTGGGGCATAGGAATTCGTTCATATTCCGCCCCCCCCCCCAAATATAGTCCGGCCCTCCACAAGATCTGAGGGACAGTGGACCGGCCCCCTGCTGAAAAGGTTTGCTGACCCCTGCTCTAGATGCATCTTCATAGCACGGACAGCTGCACCAGTTGCATTTCTGCCTGTCCAGCTGCCGCAGACTAAGGGAAAATGCTTGCCCTGGTCTGGGGCCGATATCCAACCCTTTGTGAATGCATTGGAAATGCTGCAGGATTCCTTAGTTTGCCCCCCACATTTCCCCACCCGCTTTCTCAGCTGATTCCCCCTTTAAGAGACCTTTGCTGCGTTTCCCCTTTACCTCTCTCATTTAAAGGTTGCAACTTGAAGCCGGCGTCTGATTGGTCGGAACTCTGCGGTGCCGCCTTCTGGTTGGTTCCCGCGGCTCCCTCCCCGTTTTCCGAAGAGTATTGGGTTAGCCTACTTGCCTTTCTTGGGGGGGGGGGCAAAAGAAGAATCTAAATATAGATACTTTCAGCTTGGGATATTTGAGGCTGAACTCTGCTGAGAAAATATACATAACAATAAATGCTTTTCGGAGCTATGTTCTGTAGCAATGCGTAATGGGTTGTTCTTCTCTGGTGGGGGTTATGCAGATATCCTCCCCCGCATTGCTAAGAGAATGGTCCATTCCAAATTAAGGAACAGGGAGGGGTTACCCCTTTCCATGCGTGCTTTGCTCCCAGTTTGGGATTCCTTTTTGCAAAGCCTCTAAAGAGAGAGATATATATACAGTGTATATCCGTAGGATGTTGCTTCCACTGTTACAGAGAACGCTACCCAGAGTGGGGTGAGTTTGGATTATTGGGGGCGATGGGGGAGACTATTTGGGGAGGGGGGCAAATCCTCTCTTTCCTGTCTTGAGTTCCAATTTTCCAAGTGTGGGGCAGTCAGGCTGAAACCACCCCATCGCAGACTGTGCTCCTGTATATAATAATAATAGCAGCAGCAGTAGTAGTAGTAGTAGTTTATTATTTATACCCCGCCCATCTGGCTGAGTTTCCCCAACCACCCTGGGCGGCTTCCAACAGAATATTAAAATACAATAACCTATTAAACATTAAAAGCTTCCCTAAACAGGGCTGCCTTCAGATGTCTTCTAAAAGTCAGATAGTTGTTTTTCTCTTTGACATCTGGTGGGAGGGCGTTCCACAGGGCAGGTGCCACTACTGAGAAGGCCCTCTGCCTGGTTCCCTGTAACTTGGCTTCTCGCAGTGAGGGAACCGCCAGAAGGCCCTCGGCGCTGGACTTCAGTGTCTGGGCAGAACGATGGGGGTGGAGACGCTCCTTCAGGTATACTGGACCCAGGCCGTTTAGGGCTTTAAAGGTCAGCACCAGCACTTTGAATTGTGCTCGGAAACGTCCTGGGAGCCAGTGTAGGTCTTTCAAGACCGGTGTTATATGGTCTCGGCGGCTGCTCCCAGTCACCAGTCTAGCTGTCGCATTCTGGATTAGTTGTAGTTTCTGGCTGGCTTTTATATTGGGTATTGCAGAGCCCCTCTTATAGAAGTCTGAAAGTGACCCACCCCCATTTTGAAAGGAAGGTCTTCTTGCCACTATCTGATCATCCTTCGGGATGGTGGTGGGGAGCCTGGAGCCCTTAGTTCTAGGGGTATCTCTGGAGTAACCTCCTTCCTTGTCTGCAAAAGTACCCCTCCAGTAAACAAAGATCAAAACTGGGCAGTCCCTTCTACTTTTTGGGGGGAGGTAGGGAACCTCCTAGTAGCCTCCCCAGGAATTACTTTTCTATTCATTCCTCAATGAATAGCCCCCTTCTACTGATTCCTGACGTAAGGGCCCCTTCCAGAGTTTGTCTGCAAGCCTAACTTCACTTAACCTGTGAGTTACGCTCCATTCAATTCAATGGGACATTTATGTATACATGGTTAGGATTTCAGCCATGATCTCTTTCTGTCTCCTGGATCTTACTCTCTTGTGCTGTTTTAAGGATTTGCGGTTTCAAACTGTCAGTAAACATTCTATTGGTGGGTGGTAGCAGGGGATTGAGATCTGTATTTGTTGAGCTGTGTCTCACATTAGCCCTTCTTTGAGTAAACTCAGAAACTTAATGGACATTGTCAAACTTGAGACCATTAATTTCAGTAGGTCTAATCTGGGTAAAACTAACCCATAGTATTTATCTCCTGGGACAGGCACCCGTTTCCCTCTCTTTTTATCTCCAGAAGCCTTTCGCTTTCTGAGACTTTGACCATGCCCGAAAAGAGCAATTTCCCCAAATTCAGATAACCTGGAAAAAAACAGACTTGGGGGAGGGGTTGTTAGGTGTGTTTCCCTCTTTCCCTAGGCAGTCAAAGATTTTGCAAGGAGCTTCAAGGCAAGAACTTTGACAGAGGTCGGGTGGCTGCTCTGATGAAATTTTCTGGCCTGTCGTCAGCAAGTGGAATTTTTTCTTTCTCCCCCCCACCAGCAAAAGAACTTCAGTGGGAGGTTAAAAGATGATTCTAGCGCTTAAAAATTAAACTGCAGGAGGAAAACTTCTGCATTTTTGCCCTTCAGAGTGCTTGCCTTAACTTTATTTGGAAAAGAATTATAGGCTTTAAATTAAAATGCTGATCCCAGGCTTTACTGCTAAATTCATTATTATTGTTAATTACCCAACCTTCACCCTAAGGCGATCAGGTCCTTAAGGTGGTAAAACCAACACGTGATTTTTAAAAAGACGCACTTGTGTTGTTGTTTTTTAAAATTCAGACTGAAATAAAAATGAAATAAAATATTTAAAAAGATAGCAACAGGGCGATAGTTCCCATTCAGCTTTGGCAGACTTGGCCAAATGGAAACATCACAATTTTGGTGTGGTCTTACCAACTCAAATCATTTGTCCATTTAGTTCAGTGCTGTCTACTCTGACTGGCAGCCGCTCTCCAGGGTTTCAGGCAGGGGGAATCCCAGCCCTAGCTAGAGATGCTAGTTATTGAATCTGGGACCTTCTACTATGCCCCTTTCAGATGCAGCTGAACTACAACTCCCACCGCTGCTGTCTGTGCTTGCTGGGTCTGCCAGGAGTTGTAGTTCAGCAACATCCAGGGGGCCTTAATTCTTAAGTCTATCTCTTGCCTCCCGTTGACATAGACTCCTGGTAATTCCAACAGTCCCACAGTCCTGTTATCTCTATCTGCCTCGCACCTTTCCTTTCCTTATCGCAGCTAATGAGGGCTTGGATTTTATCAGCGCTTGCATGAGATAACAGACCGGCAAAGCCACCATCTTAGGAAAGCAAACATAGGCAGCCGGTCTGCTTTCCCCATGTCTCTCCAACTGCATTTGCCCTAAAGTTCTTGAAGAAAATTCGAGCTGGCTCGCCGGCCCAGTGCAGAGAAGAATGTCAAACTTTGCACCAAGACGCACAGGTCCAGCTACAGTCTGCTGAGCAAACTGTTGAACTTTGGACTGAAGGCCAAAACGTTGGGCAGGCTGCGTTGGCAATGGCAGCCTCCCTGTAGCAAGATCTTTTGCTAGCGCTGTTCATAGCTGTCAACCGTCCCTTATTTGGCGGGAAAGTCCCTTATCCCAGCGCTGTGTCCCGCTGCTGTCCCTTATTGATGATGTCCCTTAAATTTCCTGGGTTTCAAAGGAAGCAGCTCCTCTCCTTCCCTGCCTGCCCGCCAGGGAGGAGGGAGGCTCCAGCTGTGTTGCTTGGCTGCGTTGCTCACCCAATAAGGAGTCTAAGAACGACTGGGGGGTGGAGCTTGCATGCCTTCTGCCGATCAAATCGGCCGTGTTGCCTGGAGACTCACCTTTGCTCAGCGCTTCCCAGCGGAGAGGTGACAGTGGTTTTCCTTGCTGCATCCCCTTTGCCGGGTTGCTGCGCTGTGGGAACCACTACTTGAGGCTTCATTTGGCTGCTGGCTGGGCTTTCTGCATTTGGCTCGGAGGGGCTCAGAAGTTGAACATACCTGTGTTCGGAAAATTCCTTATTTTGGCTGCTGATCCCGTATTTTCGAGGCTGCAGGTTCCTTGTTTTCAAATCTGTAAGTTGACAGCTATGGCGCTGTTGTGGATGTCATTCTGTAGCCGTCCTCTGCCATGGGCTTCCTGTAAAAGAACCCAGCAGCTTAATAGGGGGTAATTCCCAAAGGGACCCAGAACTAACATTTCTCCCTTTTCTTTCTCCCTTCTCCCACCTGCCCCCCTACCAGGCTGCGATGGCAGCACCGAGCCACTGCAGAGGTGGCCAACGAACCCATTTTGGCATTCAAGTCCGGCAGCCCCGAACGAGCAGCTCTGCAGAAGGTACTGCATAGAGGAGATATACGCACTTTGGGCATCTTTGAACTTGACCATCACTTGCCTTTACTGCCCCTCACTGCCTCCGTCACAACTCTGCCTTCTTTTAATGCCAGAATGGGGAAGCCTTGGCCCTCCAGATGTTGCTGCCACGGCTGATGGGAATTGGGAGTCTAGCAACATCTGGAAGGCCCACAGTTCCCCCATCCCTAAACAAGACCATCACTTGCCTTTACTGCCCCCAGCTACCGTATTTTTCCATGTATAACACGCCCCCGTGTATAAGACTAAAAATTGGGGACTAAAAATTGAGAAAATGGGGGGAGATTGCCAGTTGCTGAACTTTTTGGGGGGGAATTGCCTAGACTTGTTGAAAATTGCTCACCCGCAGGACTGCCACAACCAATCACACACACATCCACAAAGCCACCAATCATCTGCACACTCGCTGAAAGCAAGCACCAATTGCCCACCCAATTGCCACAGCAACCAGTAGCCAGCGGACCTTGACGCACCCACCAATAACACGCAAAAACGCCGCTGGCAATCTCCTACTCGTGGCAGCCAACAATCGCCCGTCCCAACTCTCCACTATCCGTGTATAAGATAAACCCCAATTTTTTTGCATAATTTTAAAATAAAAAACCTTCACCCTATACACGGAAAAATACGGTACTTCCATCAGCTACTGTTTTCCTTGTGCATTTTTTCCTTGTTCATACCTACTTCCTTGGGTTATGGGGCTTTTCATGCCAAAGCGTTTTTACTGTTATGCCAACTTAGGTACCCTAATTCGAAGCATCCTCAGATTTTGCATCCTATTCAACTTCTAGAGTGTCATGCTGTTTTGGAAGAAGTTAAAGGTAAAGGTAACTGTTAGGTCCAGTCGTGACTGACTCTGGGGTTGCACGCTCATCTCGCTCTATAGGCCGAGGGAGCCGGTGTACAGCTTCCGGGTCAAGTGGCCAGCATGACTAAGCCGCTTCTGGCGAACCAGAGCAGCGCACAGAAATGCCATTTACCTTCCTGCCGGAGCGGTATCTATTTATCTACTTGCACTTGTGCTTTCGAACTGCTAGGTTGGCAGGAGCAGAGACCGAGCAACGGCAGCTCACCCCGTTGCGGGGATTCGAACTACCGACCTTCCGATCGGCAAGCCCTAGGCTCTGTGGTTTAGACCACAGTGCCACCTGCGTCCCTTTGGAAGAAGTTACATAACCCTTAATCTTACTTATACATGTATGGGTCTGAGTGACAGACGTCTTTGTTACATATCTTTAGGCACCAGCCAGAAACATTCTTTCCCCTCCAGGCCTTTGGCTACTTCAACCATCTATGGCCTTTTAAACTGTGTTATTGTTTTTGTTTGTTACTATGTTACGTATTTTTATGTTTTTATGTTGTAAATTACTCTGTGATCCTTGGATAAAGGGCAGTATAGAAATTTAATTAATAATTGTAGTTGTAATAATAATAATAATTTTAATGCAGAGATGGGGAATGAACCCATGGCTTCCAGATATTGCTTAACTACAGTTCCCATCCGGTGTTAGAAACTAAGATATATAAGCTGGGCACCAAATGGCTCTTAACTCTTTCTGTAGACTCTAAATGATTTGAAAGGCAAGACCGAATCCATCCCTTGTGTCGTCGGAGGAGAGGAGGTGTGGACGGCCGATGTGAGGTATCAAGTCTCGGTGAGTTCCGTCGGCAAACTTCCGCTTATATTTGCATTTTGTTAGTGGCCTGACATAGCCCTGTGATGAATTTTCCCTCCACTTCCCAAAACCACTAAGCTGTCAAGATTTTGCTTTTAGATTTTGTTTGGGAAGGATACCCTCTCTGTCTTTGGAGCCTGTGGCGATGTAGCTGTTTGAGTGTCAGGCTAGGACCTGGGAGACCCGGGTTCAAATCCTGACTCAGCCGTAAAGCTCTCTGCGGGGACCCTGGGGGCCAGTTGCTGCTTTTGCCTATCTCGCAGGGTTGTTGCTGGGTTTAAGTGAGGGCAGGGAGGAACTATGTACACCCCTTGAGCACCCTGGAGAAAAAGGCGGGATATAAATCTAATGAAAGAAAAGCTTGTTGGGATTAGTTGCTACCTGGGTAGCCCTTGATGTGAGCTTGAAATACTCCTTGAAATATCTTCTGGAATGCCAATGGGCTTTATTCCTAGCTAAGACTACTGCTATCCTATATAAACTTAGGTAAAAGTAAAGGGACCCCTGACCATTAGGTCCAGTCGTGGCCGACTCTGGGGTTGCGGCGCTCATCTCGCTTTATAGGCCGAGGGAGCCGGCGCACAGCTTCCGGGTCATGTGGCCAGCATGACTAAGCCGCTTCGGGCAAACCAGAGCAGCGCACGGAAACGCCGTTTACCTTCCCGCCGGAGCAGTACCTATTTATCTACTTGCACTTTGACGTACTTTCGAACTGCTAGGTTGGCAGGAGCAGGGACTAAGCAACGGGAGCTCACCCCATCGCGGGGATTTGAACCGCCAACCTTCTGATAGGCAAGCCCTAGGCTCTGTGGTTTAACCCACAGTGCCACCCGCGTCCCTGTATAAACTTACCTGGGAGTAAATCCTGTTGAACCTTGGGAGACGGGGCTGGTTTCTGAGTAGACGGGCAGAACGTTACTATAAGGACCTCCAAAAATACCTTTCTTTTCTTTTTCAGCCTTTCAACCATTCCCACAAAGTGGCCAAATACTGCTACGCAGATAAGGTGAGCAGCGCCTGCGTCGGAAGCCGTGTCTAGAGGCAGATGTGCTGCTTGGGCACGGATAATTTCCTGGTGGCAGAAATGGGATTTCCTGCATGCTCTACCTGTTGAGCTACAGTCCCTCTCTTACCTCCCACGGCGGCCAATCAGATGCCTCTGGTTGGCCCACCAGCAGGGTGCAAAACTCCCCAACGTCCAGTACTCAGATGAATGCCGCTGTCCTGTGGCAGGGAATGTCGCCGGTGCTGTGTGCATCGAACGGCGGAGGAAGTTATTCTCTCTTTCTATTCTCTTCAAACTGGATTTAATAATAATAATACATTTTATTTATATCCTGCCCTCCCCAGCCGAAGCCGGGCTCAGGGCTGCTAACAACAATAAAATAGTACAACATTCTAAAATCATTTCATTATAAAATTAATTCAACTCAAATTGATGGCAACCATTAGGCTAAAGTTCTGTGAAGATTGCCAAAGGAGGGAGTCAGGCTGTGCCCTGACCAAAGGCCTGGTGGAACAGCTCTGTCTTGCAGGCCCTGCGGAAAGATGTCAAGTCCCGCTGGGCCCTAGTCTCTTGTGACAGAGCGTTCCACCAGATCGGAGCCACAGCCGAAAAAGCCCTGGCTCTAGTTGAGGCCAGCCTTACCTCTCTGTGGCCTGGGACCTTCAGGATGTTTTTGTCTGAAGACCGTAAGTTCCTCTGTGGGACATACCAGGAGAGGCGGTCCCGTAGGTACAAGGGTCCCGTAGGTACAAGGGTCCTAGGCCGTATAGGGCTTTGAAGGTTAAAACCATCACCTTAAACCTGATCCTGTACTCCACTGGGAGCCAGTGCAGCTGGTATAGCACCGGGTGAATGTGATCTCGCAGCGAGGACCCCGTAAGGAGTCTTGCCGCGGCATTCTGCACCCGCTGGAGTTTCTGGGTCCAGTCTCAAGGGCAGCCCCACGTAGAGCGAGTTACAATAATCCAGTCTGGAGGTGACGGTCGCGTGGATCACAGTGGCTAGGTCAGGGGAAGAGAGGTAAGGAGCCAACTGCTTAGCTTGGCGGAGATGAAAAAATGCCGCCTTTGTTATAACTGTAATCTGCGCCTCCATGGAAAGGGAGGTGTCGAAGATTACACCCAAACTCTTAACGGACGGTGCTGGCACTAATTGGGCCCCCGCAAGAGATGGGAGTTGCCCCCCCAATCCCATATCGTCCCTTCCCAGCCAAAGGACCTCTGTCTTCAATTTATTAATTCTTATAAACCTCCCCTGTCGTCTTCTCTGCCAACCAGGACTTGCTGAACAAGGCCATCAAAGCCGCTGTGGCTGCCCGAAGGGAATGGGACCTACGGCCTGTCCAGGACCGTGCAGAGATATTTTTCAAAGCGGCCAACCTGCTGAGCGGTCCCAGGAGAGCGGAAATCCTGGCCAAGACTATGGTGGGACAGGTGTGTGGTGTGTCGCGGGTCTAAAACCCCAGTAGGCTGTGCAAGGGATTATGGGAGATGTTTCTGTGGTTAGGACCCTCCTCTGCATTCCCGCGTGCTGTGTTGAGTTAGAAACAAAAATCTGAAAGAAGAAGCAATATCATTTGCTTATTTATTTTTACTAAAATATTATATACAGTGGTACCTCTGGTTACGTACTTAATTCGTTCCGGAGGTCTGTTCTTAACCTGAAACTGTTCTTAACCTGAAGCACCACTTTAGCTAATGGGGCCTCCCGCTGCTGCCACGCCACTGGAGCATGATTTCTCTTCTCATCCTGAAGCAAAGTTCTTAACCTGAAGCACTATTTCTGGGTTAGCGGAGTCTGTAACCTGAAGCCTATGTAACCCAAGGTACCACTGTATTATGAGAGAGGGCAAAAGCTCTCTTTATTCACGATGGCAGAAAATCTCCGTAATATCTATCTATCCTTTCCTTTAGTCACCTTCCTGCTAAAAAAAATTACAGGCGAGAGTCAAATGCTTTCTCTTTTTTCCTCGCAGGGAAGATTGTGGCCCCTCCTGCATGATTTGCCCCTTTCTGTATCTTAAAAATGATTTTCAGTTTATTTTTAGGGCAGAGATGGGGAACCTGTATACAGTAGTCCCTTGGATTAAGAACTTAATTCGTTCTGGAGGTCCGTTCTTAACCTGAAACTGTTCTTAACCTGAAGCACCACTTTAGCTAATGGGGCCTCCCGCTGCCACCGCCACGTGATTTCTGTTCTCATCCTGAAGCAAAGTTCTTAACCCGAGGTACTATTTCTGGGCTAGCGGAGTTTGTAACCTGAAGCTTCTGTAACCTGAAGTGTATGTAACCCGAGGTACCACTGTACAGACTCTGCTAATCCAGAAATAGTACTTCAGGTTAAGAACTTTGCTTCAGGATGAGAACAGAAATCGTGTTCCGGCGGCGCAGCAGCAGCAGGAGGCCCCATTAGCTAAAGTGGTGCTTCAGGTTAAGAACAGTTTCAGGTTAAGAACGGACCTCCGGAACGAATTAAGTACTTAACCCGAGGTACCACTGTACTGCTTGATTGCAGGGGGTTGACCCTTGGCAGCCCCTTCCAACTCTACAGTCCTTGGATTGTATGATTGCAAAATAAAAGAAACCCAATCTTTTAGCGCCTAGACTTTGGAACTCCCTGCCTCTTGACACCGGGCAAGCATCTTCACCATACACTTTCTGCTGAAAATGTTTTTGATTAGGCAAAGCCGATCCAGGCACGTGGAATGCTTGCGAGGGTTTTGACCCGATTTTCAACACCTTGTTGATTTTTGTTATTTTTTTCCCAGTGTTTCAAATGTTTGATTTTAACTTTTCTTTTTAAAGTAATAATTTCATTGTTCTGTTCATTTTTTTTTATGAACGCCGAACAAGTATTATGTGGTAGCTCTGCGTTAAGGGGAGGCAAGCAGAGGCCTGTGTGGATAAGGGACCGAACATGAACTTGGAAGAATGGCAACTTTGGAAGGTTTTGTTTGTTTAAACCAGGCAAAGACCGTCATCCAGGCAGAGATTGACGCGGCCGCGGAGCTCATCGACTTCTTCCGTTTCAATGCCAAATACGCCGTGGAGCTGGAGGAGCAACAGCCGCTCAGCGTTCCCCCCAGTACCAACAGCATGATCTATCGGGGGCTGGAGGTGGGGCACAAAGGTTGTTCCCCCCTGGGGTGGGGTACCCTGTATGCGACAGTCAGGATAGAGACCATTGTGACTGCGGGGGCGGGGAGCGGGTTGGACCAGAAAATCCTTGAGGGTTCCTCCCAACTCTGTAATTCTATGATCATAAAGACAACAATCCATGCACAATCCTGGACAATTCTGTGCCCAGGGCAGCTGTTTACCAGCTCCATCTGGTACGCAGGCTGAGACCCTACCTTCCCGCAGACTGTCTCGCTAGAGTGGTGCATGATCTAGTTATCTCCCACTTGGACTACTGCTATGCGCTCTACGTGGGGCTACCTTTGAAGGTGACCCGGAAACTGCAACTAATCCAGAATGCGGCAGCTAGACTGGTGACTGGGAGTGGCTGCTGAGACCACATAACACCGGTCCTGAAAGATCTACACTGGCTCCCAGTACGTTTTCGAGCACAATTCAAAGTGTTGGTGCTGACCTTTAAAGCCCTAAACGGCCTCAGCCCAGTATACTTGAAGAAGCATCTCCACCTCCATTGTTCTGCCCAGACACTGAGGTCCAGTGCCGAGGGCCTTTTGGCGGTTCCCTCGCTGCAAGAAGCCAAGTTACAGGGAACCAGGCAGAGGGCCTTCTCGGTAGTGGCGCCCGCCCTGTGGAATGCCCTCCCATCAGATGTCAAGGAAATAAACAACTATCTCACTTTGAGAAGGCATCTGAAGGCAGCCATGTTTAGGGAAGCGTTTAATGTTTAACAGACCACTGTATTTTAATCTTTTGTTGGAATCCTCCCAGAGTGGCTGGGGAAACCCAGCCAGATGGGCGGGGTATAAATAATAAATTATTATTATTATTATTTATTATGTGCTTTGCTAAATGGCGTTCGCCCCCCAACTTCTGACCATCTTATTAGTCCCGCCCACCCACCTTTTCTGACTTCTGCATGGTTTCAAGCTCTCCTGTGCACAATGAGGGCTAGAAGCTTTGCAGGGTTGTGTGTTTTTTTAAAAATGAAAACGAAGTTTCTCAGGGAGCTGCAGCCCTGTGCATATTTTTTAAAAAAGATGCTACAGATGCTTATGCGGGCTCATTCGCTCGCTCGATCGCTTGCGCCTTCCCCTTCCCCCCCAGAAACTCTTCCGTGGCTGCTTATTCCACGGTCCTAATTCATCCTTTTCCCCCTACTCCTGCAGGGTTTCATTGCTGCCGTCTCCCCCTTCAACTTCACCGCCATCGGAGGGAACCTGGCAGGAACTCCTGCTTTGATGGTGAGTAATCGGGGGGGGGGGTGCGCCCTGGGTGGCTCTTTGGTGTTTCGTCCTCCCCCCACCAGCCAGTGGCAGGGGGAGTTTTGGGGAGAAGTGTTTCTCTCCCCTCCCCTCTCTGTGCATCACGTATTTCTACACCCAGCCCTGTGCTTTTTGAACACCAGGGGGGGTCCCTCCCGCTGCCCGCTGAGCTGAGCATCTCACGGGGAAAGCGTTCCGGTTCTTAAACATCACCCTCCCTCCCCTCGCCATCCTCTGGACATTTTAAAAAAAGGTCTTTTTTTTAACACTAGGATACTTCCTCAAAGTTTGCTAGGCAATCCTGAGACGGGGAGGAGAGTGGGTTAGGGACAAAAGCACCTATCCAAATCTCTCAAATTCAAGAACGTAAGAATTTAGGAATAATCAGGCCACTGTCCCAACTAGTCCCTCAAGCGCAAGGGCCTTCTCCCCTCCTGTAGTTTTCCGCAAAAAGAGAGGTTGGTAGCCATCACTGCCTCCTGTGGCAGGCAGTTCCATAGTTTATACACTGCATGAAGAAGTTATTTCTTTTATCTTCCAATGTTCGGCTGCGTTGGAGGAGTTCTAGTGTTATGAGAGAGGGAGAAATATTTTCTCTCTCCGCTTTCTCCATGCCACACACAAATTTGTAAACTTCTATCATGCCCCCTCTTCCTTGCTTTTTCTCAAAACCATGAAAGGTTACATCATTTGGGACTTTTTAGAGCAGGGTTTCCCAAACTTGGGTCTCCAGCTGTTTTTGGACTACAATTCCCATCATCCATGACCACTGGTCCTGCTAGACATGGATGATGGGAGTTGTAGTCCAAAAACAGCTGGAGACCCAAGTTTGGGAAACCCTGCTCTAAACTAAAAAGTCCCAAATGATGTAACCTTTCATCGCAGGGGAGTCTCTCCTCCCCCTCGATCGCTTTAGTTGCCCTGTTCTGAACCTTTTGAAACTCGACAGTGTCCTTTTTGAGTTGAGGCTCCACCTGGGAAACTCTTTTGTAGCTGCAGGGCTCATCCCTGCCATCTCCAGGTAGGCTTGAGATGTCCTTTTTGTGAAGCCCTGGGAGCCGCTGCCAGTCAGTGTAGACAATACTGAGCTATATGTACCAATTGGTCTGATAAGGCAGCTTTCTGTTCAGGGTTCAGCCTGCTGAGTGAGACCACAGCGAGCCCACCTGTTCTTGTCTCCTACTGTTTGTCTCCAAGTGACTGGCATTTTGGAGATAGACTGCCCCCGTACACAAAGGCTCCATTCCATGCCACAGTGGCTATTTAAGAACACCCAAAGGCCCAAAGTCAAGCCAGCCTCCTGCTTCCCACACCAGCTGATCAGACGCCTCTGGGAAGCCCATAATCAGGGCACGAAGGCAACAGCCCTCTGCCCTTGTTTCTGCAAAGCAGCTGGCATTCTGAGGTACACGGCCCCTGAACTTGGAGGTTCCATTTAACTGTCCTAACTAAATACCAATTGCATTGCAGGCGGGTGGACTAGAATCCCTTCCAGCTCTACGATTCTATGATTCTGTGACAAATCTGATTTGCTTTGTGGCCTTTGCTTTCTCCCAGGGGAACGTGGTCCTCTGGAAACCTAGCGACACAGCCATGCTCTCCAGCTATGCCGTCTACAAGATCCTTTTGGAAGCGGGGCTCCCGCCCAACGTCATCCAGTTCGTCCCGGCCGACGGCCCCGTTTTTGGTGATACAGTGACAGCCTCGGAGCACTTTTGTGGACTCAACTTCACCGGCAGTGTACCGTGAGTTAGGACGGGTGGGAGACCTCCTGTTTGTAGGCTGCCACCGATTTGAAGTTGTATTTACAGGTTGTTCTATTTCCTGTTCATAGGCTGCCACTTCCTGGAAGTCCTGTTTACGGGATGCTCAGCTTCCTGTTTACAATCTTCCACTTCCTGGAGGTCATATTTGTGGGCAGCTCAGCTTCCTATTTATAGGCTGCCACTTCCTGGAAGAGTTGTTTACCGGGATGCTCAACTTCCTGTTTACACACTGACACTTCCTGGAAGTTGTATTTGCAAATTTCTCAGCTTCCTGTTTATAGATGGATACTTCCTGCAAGATGAATTTGCAGCATGCTTGACTTCCTGTTTATAGGTACCACTTCCTGGAAGAGTTGTTTACGTGTAAACAGCTTCCTGTTTACACACTGACACTTCCTGGAAGTTGTATTTGCAAGCTTCTCAGCTTCCTGTTTATAGACTGATACTTCCTGCAAGATGAATTTGCAGCATGCTTGACTTCCTGTTTATAGGTACCACTTCCTGGAAGAGTTGTTTACGTGTAAACAGCTTCCTGCTTACACACTGACACTTCCTGGAAGTTGTATTTGCAAGTTTCTCAACTTCCTGTTTATTGGCTGATACTTCCTGGAAAGTGTGTTTACGGGTTGCTCAACTTCCTGTTTATAGGTTGACACTTCCTGTCCGTGGCAGAGTGCAGGAGAGACAAAGCCAGAAGTACTTCATTTCGTTCTCTCTCTCTCCCCCCTCTTTTTTTCTTCTTTTTGATTTCAAGTGTGACCAAACTCTTGCTTTTCAAAACAATAAAAATGCTAATGCTCTCACACCAGGAGTCCCACACTCCGGCGCTAATTTATGAGCTCCCCACCTTTTAAGGAGCAGGGGCGCATCCGAGCGTGGCGCTCGTTCAGAGGTTTAGAGGAGGCTGGCGCTTTTAATAGCCTCGCAGTCTTCTGAGAGCCAGAGATTGCAGGAGAGGGGGGTCAGGCCGGGGTGGAAATGGCAACTCCCGCTCGCCCCAGAAAACAGCAAATTGTAATGGGAGGGAGAGAGAGAATCTGCTGATGCAGCCTCTGCCAGAAATTAAGCGGCTGGCTGGTGGCAAACAGAGAGTTTGGTGCCCTGAGAATTGTAGAATTGTTAGAGATGGAAGGGACTCCACAGGGACATCTAGTCCAGCCCCCTAGAGATTGAACCCAGGATCACATACAATATGTTTAGGGGCAGGCTTGACAGATCGAAACAGAGATTATGTGTGTGTGTAACATCACTGTTCATACGAACATCGGAAGAGCCTGAGTTCTGAAATTCTGCATCATGAGAAGTTATTTTCCTCCCCTCCTTTCCAGAACCTTCAAACGCCTCTGGAAGCAGGTCTCCGAGAACCTGGATCGGTACCGCACCTTCCCACGGCTTGCTGGGGGTAAGCGTCTGATGTGGGTGATGCTGCCCCAATTCTCCACGGAGGCTGGAAAGACTTGAGTTGTTCCTTGCATGAGTTGCTGTTATTTACTCCTTTCCTCCAAGGAACTAAGAACATAACAACAGCCTGCTAGATCAGGACACATGGCTCATCCAGCCCAGAATCCTGTCCTCACAGTGGCCAAGCTTGATGCCTCAGTGGGAAGCCCACAAGCAGGATCTGAACCCCAGAGCCCTCTCCCCATCCTGCCACGTTCAGCAACTGATATTCAGAAGCATAGCTGCCTCCAGCTGTAGCCATTGTGGTTGTTAGTCACTCAGTGAATGCATGAACTGCTCAGGAAGGATGGAAATAAACCGATCTGCGCTGTGCGATGTGCAGCGAACCTTTGGAACTCCCTGCTGCAGGACCTGAGCAGAACAGCAACTCTCCCCACCCCTCAAGGCTCTTAGGAGAGAGCACCCTTGTGCTTGAGCTTTGCTTGTGGGCTTCCTGTAATGGGCATCTGTTTGGCCGCTGTGAGTACAGGATGCTAAGCTAGATGGCTTGATCCAGCTGGGGGCTTCTTATATTCCTCCGGGAGGCATGTGGATTGGAAGGCTGAAATTCAGGTGATGGTTTGCACGGAGACTCCGAGTTGCCTTCTGCCATGTTTCATTCATTCATTATAGAACTGTACAGTGGACGCTCGGCTTGCAAACATGATCCGTGCGGGATGCAGTTTCGCAACCCGCAGCGGCACGTCTGTGCACACGTGGGTTGCGATTCGGCGCTTCTGCGCATGCGCAAAGCACGATTTAGCACTTCTACGCATGCGTGACCGCCGAAACCCGGAAGTCACCCATTCCGGTACTTCTGGGTTTCGGCAGCCTGTAACCCAAAAAAAGGCAACCTGAAGCGTCTGTAACCCGAGGTATGACTGTACCTTGGTTTTCGAACAGCTTAGTTCTTGAACGTTTTGGCTCCCGAATGCCGCAAAACCAGAAGTGACTGTTCCGGTTTGTGAACTATTTTTGGAAGCCGAACATCCGGCTGGGCTTCTGATTGGCTGCAGGGGCTTCCTGCAGCCAATCGGAAACCGTGCTTTGGTTTTCGAACGTTTTGAAAGTCGAATGGACTTCCGGAACGGATTCCATTCGACTTCCAAGGTACGACTGTATTTCAGTGCTGCTTTTCACTCGCTTGAGCCGCAAAGCGGTTTTGCATACGGTAATAACATAGCAGAGCGTCACGACCGCAACATAAATTATATAAAAAACAAGCAACAATTCAATGTTTGATGGGGGGAGGATGTTTGTGTGAGGATTTCGGCTCCCAGAAACTGCAGGAGTGTCACCGCTGGATTCGGGTCGTGCTCAGGGTACCAGGCTGGCCACTCTGAGAAGAGGACGCTGGGCCAGGGTCCTGATCCAGCCACAGGGCTCTTCCGACGTTCTCACAAAGCACGGAAGTCAACGCCATTCTGCCGCTCAACTCCTGTGCCAAAGTCTCCCTTCTCTCTCCCCCTCTGCGCAGAGTGCGGCGGCAAGAACTTCCACTTTGTCCACTCCTCGGCGGACGTGCCCAGCGTGGTGAGCGGGACCCTGCGCTCGGCCTTCGAGTACGGCGGGCAGAAGTGCTCGGCCTGCTCCCGCCTCTACGCCCCCGACACTCTGTGGCCCCGCATCAAAGCCGCGCTCCTGGAAGAGCACCGGAAGATCAAAGTGGGCGATGTGAGTGGGAAGACTCCTCTCCCGCTGAAGGGGCTTTGCGGCTCAGCGGGTGGCTGATGGGATTAGAGGCTGCACTTGGCTGGCTGCTAATTCCCATTGAAGGCACCTCTTTATCCCCTGCTTTCCCCCTCCCCGCTTTCGGGACCATCCCTGCCCCCTCCCCGCAATGCCTGACACCCCCTTTCCCTACAGAACTCTCTCCTTCGTCCTTAGTACAGTGGTACCTTGGGTTACATACGCTTCAGGTTACATACACTTCAGGTTACAGACTCCGCTAACCCAGAAATAGTACCTCGGGTTAAGTACTTTGCTTCAGGATGAGAACAGAAATTGTGCTCCGCCAGTGCGGAGGCAGCGGGAGGCCCCATTAGCTAAAGTGGTGCTTCAGGTTAAGAACAGTTTCAGGTTAAGAACGGACCTCCAGAACAAATTAAGTACTTAAGCCGAGGTACCACTGTACTCTCTCTCTCTCTCTCTCTCTGTCTGGCAATTAGGAATTGACTTGTTGCCTACACAGGCAAGGGTTGGTTGCACAGAACAGACTAATTTTAAAAAAACAACAACCGCTGCCTTTTGCCATCCCTCCCTTTTTCTTCAGAAAGCTATTGATGGCTACTAGCCATGGTGGCAGGACGCGGGTGGCGCTGTGGGTTAAACCACAGAGCCTAGGACTTGCCGATCAGAAGGTCGGCGGTTCGAATCCCCGCGACGGGATGAGCTCCCGTTCCTCGGTCCCTACTCCTGCCCACCTAGCAGTTCGAAAGCACATCAAAGTGCAAATAGATAAATAGGTACCACTCTGGCGGGGAAGGTAAACGGTGTTTCCGTGCGCTGCTCTGGTTCGCCAGAAGCGGCTTCGTCATGCTGGCCACATGACCCGGGTAGCTGTACACCAGCTCCCTCGGCCAATAAAGCGAGATGAGCGCCGCAACCCCAGAGTCGGCCACGACTGGACCTAATGGTCAGGGGTCCCTTTACCTTACTAGCCATGGTGGCAGTTCTCTGGCTCCACAGTCAGAGGCAGAGATGCTTCCGAGTCCCAGTTTCTGGAAACCACAGGATGAGAGAGAGGGCGCTTGCTCCTAGACCCCACTTGCAGGTTTCCCCTTTGGGGCAGCTGTGCTACTTACTGGGCACTGCGATTCTGGGCTACTTGGGCCATTGGCCTGGGTCAAGGCCGCAGGGTGGATTGCAACGTCAGAGCACAATATTGCAAGCGGTCGCAGTCACAAAAACAGGAGGGGTCCCCAAAACGTGGTGGCTCCCCTTCCAGCCCTAGATGGCGAGGGTTGAACCTAGATCCCTTCCCCATCCAAATCTCGTGCTCTGTGATTCGTGTCTTCATTGAGCACATTCACAGAGTGCTTTAACAATCCGTCCTTTTTCCTGAGGAACTCTGGGAATTGTAGCTCCGTGTGGGAAAGAACAACTCTCAGCACCCATAACAGACTACAGCTCCCTGAATTCTTTGGGGAAAGCATTGATGATAGTAGCTTCTGTACCTAAAGACACTGAACTTCATTTGGCAATTAATTACATTAGTTTTGGCCATTGCAGATAGCGAGATTAATAGTTTTTAGTGGGACTCGGAACTGTAGTGTGACGGAAACAGCGCTGATCGCAACAAAAAACCCCATCTGCACTGAAAATTTGAAGCATTATCATGTCACTTTAAACATTCATGGCTTCCTCCAAAGGATTCTGGGAACTGTAGTTTGTTAAGGCTGCTGAGAGTTGTTAGGAGGTTCCCCCATTCCCCTCCCAGAGTTACAATTTCCAAAGCAGTTTAGCAATCAATCCATCTTCCCAGGGAATAACTTGGGAGGGGAAGAGGGATCTCAGACCACCCTCAGCACCTTTAACAAACTACAGTTCCCAGAATCCTTCAGAGGAAGCCAAAGCGGTGTTGAAATGGTATCACAGTACCTTCAACGTAAGACATGAATGCAGCCCTCACTTTGGTGGGAGATGGGCAGAACAGAAACCAAGAGGCATCTCACATTTTTTTCTCCCTCGTTTGGTTTTCTCCCCAGCCGACAGATTTCGAGACGTTCTTCTCTGCTGTCATCGACCACAAGGTAACGGGCTTCATTCGTATCTCTTTTCCGGTCGCTCCAGTATTTCTGTACGGTGAAATCGGGATTTCTCTATGGAAATTCCGTCTCTGTGCACCTCTGACTGCCCCCTACGCTGGTTTTGTTCATTTATCCTTGCAGGCTTTTAGGGTGCTGTAGGGTTGATCTCATTGGCTCAGTAGACTCTGTCCTAAGCTAGTGATTCCCTGCCTGTCTTTTGCTCTAGCGCCACCTGCTGTTTGGCTCCCTGCCTTCTGCCCTACTGGGCCCAGTGGGCGCCAACCGCCATCACTAATGGAGAATTGTATGGCCAAGCTGGGATTCTTGCTTATTTTGAGCATCATACCGGATTCTAGATTATGGTTTCTGTAAAATCCATTTTGTGTCTTAGCTGCTGGTAGCCGCCACCCCACGGCTTTTTTTGAGAAAGATTGGGATGCAACAAATTTAGCAGCAGCCATAACACATGTGCACACTCCTTATCCTTTGGCCACTGCTTGCCCAGCCTTTTGCAGACCGAGGGCCACATTCCCTTCTGGGCAGGCTTTCGGGGGCCACGTGTCATGGTGGGTGGGGGCAGAGGCAAAAGTGGGAGGGGCAATAAAGGTAAAATTTGCCTTTGTGCAATAGGGTTCTTTCAGGGCCGGATTTAGGTTTGATGAAGCCCTAAGCTACTGAAGGTAATGGGGCCTTTTATACGTCCTGCTGTCAACAACAAATTGTCACTTTTTTGTGTTGAATATATGCTATATGGTAATTTATGGACCTACACAACTGTTGCTGTATGTAGGTTTTATTTTATTTTATTATATCTTATATTTTGGAAATGTGCATCCAGTTTTTCCCCCCTTTAAATTTTTTTGGGGCCCCCAAGAGAGTGGGGCCCTAAGCTATAGCTTGTTTAGCTTATATGTAAATCCGGCACTGGGTACTTTAATAAAACAGTCGCATGTCCTTCTTTATGTCCCCACCCAAGGAAGGAAGAGGCATTTTCAGAGTTCAAGGGAAGCACTTCCCAACCAGGCTAAAAGACTCTAGTGGGGTGCAAAGCAGGACCAGTGAGGGGTGTGGCCTCAGAGGAGGAGGGTGGCCTGGCGAGAGTCCTAGGGGCTAGACAGAGAGGCTTAGAGGACCTCAAATCAACCCCTGGGCCTGAGACCCCCATTTATTTACTAATTAACTTGGCTAGTTGCTTTATCTTGCCCAAGGCAACCCAGAGCAACTTACAACTACACCCCTGCAACATAGATGCATTAAAATCAAGGTGGGGATGGGGAAATGCGTCTCACCCACTTCTCACACGCCACAGATAGAGGTGGAAGGCCTGGTTGAAGAGTAATGTTTTTGCCTGGTGCCTAAAGGTGTATAATGAAGGTGCCAGGCGAGCCTCTACGGGGAGCCACTGCAGAAAAGGCCCCGTTCTTGTGTTGCCACCCTCCGGACTTCTCACAGAAGAGGCACGTGAAGAAGGGTCCAGGGTCCAGGTCGCTTTTATGGGGAGAGTCTCTCCTTGAGGTATTGCGGTCCTGAGCCGTTTAAGGCTTTATACATCAAAAGCAGCACTTCGAATTGGGCCCAGAAACAAATTGGCAAGCAGCGCAGCCAGGCCAGGATCGGTGCAATATGCTCACGCCGTCTTGCTCTGGTGAGCAACCTGGCCGCCAAATTCTGGACCAGCTTGAAGCCTCCAAACCACCCTCAGAGGCCACCCTATGTATAATGCAATTGCAGTAATCTAACCTAGAGGTCTTTGTCCATGGAGTTTTCTTGGCAGGGATACTGGAATGGCTTGCCAGTTCCTGCTCTAGGTGGATCACGTTTGGTCAAAACTCTCCACTATGACCTGTCTATCTTGGGTGGCCCTGCACGGCATAGCTCCTAGCTTCTCTGAGTTATTCAAGCTCCTTCGCCACGGCAAGGCAGTGATCCATGAAGGGGCAGTGACAAAATCAAAAGACGCCTGCTTCTTGGGAGAAAAGCAATGACAAACCTAGACAGCATCTTAAAAAGCAGAGACATCACCTTGTCGACAAAGGTCCATATAGTTAAAGCTATGGTTTTCCCAGTAGTGAAGTATGGAAGTGAGAGCTGGACCATAAAGAAGGCTGATCGCCGAATAATTGATGCTTTTGAATTATGGTGCTGGAGGAGACTCCTGAGAGTCTCATGGACTGCAAGAAGATCAAACCTATTCATTCTGAAGGAAATCAGCCCTGAGTGCTCCCTGGAAGGACTGATCCTGAAGCTGAGGCTCCAATACTTTGGCCACCTCATGAGAAGAGAAGACTCCCAGGAAAAGACCTTGATGCTGGGAAAGATGGAGGACACAAGGAGAAGGGGACGGCAGAGGACGAGATGGTTGGACAGTGTTCTCAAAGCTACCAGCATGAGTTTGACCAAAATGAGGGAAGCAGTGGAAGACAGGAGTGCCTGGCGTGCTCTGGTCCATGGGGTTACGAAGAGTTGGACACGACTAAACAACTGAACAACAACAACAACCTAGAGGTTACCAGAGCATAGACTACAGAGGTTAGTCTATCCCTGTCCAGACAGGGGTTCAAAAGACGTTCATGGCTATGGCAGATTTTTGCCCTTCTGCAATGCAGGTTGCTGCTTAGTCTTGGAAAACTTGGCGGAAAACTAGTTCACACATGAGCATGGATTCATGGCTTAATTCCCACAGCAACTAGCCAGGCTTTCAGCATTTCTACGGTCCCACATATAGAACCTTTTTGTTTCATTTTGTAGTGTTCTTTGGGTGGTGTCGGGTCACATAAACCAGCCCCTAAAAATTGCAGGGTCCCAGCTGGAAGGAGTGAGCAGGCTCAATGAGTAGGGCACCTGCTCTGAAACCCTTGAAAGCGATTGCTGCCAGTCAGTGTAGACAATACCAAGCTTGATGGACCAACAGCTTTCCCCCCGATGTGTGTCCATGTGTGCGCACAAAACTGAGATAGACAGACCAGTTTGGGGTGTGTTCCTTCCAGCCTGTTATTTTAACCCTAGACATTGCTCTCTTTTCCTCCCCACCAGTCTTTACCTGTGCACTTTCCCTGAGAAGGCGAGGAAAACCTGGCCTCAGTTTTCTCTGGCATAAAGAGTGATCAATCTTAAGGCGAAGGAAGGAATTGAAAACGAAATTGCCAGTATCAGGATGCCATTATTGAAATCTTTGGTCTGGACACTTTTGGAATGCAAAGCATGGTGCTGATAATGGCAAGGTTGCAGGTTCGATCCCCTAATGGGACAGCTGCATATTCCTGCATTGCAGGGGGTTGGTCTAGATGACCGTCAGGGTTCCTTCCAACTCTAGAAATCTATGAATGTTCTGCGTCCAATTCTGGTCGCCTCCCCACAAAAAGGATATGTTGAGTCGGGAAACGTGCAGAAAGGGGAAGCCGAAATGATCAAGGTGGAAATGGAATGACTCTGTTATGAAGAAATGTTGCAGTCCTTGGGACTTTTTAGTTTAGGTAAAAGGCAAGTTAGAGGCGACCTGGCAGAAGTTTATAAATTTCTGCACGGCGAAAGTGGACAGAGAAACGTTTTTCTTCCTCCTAAACTTGTGAACCTCCACTGAAGCTGAATGTTGGAACATTGAGGAAGGAAGGAAGTCTTCTTTTGTGCAGTGTGTGGTTAGGCTGTGGAACTCCCTCCCACTGCATACAGTGATGGCCATCACTGAGGACTGGACAAATTCATAGAGGAGAGGGTTCTTGATGGCTACTAGCCACAGTGACTCTGCTCTGCCTTCCACAGTTGGAGGCAGTGATGCTTCTGTGGACATCAGTTGCTGGAAACCACCAGAGGGGACAATGCCGTTGTGCTCAGACGCTGCTTGTGGGTTCCCCTTTGAGGCCTCTGGTCAGCCACTGCGAGAACAGGACGCTGGACTAGATGGGCCATTGGCCTGATCCAGTGGGGGGTTCTTATGTTCCTGAAGGAAGCAGGGCCCTTAATGAAACTCACAAAGCCCCCACCCTCTTGACTCCCTCCAACTGCAGCCAAATTGGGGTCCTCCCTCTCTTTGGCCACCTCCTGACGCAACACTATTTGTTCTGCATCATATCTCTGTGAGTTGCCCTTCAGCCGATCGTCTCCCAGGATAATCCTCAACAAAACTCCGGAGTGCATCAGTTGCATTGAAGGCAGTGTGGTGTAGCGGTTATGGCGTTGGGCTAGGACCCGAGAGACCAGGGTTCGAATTCACCCACACCCCACTTGGCCACGAAACTCGCTTGGTGGCCTTGGGGCAGCCTAAACTACCTCGCAGGTTTGTTGTGGGGATTAGAGGAGGAGAATGACGTCGGGTGCTTTGAGCTCCTCGGGAGAAAAAGGTGGGATAAAAAGGAACCAAAAAAGGCCCAAATTAGCAAACCCGTTTCCTCCTTCACCTAGGGATATAGGTCTGGCCTCCCCATCCTTCTCGGACCCACAGCCAACGATCCCACGGCCACCTGCCCTTCCCTGTCCCGCTTTCGATGGCTCCCTGTCCCACCCCTTCCCCAGTCTCTGGGTCCTGCGTGGCATTACCCCCACCTCGGTTCCTTCCTCGCCCCCCCTTGCTCTGCTATCTCCACCTCCCAGGAGCTGAGCTTCCTCCATTCCTGCCTTTTCTGCTGAGCGAATCCCTGCTGAGATTACGGCTGAGCCGGCAAATGCTTTCTTTAAAGACGTATTTTCACAGCTTAGGAGCAGGCATCTGTCAATAATGATAACCCCACCGCTGCCATCGCCTCCTCCTCCTCCTCCTCCTCTTCGCTCCCCGCCCTCACGTTCCCCTGCTTCGCTCCGTCTAGGCACATTTCCCCCTTCCCGTAGCCGAAGACTTTCCCTTTGAAGTCCTTTGCTTCTCCTGTTGAATCGGGCTAATCTCTCGTCACACCCAAAGGGGTTGGGAAGAGGCGCCACTGACCACGGGGATCTATCTTTGGGGCAAGTTTCTCGTTTCCCAGAATCCTCCTCTTCTTTCCTTTGCTTGGCCCTCCTAAGAAGGTCAGGGGCGGCCACCGTCCCTTCCATCTAGCTCAACCCCCCCCCCAGATGAGCCAGCCCACCTTGGCCAAGGGAGTGGAGCCACCGCTTGAGGGCATTACAGTGGTACCTCAGGTTAAGTACTTAATTCGTTCCGGACGTCCGTTCTTAACCTGAAACTGTTCTTAACCTGAAGCACCACTTTAGCTAATGGGGCCTCCCACTACCGCCGCGCCGCCGGAGCACGGTTTCTGTTCTCATCCTGAAGCAAAGTTCTTAACCCGAGGTACTATTTCTGGGTTAGCGGAGTCTGTAACCTGAAGCGTCTGTAACCTGAAGTGTATGTAGCCCAAGGTACTACTGTAGAATGTATGTAGCCCAAGGTACTACTGTACAGTGGTACCTCGGGTTACAGATGCTTCAGGTTACAGACGCTTCAGGTTACAGACTCTGCTAACCCGGAAGTAGTGCCTCGGGTTAAGAACTTTACCTCAGGATGAGAACAGAAAATGCACGGCGGCGGCACAACAGCAGCGGGAGGCCCCATTAGCTAAAGTGGTACCTCAGGTTAAGAACAGTTTCAGGTTAAGAACGGACCTCCAGAACAAATTAAGTTCTCAACCAGAGGTACCACTGTGTAACCTCTGAGCACTTTACGGAAACAAACAAAATGATGAAATCGGCGAGTATCCGAAAACTTCCGAAAGAATTAAAACCGGCGGTCAGCCGAAGAATGTGTGGATAGGCAAAAAAAAAAGTTTCTGGTGGGTGCCGGAAAGGGCGCCGTGAGTTTTGGCACGTTCTGGACTTCAAAAGGCCAGGAGTTCCAAAGTGTAGGTGCCGCCTTCATGAAAAAGATATTTTGCATAGTGTACAACAGGCACCTGTAACAGTGGCAGTTTTGCAGAATTTAGCAGTCGTGTGGGTGTCTATTAAGGCGACCCTGTAAGCAAACTGGTCCCAAGCTATTAAGGGCTTTACAGTGGTACCTCAGGTTAAGTACTTAATTCGTTCTGGAGGTCCGTTCTTAACCTGAAACCGTTCTTAACCTGAAGCACCACTTTAGCTAATGGGGTCTCCTGCTGCTTCCGCGCAGCCGGAGCCCGATTTCTGTTCTTATCCTGAAGCAAAGTTCTTAACCTGAAGCACTATTTCTGGGTTAGCGGAGTGTGTAACCTGAAGCGTATGTAACCTGAAGCGTATGTAACCCGAGGTACCACTGTATATGCTAGTAATGCCTTGTGGAGTCTAAGTAATGTTAACCTCCTTGGTGATGCTCGATTTTCAGTCGACACAGTAGAGTGCTGTCGGGGTGCTTGTACCAATCACCCAAATGCCGGCGGTTGTGTGAATGTGATCTGGGTGGGTGCAGGACTTGGGCCTTCCTTCACAAACCCACCCAAATTTTGTAGGGCGGGGATGGAAACTGCCCGTGCCATAATGCCATTATACAAACCTGTGGTGCGACTGCATCTGGAATACTGTGTGTCGTTCTGGTTGCCTCCCTTCAAAAGGGATATTATAGAGTTGGAAAAGATTCAGAAAAGGACAAGCAAAATAATCAAAGGGGGGTGCGTGTGTGGAGTGACCCCTATGAAGAAAGGTTGCAGTGTTTGGGACTTTTTGATTTAGAGCAGTGTTTTCCCAAACTTGGGTCTCCGGCTGTTTTTGGACTACAATTCCCATCATCCATGACTGCTGGTCCTGCTAACTAGGGATGATGGGAGTTGTAGTCCAAAACAGCTGGAGGCCCAACTGGTTTAGAGAAATGGTGAGTAAGAGGCGACCCGATAGAAGCTTATAAATTTATGGGTGGCACGGAGAAAGTGGATAGAGAAAGGTTTTTTTCTCCCTCTCAAAATAACACTAGAACTCGTTAGGCATCCGATGAAGCTGAACGTGGGATATGGTAATTCAGGACAGATAAAAGAACTTCTTTATGCAGCACATCGTTAAACTACGGAACTCCCTGCCACAGGAGGCAGTGATGGCCACCAGCTTGTGTGGCTTTAAAAGATGATTGGACAGATTCATGGAGGAGGAGAAGACTATTGATGGCTGCTAGCCACAGGCAGCCATGCTTCTGAATGCTAGTTTCTGGAAACAGTGGGAAGAGTTTGAAGAGTTTGGATTTGATATCCCGCTTTATCACTACCCAGGACGCGGGTGGCGCTGTGGGTAAAAGCCTCAGCGCCTAGGGCTTGCCGATCAAAAGGTCGGCGGTTCGAATCCCCGCGGCGGGGCGCGCTCCCGCTGCTCGGTCCCAGCGCCTGCCAACCTAGCAGTTCGAAAGCACCCCCGGGTGCAAGTAGATAAATAGGGACCGCTTACCAGCGGGAAGGTAAACGGCGTTCCGTGTGCTGTGCTGGCTCGCCAGATGCAGCTTGTCACGCTAGCCACGTGACCCGGAAGTGTCTCCGGACAGCGCTGGCTCCCGGCCTATAGAGTGAGATGAGCGCACAACCCTAGAGTCTGTCAAGACTGGCCCGTACGGGCAGGGGTACCTTTACCTTTACCTTTACCTTTATCACTACCCGAAGGGGTCTCAAAGTGGCTAACATTCTCCTTTCCCTTCCTCCCCCACCAACAAACACTCTGTGAGGTGAGTGGGGCTGAGAGACTTCAGAGAAGTGTGACTGGCCCAAGGTCACCCAGCAGCTGCATGTGGAGGAGTGGAGACGCGAACCCGGTTCCCCAGATTACGAGACTACCGCTCTTAACCACTACACCACACTAGCTCTCTGAAGGGGAAGAGGGCTCTTGTGACCAGATCCTGCTTGCTGGTTTCCTGTTCTGCCACCGTGAGATGGTGGACTTGATGGGTCGTTGGCCTGATCCGGAAGCTTCTCTGTATGTTCTTATGTCCTTCTTCTCTTCCAGTCTTTTGAGCGCATCAAGAAGTGGCTCGGCCACGCTGAGACGTCGTCGAACCTCAGCATCCTGGCTGGAGGCGGGTGCGACGATAAGGTTGGGTATTTTGTCCAGCCGTGTATTATTGAGACGAAGGACCCGAAAGACCCCATCATGCAAGAGGTGAGTCTTCGAAGGGGGCAGTGTTTCTTGCCAGGGGAACGTTGAGCGTCCTCTGTGGCTCACATATACATTTCGTGTGAAGCTGGAAAGCGGGGCCAGGTGTAGCTAGGAAGTCACAAGATCCAACTTGGATGGCTTTGAAAGGGGAATGAAAAAATTCGGGGTCTGTGTGTGTGTGTGTTTGCATAATAAATAATAATAAATAATAAAATTTTATTTATATCCCGCCCTCCCCAGCCGAAGCTGTGGCTAACAACAATAAAATAATACAACATTCTAAAATCATTTCATTATAAAATCAGTTCAAATCAAATAATAATAAAATTTTATTATTTATTATTTATTATTTATTTATGACTGTGCTCTGCCTCCACAGTCAGAAGCAGCAATGTTCCTGAATACTGGTTGCTGGAAATTGCAAGAAGGGATTGGGGATTGGGTTCAGGTCTCGCTTGTGGGTTTCATCAGGCTGGCCACTGAGAGAACAGGACGCTGGACTAGATGAGGCATGGGCCTGATCCAGCTGGCTGCTAAAGCAAAAATTGCCAACAGTATTTGTGTCCCCCCCCCCCCACAAACACAGCTTCCAAGGTGGGTACCATGGATGAAGGCATTTACCCTACTCTAGAAAGGAAAAGGGACGCGGATGGCACTGTGGGTTAAACCACAGAGCCTAGGGCTTGCTGATCAGAAGGTTGGCGGTTCGAATCCCTGCGACAGGGTGAGCACCCGTTGCTCGGTCCCTGCTCCTGCCAACCTAGCAGTTCGAAAGCACGTCAAAGTGCAAGTAGATAAATAGGTACCGCTCCAGCGGGAAGGTAAACGGCGTTTCCGTGCGCTGCTCTGGTTCGCCAGAAGCGGCTTAGTCATGCTGGCCACATGACCCGGAAGCTGTACGCTGGCTCCCTCGGCCAGTAAAGCGAGATGAGCGCTGCAACCCCAGAGTTGTCTGCGACTGGACCTAACAGTCAGGAGTCCCTTTACCTTAGAAAGAAAAAAGCCTTTGATCTGTTAAGACTGGAGGCAGAAACATTTTATGTTGGATCTCACGTTCTACTCCGGGAAAAACCCCAGGGGTCGTTGGACTCCAGGTCCCATTAGCTTCATCCAGTAGGGACAATGGTCAGGGATGATGGGAGCTGTAGTCCAGCAGCATCCAGAGATCAATAGATCGCCCATCTCTGCACTATATGATGTGATGGAGGTAGCCGGGGGGCAGTGAAGGCAAGCGATGGAGGCATCTAGGGACAGTAAAGGCAAAAGTGACAGCCTGGTTCAGGGATTGGGAACTTGCAACTTGCAACACAAAGAGTTGTTGGGGCTCCAGCTCCCATCAGCTTTAGCCAGGCTTGGCCAGTGGTCTGGGACAACGCTGGGAGTTGGAGTCCTACTCAGAGTAGACCCATTATGTGGCATCCAGCTAAGTTCGACTCTAGGTGTTATCTAAGCTGAATGTTGGAAGGTTTGGGACAGATCCTGAAGATCTGCAGATTTAGACACTCACACCAACGCTGTTCTCAGAGATGAATCTCTTATCTCTTATCTTTTGCCCCCTATCTCCTTCCTCCCCCCCCCCAATATTCAGGAAATTTTCGGGCCCATCCTGACTGTGTATGTTTACCCGGAGAGTCAGTACAAAGACATCCTTCAGCTGATTGACAACACTTCTCCGTATGGCCTCACAGGGGCAGTGTTTGCCCAAGATAAGTAAGCACTGGAGTCCACCCCCCCACCCCCCACAGGGTCTCATCCTGACCACATTTGCCAGCATAGTACAAATGAGGTGCTGCGAGCAAGTCAAGAGAGGAGGAACTAATTTTATATAGGGTTTTAATTTTATATAGGTATGGATTTTGATTCTGGGCCGTCTTTCCAAAACAAGGACCCACTTTTATTATTGTTCCTTATTATTTCATTGGGTTGGTACCCCACTTTTTCCCCTCCGAGAAGAGCTCAGTGCGGTGTGCATGGTTCTGTCCGTGCTCATTTCATCCCCACAATGACCTTGTGAGGTAGGTTAGGCTGAGAGAGGCACTGACTGCCCCCCCCCCGGCACATCCAGTGATTCCATCCCTGGTCTTCTGGGTTGTCTGTGTGACCTGTCGCGCAGGTGTGGCCTCGTGCTGTCTTAACATGATTTCCTCCCCCCACCCCCATTTCTATGTCTCTTACAGAGCCGTCATTGACGAAGCGTCAAAGGTCCTGAGGAACGCAGCCGGCAACTTCTACATCAACGACAAGTCAACTGGCTCCGTCGTGGCGCAGCAGCCGTTCGGAGGATCCCGGGCCTCAGGTGTGCGAGAGCGAAAGTTGGGTGGGGTTTTGCACTGGGTGGGGCAGCGCAGAACCTTCTTCCTCTGTTTTAGTCACCTTTAAAGCCCTAAACGGCCTCGGTCCAGTATACCTGAAGGAGCGTCTCCACCCCCATCGTCCAGCCCGGATACTGAGGTCCAGCTCTGAGGGCCTTCTGGCGGTTTCTCGCTGCGAGAAGCCAAGTTACAGGGAACCAGGCAGAGGGCCTTCTCGGTAGTGGCACCCGCCCTGTGGAACGCCCTCCCACCAGATGTCAAAGAGAAGAACAACTACCAGACTTTTAGAAGACATCTGAAGGCAGCCCTGTTTAGGGAAGCTTTTACTGTTTAATAGGTTATTGTATTTTAATATTCTGTTGGAAGCCGCCCAGAGTGGCTGGGGAAACCCAGCCAGATGGGCAGGGTATAAATAATAATAATAATAATAATAATAATAATAATAATAGAATTTAAGCAGAGGTTGGATGGCTATCTGTCATGGAATTGGCCTAGGTGAGCCTTTGGAATCCCTTGCAATTCTACGACCATCTTCTTTCCTACAAGGAGCTCAAAGTGGCATGCCTAGTGCTCCCCCTCATTTTATCCTCACAACGACCCTGTGGGGTAGGCTAGGCTGAGGGAAAGCGGCTGTCCCCCAAGGGCTCCCGGGGGGGGGGGGGAGCTTCTTGTGGCCAAATGGGGTGATTTGAACCCTGGTCTCTCCTCCCAGGTCTGACACTCTACACCAGGGGTGGCCAACTCCCGAGCGACTGCGATCTACTTTCAGAATTAAAATCTGGCAGTGATCTATCCCCCACTTTTGGGGGGTTCAGGTCAAAGTTGTTGAACTTTTCTTAGGGAGCTTTTTCCATTTTTGGGGGGGTGTTAGAGGCAAGGGTCAAAGGGAAAAAGTCACTCACAATAATATCGCTTTGAATGATAACAGCCACAGAGGGAAAGCTCTGTCTTCCTTTCCACTTATCAGACAACAATGGAGGGCAGGGCAGGAGTCAGTTTCAACGACGCTGAGGAAAGGTAGCCAGAGATCAAACAGCGATCGACCAAGACCTCGCAGGGATCTACCAGTAGATCGCGATCGACCTGTTGGACATCCCTGCTCTACACCATGTTGGCTGTCCAAAAGGAATTAACAGGGAGTGCCGAGAGGAAATGTAATATTACATTTACTTGTAATAGTGCATACTTCCAAATCCCAAGATTTATTTATTGAATATCTTGGTTTTTTTTAAAAAAATTAGCATTTCAAAAATGTACGTCAAAGCGGTTTACAGCAATAAAAACAGAACCGTGGAAGAAAACCATAGAAAAAGTTAAAAATGCAAAGAGGTAAAGACCAATGAAAAGGCAGGCGAAAGAAGAAGAAAACGGTGTTAGCAATAGAAAATCCCTAATGTGAAATAAGTAGCCGGAGGTGCAATGAGGTCTAGCAGCTTGCTTTGCTTGTTTTGTGTTTTGGAAAAAAAAAAGGAAATCGTTGTTCTCAGATTGCCGTTTGCATTTCTCTCCTTTGGAAACAGGAACGAACGACAAGCCCGGGAGCCCCCACTACATCCTGCGCTGGACGTCCCCCCAAGCCGTCAAAGAAACCCATGCACCCCTGGGGGACTGGAAGTATCCGTACATGCAGTGATGCAGCTCTTGACGGTGCCTTTATCTTGGAGCCGCAGTTGGGTTACTGACCCACCGCACTGTGGATCTGCTAAAGTAGTGGCAATCTCTCGTAATGCACAGGTGTATTTAGGAACTGATGCCCCTTCCCCAAATCCCTTGGGGGAACCTTATTTCCTGTTTTGGAGGAAACATTGAGGCTCAGTGCAATGTTAGCCTTTGGAATAACCTTTAATTATTAATATTATTTTAATCTTTAAAAAGCTCTCTTAATTTCAACACATTTTAAACCTTGGTAGGATTCCAGATATGCTGAGCTAAGCCCTCTTGATCCAGGTCTCTAAAAAGTTTGCATCATTCTATTTTTCCACCTTAAACTGTGCCCTGCTCCCGCCTGGGCAGAGGAATACAGTTTCTCTGCCAAGCGCAGCTTTGTTAAAATGTTGGTTCATAGGGGCATTTGCTTGTCTGAGCTGACCCTGAAGCCTTTGCACTCAGAGTTGTGGATTGGAAAAAGAGGGTTGCATCCCCCAAAAGACCTCTGGTTTCAGACTGAGCATAGATCGTATCAGCAGTGAGCACTGCAATCTTTCTGACCTGTGTGACCTGTTCCTTCCAACCCCTGTGGGGTTTTGTGGGGTTTTTTGGATAGAATCTCCAAAACCCAAGTTCCCATTGGCCAATATTATTTGGACAACAGTGCCTCTTTCTTTATAAACCTCACCTGCTGTAGATTTGATCACTCAAGTGGGGCTAGGCAAAGGTGATTTTCTTTTTTTTTAAGGATGCCTATTTTTGCAGCCCAGATATTTTTATCCAGATTCTGGCATCAACTTTCCAAATAAAATAAAAGAAGGATTCTTTGGAGGGGAAAGTTAAAATGGAATGATTGATTTGTGGGCGGCTAACATGCAATATGTTTAACAGCTCAACACGGCTGTTAAATTCAGTGTTAATAATAATGTAATAGGGTGTATATTTGTATGTGCCTTTGGAACAAAGAGAGCTTAGTAAATCTGATTAAGATTTTATGCGTTTTCGGACTTGGCTTATTAAAATACGCTTACTTAGGGAAGGGGTGGGGAAGTCAGGGCACCGCTGAGTTGCTTGATGGGAAGTTTTGTGGTTTGAGATCCTGAGAGCCAGATACAGAGGTCTGGAGGGCCACATTCTGCCATTGGGCTTGAGGATTTCAATTCATGTGACATGCACACGCTTGAGTTTGCTCAGGTTAGCTGGATCAGGGGGTTAGAGGCAACTTTCCTCCGGTGTAGGAACCCAGCTCTTGGGGATCCCACAAGTGGGAATCTGTGGGTGAAAACCTTTTAGCGTTGGGTTGAATGAGGCCACGTGTCATACTGTTAGCGGAAAAATCCGAGGGCTCCCTTGGACAAAAACAAAGACACCAACCAGGATAACTTGGAGCAAAACGGCAGCCTGTAGTCTTGGCCTTTATTGAATACTGTTGCGACAGGACTCCCACCCGCAACAATATGAAGCAAAATGGAAGTCCAGAACAATAGAAGACCCCAACTTTTATTAGTTACTAATCCCCCAAACTACACCCCTAAGACTACATCACAACTACATCACAAAAAGGAGGGGTTGAGGGAGGAGTTGTGGAGGTAACCTGAGTATCTTGTCACCTGGCTGGTTCCTCCTCTCCCCCTCCCCATGAGTCATTTCCAGAGGACAAAAGGGAGTTGGCAGTTTCCTGCCCCCAGAGGGAAGATCTGACCATTGTCCTTTGTTCCAGTCCATGTTCAATCCACTTCCATTTGCAAGTCCTTTGTGACCTTGATGGTCTTGTCTGGGACCATCAAGGTTGTCATGCCAACTGGGTAGGGCTCCTGTGTATGTGCTGGTATGGTTAAGGGATTATGGCCATCCTGTATCAAACCATCCCCCTGTGATAGTCCTTCCTTCATGGAGTAAAATAAAAGTAAGGTAAAGGTAAAGGGACCCCTGACTGTTAGGTCCAGTCGTGGTCGACTCTGGGGTCGCGGCGCTCATCTCGCTTTATTGGCCGAGGGAGCCGGTGTACAGCTTCCGGGTCATGTGGCCAGCATGACTAAGCCGCTTCTGGCGAACCAGAGCAGCACACGGAAACGCTGTTTACCTTCCCACCGGAGCAGTACCTATTTATCTACTTACACTTTGAGGTGCTTTCGAACTGCTAGGTTGGCAGGAGCAGGGACCGAGCAACGGGAGCTCACCCTGTCGAGGGGATTCAAACCGCTCACCTTCTGATCAGCAAGTCCTGGCTCTGTGGTTTAACCCACAGCGCCACCCGCGTCCCTCCAAAATAAAAGTGGACCGGTGTAAATCCGATGTATGGTTGATTTACTATAAATTTATAACAGAAACGTCACGTATGTCGTGTGTGTGTGTGTGTGTGTGTGTGTGTGATGTTTGTACAAACTGAATGATGGGTGGGGTTCCTGTAACAATACAAAATGCCGTGTGACTTTGTGGACTCTTGTGTGACGTCAGCAGCTGCAGAGGTGAGCTAAGTGCATTTGCCACGTGCTGTGATCCTGCCACCGGTACACCATTTTGTTCCACTAAAGCCTCGAAAACGCAACCGGAACCACTTAATGAATTCTACAGGCATCCCGTTGATTAACGGTGTAAATAGGCTTCTTCGTCTTCAGACAAGGCGCACATCCCTTATGCTTAAAATTAATTTCCCATAAATTGCAACAGCAGCATTACCTTGCTTGGGCACGCTCTGCCACAGGACCCTAAGGTTCTAGTCCAGTTTGTGTCCTGGAAATCCAGCTGGTAACTACTCAGTTGCGAAGATGTGTAGCAAGCTGCTTTGAGTTTACTTTTCATGAGACAAAACAAGACTAAAGAATGCAAATAATAATAATAATAATAATAATAATAATACTACAGTGGTACCTCGGGTTACAAACACCTCAGGTTACAGATGCTTCAGGTTACAAACTCTGCTAACCTGGAAGTAGTACCTCGGGTTAAGAACTTTACCTCAGGATGAGAACAGAAATCGCGCGACGGCGGCGGCAGCAGCAGCAGCAGCAACGGGAGGCCCCATTAGCTAAAGCGGTACCTCAGGTTAAGAACGGTTTCAGGTTAAGAACGGACCTCCGGAACGAATTAAGTTCGTAACCTGAGATACCCCTGTAAATGATAAAAATTAGCCTGTACTGACTGGTAACAACTTTTTAGGGGTTCAGACTGAAACAAACTGTTTGATTTACCACTGAGCTACAGCCCATTTGCTGAGCCGGACCGTTGGTCCATCTAACTCTGTACTGCCTACTCTGACTGGCAGCAGCTCTCCCCGAACCCTGCGTCCCGAGATTCTTTTCACCAGGCAATGCCTGGGAGGGGTTTCTGCCTTAGGTGTGTCTGTCGGCTGCAGCTTTTGGACTCCTCTGTTCCAGGTTTGAGGCCAGATACTTCAGGGCAGGGAAATGTATGCAAACCAGCCAGATTGCTGAGCCCTCTGTAACATCAGATGGAAATAGCCACCAACTGACCCATCTTATTCGGCATGACTTTTCATCAGGTGTCCTTCCTGCCCCCAGAGGACGGTAGACTGAATCGTAATTGGGATGCTGGGAAAATCAGGTGTTCATGTTCTGTAAGCAAGATTCCGGGCCGGGGGGGGAGTGGTCATCTAGATTACAGTGGTGCCTCGTAAGACGAAATTAATCCGTTCCGCAAGTGTCTTCGTCTAGCGGTTTTTTCGTCTTGCGAAGCAACCCTATTAGCGGATTAGCACTATTAGCGGTTTAGCGGCTATTAAAGGCTTATCGGCTTAGTGGCTTAGCTGCTAAAAGGCTATTAGCGGCTTAGCGGCTTAGAAAAAGGGGGGGGGGAGCGGGGAAAAAATCTCAAGACTCGCAAGACATTTTCGTCTTGCGAAGCAAGCCCATAGGGAACTAGCGGGTTTTCCGTCTAGCGGGTTTTCCGTCTTGCGAGGCATTCGTCTTGCGGGGCACCACTGTACTGTATTTTTCGCTCTATAAGACGCAGCAGACCATAAGACGCACCTAGTTTTTGGAGGAGGAAAACAACAAAAAAAATATTCTGAATCTCAGAAGCCAGAACAGCAAGAGGGATCACTGCACAGCGAAAGCAGCAATCCCTCTTGCTGTTCTGGCTTCTGGGATAGCTGTGCAGCCTGCATTCGCTCCATAAGACACACACACATTTCCCCTTACTTTTTAGGAGGGAAAAAGTGAGTCTTATAGAGCAAAAAAGACAGTATTTCTTCTATTTCGCCAGGCTGGTGAAAGGCCAAACTCCCTGCAGTCTTGGGCAAAAAGGTTGATGAGTCTCTGTAGAGCATGGTTTCCCAAACCTGGGCCTCCAGCTGTTTTGGGACTACAATTCCCATCATCCCTGACCACTGGTCTTGCTAGCTAGGGATGATGGGAGTTGTAGTCCACAACAGCTGGAGACCTCAGTTGGGGAATCCCTGGGCTAGATGGCCATTCCCACTCTACAGTTTTATGACAATGCACCATAACACATAGCAATTGAGGATTGTAGCCACAAATAGCTCTTTCCTCCATGAATTTGTCCCAATCCTCTCTTTTAAAGCCAATCACTGCCTCCTAATCCCTGCTGCAGAACTTGCATTTCTGTCCCACCTTTCTTCCTCCAAGGAGTTTGAATTTGGATTTGATATCCTGCTTTATCACTACCCTAAGGAGTCTCAAAGCGGCTAACAATCTCCTTTCCCTTCCTCCCCCACAACAAACACTCTGTGAGGTGAGTGGGGCTGAGAGACTTCGGAGAAGTGTGAGTAGCTCAAGGTCACCCAGCAGCTGCATGTGGAGGAGCGGGGAATCAAACCCGGTTCACCAGATTACGAGTCCACCGCTCTTAACCACTACACCACACTGGCTCTCAAGGAGCTCAAGGTGGCTTTTGCTCCCCCCTCATTTCATCCCACGACAACCCTGCGAGGTAGGTTACGCCAAGAAGCAGTGATGTGGCAGAAATCTAGTGTCCAGGGTTGGAGGCAGCGATACTTCTGAATACCAGTTGCTGGAAACCTCAGGAGACGGGGTGGTCTTCTGCTTGAATGCTGCTTGCAGACTGTCCATTGGGAGGCATCTGGGCAGCCACTGTGAAAGGACAGTGCTGGACTAGATGGGCCATTGGCCTGATCCAGCAGACTCTTCTTATGCTCTTATGATGATCTGGACAGTCGCTTGGACTACTGCAATGCGCTCAGGTGACTCAGAAACTGCAATTAATCCAGAATGCGGCAGCAAGACTGGTGACTGGGAGCGACCGCCGAGACCATATACAGTGGTACCTCAGGTTACATACGCTTCAGGTTACAGACTCCGCTAACCCAGAAATATTACCTCAGGTTAAGAACTTTGCTTCAGGATGAGAACAGAAATCATGCTCTGGTGGCGCGGCAGCAGCAGGAGGCCCCATTAGCTAAAGTGGTGCTTCAGGTTAAGAACAGTTTCAGGTTAAGAACGGTCCTCCGGAACGAATTAAGTACTTAACCCAAGGTACCACTGTAGTAGTTATTGATTGCATGTCCAAAACACATCCAACTCTCAAGCTGGCTAGCTTTTGGAATAATGGCTATTATTATTATTATTATTATTATTCTGAAAGACCTACATTGGCTCCCAGTACGTTTCCGAGCACAACTCAAAGTGTTGGTGCTGACCTTGAAAACCCTAAACGGCCTTGGCCCAGTATACCTGAAGGAGCATCTCCACCCCCATCATCCAGCCCAGACACTGAGGTCCAGCGCCAAGGGCCTTCTGGTGGTTCCCTTGTAGCTAGAAGTGTAGTTACAGGGAACCAGGCAGAGGGCCTTCTTGGTAGTGGCACCCACCCCATGGAACGCCCTCCCATCAGATGTCAAGGAAATATGCAACTATCATACTTTTAGAAGACATCTGAAGGCAGCCCTGTTTAGGGAAGTTTTTAATGTTTAATTATGACGCTGTATTATGTTTTTAATATTGGAAGCCGCCCAGAGTGGCGGAGGAAACCCAGCCAGATGGGTGGGGTATAAATAAATAAATAAATTAACAACCACCACCACCACCACAACAGCAGAAAGTTGCCCTTGCCCTCGTCCTCCAAAGAACACCGGGGTCTCCGGATCAAGATTGGTGTCATGCTCTCAAAATGCAACCCTCCACAGCTTTGACAGAGCAGTTGGCCTGTTCTTGTAAGGTTAAATGCAAACAGGCTACTTATGCAAATCCAAAGCACAGGGTTATTTGCCTGAGCGAACCCTGAGCTTTGCATGGAAAAGGGGGAGAGGAGTTTTCTAGCATGGTGCAAATCTGGGAGGTAAGAGGGCTGAGGGGTTTTTTTTTGGTTTATGATCCCCTGACATAAACCATTTTTTAGGCAGCCTTGTCTTTAAATGTGAACATAAGTCCATTTCTTTCTTTCTTTTAATTTTATTGATTTGTTAAGCCCCCTCCCCTCCAAAGTACAGACGACAAAGAGGAAGAAAACAAAGAATCTGATATTTAAACCACAAAGAAGGACATCCCGGAAGGGCAAAAATGCGAAGATACAGCAAAGCTCCAAAGGGATCATGAAGTATTAACTCGTACAAAGATTCCGCTTACAAATAATAAAGAAATAAAAGTATTCTCCACCTGTGTGTTCCTTTATTACTGAGAATAAAGGCTCTCTATAGTCTTAAAAAAAAAATTAGTGCTTATAGAGAAAAATACAAAACTTAATACTGAATATCTTCCCCTCCTTTTTTTGTCCAAACTAAGACTTTGATCTAAATACAATAAAAACATAAAGGGGGGGAGGAATCAAGAAAGAGCGCGAGAGAAATAAGGAAATATAATGGTTAAAGGAGAGAGAGAAATAAAATTCAGAAGGTAAGACTTTGAATTCTTCGTTTGCCATATGCAAACAACATTCACTTCATTCACTCAATACCTAACAAAGCCACTTTCTACAAAAAACATCTTCAGTCTTCAAATCCAAAGTCATTATTTTTCTTTTCCATTCAAAGTCTACGGGAGACTTCCAGTCGTCAAAAAATGTGAACACTGACTTTTCTCTGGTTAAACATGTCATTTCGCCATCTCGGCTAAGTCCTGAACCGGACCATCTCTTGCCTTCACTGTCCCTAGCTTTTAAGGCAGGGCTGGGGAAACTCTAGCCCTCCTGCTGTCGAAGGACTCTGACTCCCATCATCCTGGACCATTGGTTGAGCTGCCAGGGGCTGATGGGAATTGGAGTCCAGTAACATCTGCAGGTGGCACTGTGGGTTAAACCACAGAACCTAGGACTTGCCGATCAGAAGGTCCGTGGTTCGAATCCCCGTGACGGGGTGAACTCCCTTTGCTCTGTCCCTGCTCCTGCCAGCCTAGCAGTTCGAAAACACATCAAAGTGCAAGTAGATAAACAGGTACTGCTCCGGTGGGAAGGTAAACGGCGTTTCCGTGTGCTGCTCTGGTTTACCAGAAGCGGCTTAGTCATGCTGGCCACATGACCCGGAAGCTGTACGCCGACTCCCTCGGCCAATGAAGAGAGATGAGCGCCGCAACCCCAGAGTCGGTCACGACTGGACCTAATGGTCAGGGGTCCCTTTACCTTTAACATCTGCAGGGGGCCACGTTGGCCAAACCTGAAAAATATAAAGCGGTCAGCACATTGCAGCGAAACGACTGAGGCCTATGTTTTCACTTGAGCCATTGAGTCCAATGCCCAGGTCATGGTTCCCCACACCATGCATAATGGTAAAGGGACTCCTGACCGTTAGGTCCAGTCGCGGACAACTCTAGGGTTGTGGCGTTCATCTTGCTTTACTGGCCGAGGGAGCTGGCGTACAACTTCAGGGTCATGTGGCCAGCATGACTAAGCCGCTTCTGGCGAACCAGAGCAGCACATGGAAACGCCGTTTACCTTCCCGCCGGAGTGGTACCTATTTATCTACTTGCACTTTGACGTGCTTTCGAACTGCTAGGTTGGCAGGAGCAGGGACAGAGCAACGGGAACTCACCCCGTCGGGGGATTCGAACCGCCAACCTTCTGATCGGCAAGCCCTAGGCTCTGTGGTTTAGACCACAGCACCACCCGCGTCCGGCCCACCCCATGGATAAATGCATGCAAATGAGCTGGTCCTTACCTGCCTCCTATGCAAAGGAGCTAGTGAAAGGCTCTGGCAGGTGGCAAGGGGAAGGTCAGAGACATCTCATCCATCTTCTGGCTGGACAGCTGCCGATATGAGGGTGCCATAAAAAAAGTGCCCCACCATGCGCTTCACCGGACTGGTGGCAGCCTGCGTTGGTGCCTTGGTGGCTGCTGCGGCCTCAGTAACCACACCCGCTTCCCATTTCCACCTGGCAGGAGATTACATCCTAGGGGGTCTCTTCTCCTTGCACGCAGAAGCTGTGGGCAGGCCCCAGCTCAGCCCCGCGCAGGAGGTCCCCATCTGCAAAAAGTATGTACCGGGTATCAGAAATGGGGGAGGGCCAGGGCCGGATTTAGGTCTGATGAGGCCCAAAGCTAGTGAAGGTAATGGGGTCCTTTATATGTCCAGCTGTCCTTTGTCAACAACAAATGGTTGCTGTTTTTTTGTGTTGAATTTATGAATATGAAAGTGTGGTGTAGTGGTTAGAGTGTCGGTCTAGGATCAGGGAGACCAGGGTGCAAATCCCCACCTGGGCATGGAGTTCACTGGGCGACCAGGGCGGGGGGCAGTCACTGTCATCATCCAGCCTAACCAACCTCGCAGGGTGGTTGTGGAGATTAAATTGGGGAAACCATGAGCTTCTTGCAGAAGAGGTGAGATATGCATGCAAATATAATAATAATTCTGAATATCCAGTGCTCAGTCCAGTATACCTGAAGAAGCGTCTCCACCTCCATCGTTCTGCCCGGACAATGAGGTCCAGCGCTGAGGGCCTTCTGGCGGTTCCCTCGCTGCGAGAAGCCAGGTTACAGGGAACCAGGCAGAGGGCCTTCTCAGTAGTGGCACCCGCCCTGTGGAACGCCCTCCCGTCAGATGTCAAAGAGAAAAACAACTACCAAACTTCTAGAAGACATCTGAAGGCAGCCCCGTTTAGGGAAGCTTTTAATGTTTAATAGGTTATTGTATTTTAGTGTCTTGTTGAAAGCCGCCAAGAGTGGCTGGGGAAACCCAGCCAGATGGGCGGAGTATAAATAATAAATTATTATTATTATTATTATTATTATTATTATTATTAATGGACCAAATAGGTATCTCAAGCCATTTGCACATGTGGTCATGCAACCACTCCATGTAGGCACCTTATATATAGAAATGAGCAAACCCGTGATATTTGAGGGAGCAGGCTAGCAGGTGGGGCCCATTACTTACATCATAGGAGCCTACATAACAGAAAACACTTGCTGTATGTAGGCTTTATTTATTTTTTATCTTATATTTTGGAAATGTACATCCAGGTTTTTTTCCTTTAATCCCCCCCCCCCCTCAAGAGAGTAGGGCCCTAAGCTATAGCTTGTTTAGCTTATATGTAAATCCGGCACTGGGGAGGGCAGGTCATTTTAGGAATGAAATGAGATTTCGGGTGTGGATTCATAGAAGTGTCTGGGGTACACCCAAGAGTTATATAGTTCAAACCCCTGCAATTCAGGATCCATAGCTAAACAATCTCTGGCAGGTGGCTATCCAATCTCTGCTTAAAAACCACTGGTGAAAAAGAGTCCACCACCTTCCAAGGGAGTCCATTCCACTGTTGGAATAATAATAATAATAATAATAATAATAATAATAATAATAATATTTATATCCCGCCCACCCCAGCCAAAGCTGGGCTCAGAGTGGCTAACAACAATAAAAGTAACACAGCATTCTAAAATCAATTCATTTAAAATCAATTCAAAATCAAATTAATGGAACAGCTCTTTCTACCATATATTTTTCTTCCTGGTCTTTTGTTGGAATCTCCTTCCTTGTGAAGCTGTTGGTTCGGGCCATGCTCTCCAGAGCAGGAGGAAACAAGCTTGCTCCATCTTCCATGCGGCTTATCCTTTAGATATTTGAAGATATCTCCTCTCAGCTTCCTCTTTCCCATGCTAAACATACCCAGCTCCTTCGACCGTTCCTCATCAGGCTTGGCTTCCCTTGATCATACTGGCCACTCTCTTCTGCACACGTTCCAGCTCGTCAATTTCCTTCTTAAATTGTGGTGCCCAGAACTGGACACAGGACTCCAGGTGTGGAATATGCATCTGGACAGGCTTGCCTGAAGGCCAGGAGAGCTGCTGCCAGTCAGTGCAGGCAGCTAGACCATGGGTCTGATGGCTTCTGATCATAGCTGTCAACTTATAGATTTGAAAATAAGGGACCAGCGGCCTCAGAAATAAGGGATCAGCAGCCAAAATAAGGGATCAACAATTACTTTGATAAAATACATATTTTGTTGCGTGCAAATGGCTTTAGATACCTATTAGGTCCTATAAATTACCATATAGCATATATTCAACACAAAAAAACAGCAAAAATTTGTTGTTGACAAAGCACAGCTGGACATAGAGAGGGCCCCATTACCTTCAGTAGCTTATTTAAGGGACATCATCAATAAGGGACAGCAGTGGGACATGGCCCTGGGATAAGGGACTGTCCCGCCAAATAAGGGACACTTGACAGCTATGCTTCTGATGTTCTTGTGTTTCACATTTTTTAACGATGCTTGCTGGAATCCTTTTAAAGAAGAGCAGGCGACTCAACCGGAGTTTGCCCGGCCTCCCCGGTCCAGAGCTGGCCCTCAGTGCATCGCCTCTCACCCCTCTCCCAGGTACAATCTGAAAGTCGTGAGCTACAGCTACCTCCAGGCCATGCGCTACGCGGTAGAAGAGATCAACAAAGCCAGCGCCCTCCTGCCAGGGGTGCGGCTGGGCTACGAGATGGTGGACGTCTGCTACCTCACCAACACCATCCATCCGATCTTATACTTCCTCTCCAACAACCGCTCCCTGCTGGATATCGAGACCAACTACACGCAGTACCGCCCGAGGGTGGTAGCCGTCATCGGGCCAGACTCGTCTCAGGCAGCGGTGACAGCCGCTTTCCTCTTGAGCCAGTTCCTCGTCCCACAGGTAAAGTTGGTGGCCCTCCTCGGCAGGAGCAGAGAACTGCGGGCCCCAGGGGTGGAATGCGGCCCCTCACACCTCAACGTCTGGCCCTTGGAAGCCTCCCAAGGCCACGCCTCCTCTCCACAAGCCATGCCTCTGGCCGGCCTGGAGTCATTCTCTCAGTATTTTCGCCTAGCTGGCATTATGTATATCCTCCAAAAGTTCACTGATGAAAATAGGGATGTCCTGTTTAATAATAATAATAATAATAATAATAATAATAATACCCACCCATGTGACTGGGTTTCCCCAGCCACTCTAATTTGCACATATTACCAGCTTACTTAGCTTTGACTTCCCTCCCCCCCTTCTATGGTTCATTTCATTTTTCCTTTACTGCTGCATATTCTAGCTACCGTATTTTTTGCTCTATAAGACTCACTTTTCCCCTCCTAAAAAGTAAGGGGAAATGTGTGTGCGTCTTATGGAGCGAATGCAGGCTGTGCAGCTATCCCAGAAGCCAGAACAGCAAGAGGGATTGCTGCTTTCGCTGCGCAGCGATCCCTCTTGTTCTGGCTTCTGAGATTCAGAATATTTTTTTTCTTGTTTTCCTCCTCCAAAAACTAGGTGCGTCCTATGGTCTGGTGCGTCTTATAGAGCGAAAAATACGGTATTTCTTATTCTTTCTTTTCCAGTTTTCCCCTCCACGTGTAGTCCAACTGCTCAATTTATTCCCACCCTGCTAACGTTTTAAGTTGTTTACAATAATTTTTCAAGTATTCCGCAATTCCCCCCCCCTCCACTCTTCTTTAAAAACTCTTTCTTCCTAATCTCTGATTCTGCTAGTTTAAGCTAGCGGTTTCTACATATTCCATCAGTTTCATCTGCTAGTCCTGCCTTGCTGGTGCTGTGCCCTCCTATGAGGTTCTCTTCTTTGGTCGCCCTGAGGGTGACTCGGCTCTCCTTCATAGCTGTCAACCGTCCCTTATTTGGTGGGAAAGTCCCTTATTGCTGTCCCTTATTGATGATGTCCCTTAAATTTCCTGGGTTTCCAAGGAAGCAGCTCCTCTCCCTCCCTCCCTGCCGGCCAGGGAGGAGGGAGGCTCCAACTGTGTTGCTTGGCTGCGTTGCTCACCTAATAAGGAGTCTAAGAACGACTGGGGGGTGGAGCTTGCATGCCTTGTGTCAATCAAATCGGCCGCGTTGTCTGGGGACTCGCCTTTGCTCAGCGCTTCCCAGCAGAGAGGTGACGGTGGTTTCCCTTGTTGCATCCCCTTTCCCGGGTTGCTGCGCTGTGGGAACCACCACTTGAGGCTTTGTTTGGCTGCTGGTTGACTAAAATCCCTTATTTTGGCTGCTGATCTCTTATTTTCAAGGCTGCTGGTCCCTTATTTTCAAATCCGTAAGTTGACAGCTATGCTCTCCTTCCACTCCAGATCACCTACAGCGCCACCACCGAGTTCCTGGGCAACCCCAAGGTCTTCCCGGTGGCTTTCCGCACCATCCCAAGCGCCGAGCAGCAGATCGCTGTTATGCTCCAGCTCCTGCAGCACTTCAAGTGGAACTGGTTCATTGTCCTCTCCAGCGATGACGACTACGGCCAACAAAACCTGCAGCTGTTGCGAGCCCAGGCCACCCGAGGCTGCATTGCCTTCCAGGAGACCATCCCAGTCCAGGGAAAGGATCCTCACGATTCGGGCAACAGCACAGAGGAGTGGATCAGCAGTATTGTGACCAAGATCAGCAGGAGCACGGCCAAAGTGGTGATCATCCTCAGCTTGGAACTGCCTCTCCCCACGTTCTTCAGAGAAGTCATCCGCCAGGAGATGACGGACATCGTGTGGATCGCCGCAGAGGCCTGGTCCATCGACCCGACCACCCACGGCGTCGCCAACATCTCGAGTGTGGGCACCATCTTTGGTGTGGCCGTGGAGGAAGTGCCCGTCCCTGGGATGGATGACTTCCGCGTCAGGGGTCCGTCCCACCCAGGGGAAGGTGGCGAAGGCCAGGCCGCCTCCGGTGCGGCAACGTGCAACCAGGAATGCGACGACTGTCTGGCGGAGGCTTGCTCCTACGACAAGAGCCTCCGGGGCACAGGGGACCGCATCAACTTCAACGTCTACTCGGCCGTTTACGTGGTCGCGCATGCCTTGCACCAGCTGCTAAGATGCAGCGCCACGAGATGCGACCGGCGGGAGATTTATCCGTGGGAGGTGAACTCCCGCATCACTGCCACATGGCTGGGGAGGGAGGGAATGTACCGTATTTTTTGCTCCCTCCTAAAAAGTAAGGAAGGGACGCGGGTGGCGCTGTGGGTAAAACCTCAGTGCCTAGGACTTGCCAATCGTATGGTCGGCGGTTCGAATCCCTGCGGCGGGGTGAGCTCCCGTCTTTCGGTCCCAGCTCCTGCCCACCTAGCAGTTCGAAAGCACCCCTAAGTGCAAGTAGATAAATAGGTACCGCTTTATAGCGGGAAGGTAAACGCCGTTTCCGTGTGCTGCGCTGGTGCTGGCTCGCCAGAGCAGCTTCGTCACGCTGGCCACGTGACCCGGAAGTGTCTTTGAACAGCGCTGGCTCCCGGCCTCTTAAGTGAGATGAGCGCACAACCCTAGAGTCAGACACGACTGGCCCGTACGGGCAGGGGTACCTTAAAAAGTAAGGGGAAATGTGTGTGCGTCTTATGGAGCGAATGCAGGCTGCGTAGCTATCCCAGAAGCCAGAACAGCAAGAGGGATTGCTGCTTTCACTGCGCAGAGACCCCTCTTGCTGTTCTGGCTTCTGAGATTCAGAATATTTTCCCCCCTGTTTTCCTCCTCCAAAACCTAGGTGTGTCTTATGGTCTGGTGCGTCTTATAGAGCGACAAATACGGTATTCATGGAGGCCTGACCAAAGGCGGGAGGCTGCAAGACACGGTTGTTTAGGGTTGGATGGAGAAAATGAGGCCAGGGAGCCAGCTGAGGCCATCCAAACCTCTTTATCTGGCCTCTGGGGGTCCTTACAGGCTGTGCCCCGTCCCAAAACCACACCCCCGCCCCAGGGCCCTACCCCCTCACTGGCCCTGACTTACCCAGTGGACGGAGGATAGAGAGGGATGATGAACGCGAGTGTAGAAATTTGCCTACCAAAGAAAAATTTGAACCAAATTTTGCCTCTGGTTCCGCAAGTGACTAGGGCTGGGCGATTATCTGGTTTTCAACAATGCAATATGTCACCAGGTAAACATTGCGACATAACCGATATATCACGGTGTCTGAAATAAGGATGGAGCTATGTACTGTAGAGGCATCGGCTGCCTTCACGGTTTCTCCCCACGCTGTGATTTTTTGTACACAAACACAAAGACGCATCATGATTCACAATATATTCCCAGGTTAAAGATTACAAAACTGGTATCGTGATATGGAGTTGAAACAATTTTGGACGATATACCTTGCCCAGTCCTAACACACACTGTGATTTACAATATATTCCCAGGTAAAAAATTACAAAGCCGATATCATGATAATGGACTTGAAACTAGTTTTGGACGATATATCGCCCAGCCCTACCAATGACCCCAGTAAGGAGACCCAGGAGGAAATGCAGCCTTCCAGCTACAAATAATAAAAAAAAACCCTTTCCAACAGTCTGCCATCATTTCAGGGCCACTGGGCACAATCTGTTGGGTCAACTGCTGGAATGACCCCATGTGGGTGGTGCTGTTTTGGGTACCTAAATACAGCTGAATGCTGAACATTGAAACTAGAGGGAGAGATAGAGCCTGGCCAGGGATTGGCTCTTTGGGGTCAGCTGACAGAATGCTAAAGTGGGCCCCTGGTACTGCAGCACAGAGGGCGCCCTTGAGGTAAGCAAAAAATGACATAGGGTGTTTCTATGGGGGTCACTCACTTGCTGCATCTGCGAGAGTAGATTCAGGGAGAGCGGTGGTGGTTGTAGTGTGGTTTTGAGGCCTGAGCTCAAAATGGCTTGGCGTTGCCGCACAAACAGTACCTCTCTCCTCGTGTCGTAGCTGCTGAAGGAGATGCACAAGGTGAACTTCACCCTGCTGAGGACCATGATCAACTTTGACCAGAAAGGAGACCCACCGAACGGTTTCGAGGTCATACAGTGGCAATGGAACGTTCCCGGCCAGCCTTTCAAGAAGATTGCTTCCTATAATTCGTTGCAGGGAAGGCTCGACGTCAATGAAAAAATCATCACCTGGCACACCGCAAACAACACAGTGAGTAGCGTCTTAAGGGACTCCCATGGCTGCCCTGTGCCAGACAGCCCATTCCACCTCCGAGGTCTTTCTCCTGTTGTGGAATGAATCCACTGGGTACTTACTAGATACAAGGGTCTTCTTAGTGGTGGTGGGAACTTCCATTGAGACCTGGCGTTGTATCTCAAGGTTGGGGGGTGGGACATCTGAGGCCAGGTGTTGTTGGGCTCCAACTCCCATCAGTCCCAGCCAGCATGACCTATGGTCAGGGAAGATGATGGGACCTAGAGTCCAGCAACCCATGGGAGGGAGGCAGCAACAGGCAGAGTTGTGGTGGAGGTAGCCTAGGGCAATAAGGACAAGTGATTGCCTAATTAAGAGATGGGCACCTTGTGGTCCTTCAGACGTCCTTGGACTACAACTCCCATCAGTCCCAGTGTGGATGGCCAGTAGTCAGGGATGATGCTGGGAGCTGTGGTTGAACAATCTTTGGAGGACCACAGGTTCCACCCACCTCTGATTGAGAACTACAAATGTCAAAAATGGGGATTTCAGGGAGTTTAGGTAAGCTAGCGGAGGTTTTGTTCTAACTGAAGCCTGTGGACAGTTTTCAAGGACTGCACCCACTGACCCCTGACCCCCCAAATTGCAACAGTCTAATCTGGAAGGGTCCAGGCCACAAATGACCATGGACTAGGGTTGCCATATTTCAAAGTTTCAAAAAAATTGAGCTTTTTGAGCTTTTTTTAAAGGACGTTTGCAAAAATCTACCCTTCCGACATGGGTTGACGTGCGTCTGGGTTTTCCCGGACATTACAGCGATTTCTGCCTGGATAGTATTTCTGATTGGCTATGTCAGGGAAATTCTGGAGATGTGGACAATATTGACCGTCACTTTCTGGGGAAGGTCCACAGCTCGATACCTGCTTGGAGATCTGAGGCTCAACCCCCAACAGAGCCATCGGAATTGTCTCCTACCCCAAACCCTGAGGAAGCTGCCTGAAGATCATTGCTCCACTCAGCTCAATACTTCCTGCACTGACTGGCAGAGTTCACCTGGGTTCCAGGCAGGGAGTCCTTCCCGGCCCTACCTGGAAGTGCCAGCGATTGAACTGCAGGCTTTCTGCATGCAAGGCAGGAGCTCTGCAACTCAGCTCCGGTCCTTCCCTATAATTTACCAATATGCTTTAGGGTGAATGCAAACAAGTCCATAGAAATCTCAGTTCCCCCCTTCTGATAGATATCTGCACCAGGCGGGTCCCACAACTTGTTTACATTGGCTCAAGACTGCCACCTTGTGCCTGTTTGGAGGTTAACTCCTTGAGGCGTCCCTGTATAGAGCTTTGTCTTTGAAAGACAGATATAATAATCACCGCTGCTTTTTTTTTTGTCATTTTGAAAATGTCTACAGTGCATGTAAAGGGGATGAAATTGGGCACAGAGCTGACGAAGGATGCCAGGGCTGATGAGAGCTGTAGTCGCAGGTATTTTGAGGGTACCAGGTGGATGAAGGCTGTTTCAAGACAGAATTGTAGATTTGGAAGGGCCATCTAGGACCATCTAGTCCAACCCCCTGCAATACAGGAATCTTTTGCCCAACGTGGGACTTGAACTCACAACCCTGAGATTAAGAGTCTTATGCTTTACCTGCTGAGCTATTGGGGAAAGGGTCCTTACAAACAGGTGGAGGTGTTCTGTTAGGTACTGATGTCCGAATCCCCACAGAGCTTTGTAAGTGAAGAAACACCTTGGATTGGACCTGGAGATGAACTGGAAGCCAGTGGAAGATTGCCAGGCCTAATGTGATGTTCCAAACATTAGGTAAAGGTAAAGGACCCCTGGACGGTTGTCCAGTCAAAGGCGACTATGGGGTTGCAGTGCTTTCAGGCTGAGGGAGCTGGAATTTGTCCAAAGACAGCTTTCCGGGTCATGAGGCGAGCATGACTTAACCGCTTCTGGCACAACAGAACACCTTGATGGAAGCCATAGTGCACGGAAACGCCGTTTACCTTCCCGCCACAGAGGTACCTATTTATCTACTTGCACTGGTCTGCTTTCAAACTGCTAGGTTGGCAGGAGCTGGGACAGAGCAACGGGAGCTCACCCCATCACAGGGATTCGAACCGCCAACCTTCTGATCAGTAAGCCCAAGAGGCTCGGTGGTTTAGACCACAGCGCCACCCGCATCTGTTTTTGTTTTGTTGCTGATTTTTATCTTTTGATTATATCCAAGAGTTGTGGGGTTTTTTTTGCTGTTTTTAACTCGTTGTAAACTGTTTTAATGGAACGCGAGTGGCGCTGTGGGTTAAACCACAGAGCCTAGAACTTGCCGATCAGAAGGTCGGTGGTTTGAATCCCCGCGACGGGGTGAGCTCCCGTTGCTTGGTCCCTGCTTCTGTCAAGCTAGCAGTTCGAAAGCACGTCACAGTGCAAAGTATGGCGGGAAGGTAAACAGCATTTCTGTGCGCTGCTCTGGTTTGCCAGAAGCGGCTTAGTCATGCTGGCCACATGACCCGGAAGCTGTACGCCAGCTCCCTCGGCCAATAAAGCGAGATGAGCGCCGCAACCCCAGAGTCGGCCACGACTGGACCTAATGGTCAGGGATCCCTTTACCTTTACCTTTAAACTGTTTTAAGGGTGGTTGTTTTGTTTTGTTTTTTTGTTTTACAAACACGGGGTTTTGAACCGAAGCAATTTGACACTATACAAAGGAAAGCACACAGCTAAACTACTCCAGGATCACTGCCAGAGAGGCAGTTATCCCATTGCTCGGTCTCTGTTCCTGCCAACCTAGCAGTTTGAAAGCACGTCAAAGTGCAAATAGATAAATAGGTACCGCTCCGGCAGGAAGGTAAACAGTGTTTCCGTGCGCTGCTCTGCTTCGCCAGAAGCGGCTTAGTCATGCTGGCCACATGACCCGGAAGCTGTACGCCGGCTTCCTCGGCCAATAAAGCGAGATGAGCGCCGCAACCCCAGAGTCGGCCATGACTGGACCTAATGGTCAGGGGTCCCTTTACCTTTACCTTTAAACTATCTGTGTCTCACCTGGAGATGCCGTTAAGATCCTGCACTTCTGGAGCCGTGTCTTAAACACATCACTGGGAATGAAATTCCAAGGAACTCAACAAATAAATGTAACTGACCGAAATTGACAATTTTCCTGGTGACAACCCTGGTCATCATGGACGGGCTTACAAACAGAAGACCCTCTGCTCTGGAAGATGTTAGAGGGCCTTCCTGTAGGAAGGAAGATTCCGATTTATCACCATGATAAAATAAATAATAAAAATTGCGTGTGTGTGTGTGTGTTTGGGGGACGAACAGCAAAAGGGGAGCAAAAGTTTGAGCTGGCTAATTTGGGCGATTGACATTCAAAGGTCTTGGCATTAGCCTTGTTAGAAATCTCACCCCCTTGGCCACAAAAACGGAAAGGCTTTGGAGTGTCTAGCAAAAAAGACAGGTTTTTGTTTTTTTGGGCAGTACACTTTGTTTATGAATAAGGTGGCATATAAACAGTTTCTCCTATTTATGCTATAGTATGGTTTAGAAGAACATACAATAGTTAAGATACAACACACCCAATAATTTTATATATTTATCAGATTTATATACCGCCTTTTGTCACCTGATCTCAGGGCTGTTCACAGGATAAACAGACAAGATAAAAAACACAAGTCAATAGTTAAAACAAAAACAAAAAACACACAATGACCCCCCCTTCCAAAAACGCATTTAAAATGCTGTAAAACATTAATCAGCCTTATAAGACAAAGAAACAAAAATACAAATACAAAATACAAATTAATATATAACACTTAAGAATTTTATTTTATTTTATTGCTATAATTGTATCCGTAGTCATATGGTGTGCACATGATAAGAAAGCAAGGGAATTAAGATTAACATTTTGGTTTGTTTCGTTTTTGTTTATTTCACCACACACACTGCAGTGTTTCCTTTTGCAAGCAGGTTGCACAACGTCCTTCTTCTATTTTCTCTCTCCTTCCTTTCTTTCTTTCTTACTTTCCTTCTGTAAATCCTCACTTTCCTCATAATGTTAAAACGTCAATAAAAATTTACACGTGAGCACACACACACACACACACACACACACACAGACACAGTGTGTATGTATATAAGTGGTGAGCACATCACGTATAATTCTTTTCATGCTCTCTCATTTGCAGGCGCCTCAGTCCATCTGCTCAGAGCAATGCGAGGCGGGACATAAGAAGAAATTGATCGGGATGCTCACCTGCTGTTTTGAGTGTGTGCAGTGTGAGGCCGGGACCTTTCTCAACAGCAGCAGTAAGTTTCTGAATACCACTTGCTGGAAACCACAGGAAGGAAGAGCTGCTGTTGTGCTCAGGTCCTATTTGCAGGTTTCCTTTTGGAGGCGCATCTGGGTGGCTGCTGTGAGAACAGGATGCTAGAGTGTACGAGTCCCCATCTAATAATAACAATAACAATAATAATAATTTATTATTTGTACCCCGCCCATCTGGCTGGGCTTCCTCAGCCACTCTGGGCAGCTTCCAGAAAAATATTAAAATACAATAATTTATCAAATATTAAAGGCTTCCCCAAACAGGGCTGCCTTCAGATGTCTTCTAAAAGTCAGATTGTTGTTCATTTCCTTGACATCTGGTGGGAGGGCGTTCCACAGGGCAGGCGCCACTACCAAGAAGGCCCTCTGCCTGGTTCCCTGTAACTTCGCTTCTCCCAGTGAGGGGACTGCTAGAAGGCCCTTGGCGCTGGACCCAGGAGTGTACGAAGGGGGGGGGGAGGGGGGTCACCCTGGGACCACTTAGGGGTATGTGTGACAAGATGGCCCGCTGCCCCCCCAGCTGTAGAGCGGCCAAGGGCGTGCACGCAGTTAGTCTGGGCGCCGCTCGCACGGCGTCCGTATGAACTGCCACTCTCGTGCGCTGTCGATATGGGTATCCGTACGGGCTGCTCACATGACGACCGTATGTGCTGCCGCACGTGCGCAGTCCGTATGGACGTTGCACGTGCGCCGCCAAGCGGTTCGCCCCGCCCCTGGCTGGACCTCAGTGTCTGGGCTGAACGATGGGGTGGAGATGCTCCTTCAGCTATACTGGGCCGAGGCTGTTTAGGGCTTTAAAGGTCAGCACCAACACTTTGAATTGTGCTTGGAAACGTACTGGGAGCCAATGTAGGTCTTTCAGGACCGGCGTTGTCAGGGCTGCCTCAGGTCTCAGCTCACAAAAGACCAACGCCAAGTTCTTCTTATATACAAAAGTGTTTATTGGAGTTCATTGTTTGCTTCACATCCGAGGCGCGCAGCCCCACGTCTGTTACGCTTAGACCGTTGAAGTCCCCTCTGAGTCAGTCCCTCCCCTGCACCAGTTTAAGAGGCTTGCGCTGCTCCACCTCTTCCTCTCTTTCCTTTTCCGCAGGGTCTTCCTGCCCGCTGGGGTTTCGCCCCTCCTGGATTCCCCTGACGCGGAATCCCCAGATTGCTCTTCCCCCTCCTGCGGGCTTTGGGACCTGGCTCCTCCTCCGGGCTCCCTGTACTTCCGCGCGCCTCCACATTTGAACTTGCGCGCGCGCCCAACCTCTAACCTTCCTTTTGACAGTTACACTACTCCCTTCACTACTCCCTCCCCTTCCGGGAGGGTGGCTTGCTCCGACCTCCCTCCCTTCTCTGCTGCCGGAGCTGCTTCCCCTGATACACTGGAACCTCCACCCCCTTCGCTGCACTCTGGCGGGGAGGCTGGTCCTGACGCCCAGCTGCCACTTTGGGATCCCCGCTGGCCCCCTGCTCCTGACACGTCCCCCTGGGGCTCCCTGGCCTTGACCACCGGCGCCCCTTCTGGGAATCCTCTGATTCGCTGGAAAGACTCATGGAATCTCTTGAGTCATTGTCATCCTCTTCCTCGCTGTCCTGGGATTCATCCCCATCGCTCTCCATCTCCTGCCTACCCTGTGCCTCTGTCCCTGAACCCCTGACAGGCGTTATGTGGTCTCAGTGGCTGCTTCCAGTTACCAGTCTAGCTTCCGCATTCTGGATTAGTTGTAGTGCAGGTCATCTTCATCTGGTCTGATCCAGGAGGGCTCTTCTTATAATCTTATGTCTACCATCAGAGTTTGTGTAGGTGGTGGGTATGGGGAAAAGCCTGCCACCCACTCTGCTTTTAGCTTAGAGAAAAGGCAAGTCAGTGATGTTAGCGGTCTATAAAATGATGCATGGCCTGGGGAAAGCAAATGGAAAAAATAGTTTTCCTCCCTCTCTCATAACACTAGACAGGAGTTCCAACTTGGCCCCCCGACTGTGGGGAATTTTGTGGGTGCTCAGGCACCCAGGACCCCAGGGGGTTGGCGCCTATGACACTCAAAACTGTGACTCATAAGAAAACCGAGGGCATTTTGGGAAATGATATATGGTGAGATAAAAAAGATGTTTAAATGATAATACAAAACAACAGCAACCCTGAAGCTTTTCTCTTAGGGATTATAGGGTCTAGGGCTGCATTAAAGTCTTTGTAGACCATTGGCACTATTATAATCGTAACGCCCCCTGCCCACCCCTCCAATATTAGATCTACAGATAAATATGTACATTTTATAGGCACCATAGTCATAGATCCAAGTACACGAGAATTCTGCTACAACCTGCCCAGTTGCAGTTGTGAGAGAAGGAGACCCATGGCTTTTCAGCTCTGTGAGCAAGTAAGAAGATCTCTCTTGGTGGAGCTCTAAACATTTAGCATGCCTAATGGAAAAACCAGACCCAGCCAGAGGGTCTACAACGGAAGCTAAAGCTTCTTAAACAGGGGTCAGCAAACTTTTTCAGCAGGGGGCCGGTCCACTGTCCCTCAGACCATGTGGTGGGCCGGACTATATTTTTGGGGGGAGAAATGAACAAATTCCTATGCCCCACAAATAACCGAGAGCTGCATTTTAAATAAAAGCACACATTCTACTCATGTAAAAACAGCAGGCAGGCCCCACAAATAACCCAGAGATGCATTTTAAATAAAAGGACACATTCTACGCATGTAAAAACATGCTGATTCCCGGACTGTCCACGGGCCAGATTGAGAAGGTGATTGGGCCGCATCCGGCTCACGGGCCTTAGGTTGCCTACCCCTGTCTTAACAAACAAATGCAAATGCAGAATAATAATAATAATCAGGGAATTTCGGCGTTCAGAGAGCATCCTCTTTAGTATTGAAACAAACATGACACAACATAAATCTGCTTCAAGACTGAGAGGAAAATTCATTGCAAACAACTAAACATAATATCCTCCCAAAGCCACAGAGTGAAATATGACGAAGGAAGGTCAGCTAGATAAATTCCACCTTTTAAAATGGTTTATAGTTGGGCCAAAGATTGTCAGTTCACTTTTCCCAGTCACCACCCATCCATCAACCAACCTTTTTGTTGGACAAAGCAAACCAATTAAATTTCCAGCCCCTGATATAGTGACAACTTAACTTTGACTAATTATGTGTGTCTGTGGTGTGTGTCCTTTTTGGTCGGCAGACAGTTTCACCTGCCAGGAGTGTCCGCTGGACATGTGGTCGGAACCTGGCAAAGAAGAGTGCTTCATGAAACAGCTGCTCTACATCCACTGGGGCGACGCCATCTCCATCATCCTCGTTTCTCTCTCGACCCTTGGCCTCCTGGCGACCTTGTGGACCTTGGCCCTCTTCACCCGCCACTCTGCCACGCCAGTGGTGAAGTCTGCTGGGGGCCGCCTCTGCTTCCTGATGATCGCCTCCCTGGCCGCTGGTTTCTGCAGTGCCCTCTTCTTCGTGGGCCGTCCGACAGAGCTGGTTTGCTTCGGCCGCCAAACGGTCTTCAGCCTCTGCTTCACCACCTGCATTGCCTGCATCACTGTCCGCTCCTTCCAGATCATCTGCGTCTTCAAGATGGCCGCCCAGCTGCCTCGGGCCTACGATGCCTGGCGGAAGTACAACGGGCAGAGGGTCTTTGTCGCCGTCGTCTTGGTCATCAAGGTCTTCATCGTAGCGCTCAATATCTACTTCAACAAGCCGGCACCCTTCCGAACCCGGGTGAGTGACCACCCGGCCATACTCATCTTGATGTGCAACCAGGACTACCGCGCCACCACGGTCTTCAACAATGCCTTTGACATGAGTTTGTGTTTCCTTTGCTTTTGCTTTGCCTACATGGGGAAGGCCTTGCCGAAGAGCTACAACGAAGCCAAATACATCACCTTGTGCATGACGGGCTATTTTGGCTCCTGGGTGGCCCTCTTCCTTGTCATGTCCATTTTCGAAGGGTTCGTGGTGATTATCTTTGAAGCGGCCACCGTCCTGTCCAACTTGTTCAGTATCTGCGTGGGCTACTTTGGCCCCAAATGTTACATCCTTTTCTTTCACCCGGAGCGCAATACGACCGCCTTCTTCCAGGATGCCATTCAAAGCTACACCATGAGGCAGGAGTAATTCCAGAGCCTCGTGGAATGAAATGGACACCTGTTGATTTGTACATTGCTGCTCGGAGAGAAGGTTGTGTGGCGAGTTCCCGCCCCCCCCAGTGGAAATAAAGACACATGACACAATTATTAAGGTTAATGGGCTAAATAAGGCCACAACTTTATTGGTTACAGGTGATGAGCAGTATTGGCTTAGGCATTGGTCCTAACCGACTATCTGGCTTCAGCCTGTCTGCTTGAAGTCCGGGAAGGGTTAACCACCAGTAGGGGGAGTCCTGCTGATGCACATCAACTAGGAACTCCCCCAGGGTCACTGTTCGGGGGCGTGCCTTAGGCCCTCACCTCCATAGGCTTTGGACAGGACCACGCCCCCCGGAATCCTTTATCGGACTATCCTTCAATATACGGGGCAGGTGATGGCGTTACCTCTCCTCTTCCATCTATAGAACTATACCAATGCCTAACTGCAAATACCCAGAAAGTTGTGATGATTTGCTACGAGGTAGGCGAAAACCAAGTGGCTGGTGCCAATTTGACAAGTGGAAAAATTCCTACCAGGCCCCTCAACGGCGACCAACCAAGGTCCATAGCAAGGTCAAGGAACAAAAACCTTAAAGGGTGGGAGGGTGGGAAACAGGAACAGCTGATAGGCGGGAAAAGAGGGAGATCCCTGGCTGCACCTGCGTTAAATAGGGCAGGCCACGCCCCCAGAGCCGGCCGATTGGCTGGCGAGGGGGTGATGTGGCTGGGGATTCTCCCAATCGCGTGGGGGCTGGGGCTGTGACGCCTGCAATCTGCAGGGCGGAAGTGGCTTTCCCTCACTCTTCCTTCCTTGTCACTGGGGTTCTTTGGTGAAGCTGATTCCGGATGAGCAAATGGAAAGGACTTCTTCACACAGAGTAGAGTTAAACCCACGGAACTCACTGCTGTAAGATGCGGCCATCAACTCGGGGTTATAGAATAATAGAACCATGGAATTGTAGGGACCCCAAGGGTTGTCTAGTCCCCAAACTTGGCCCTCCAGATGTTTTGGGACTACAATTCCCATCATCCCTGACCACTGGTCCTGTTAGCTAGGAATGATGGGAGTTGTAGTCCCAAAACATCTGGAGGGCAAGTTTGGGGATGCCTGCTGTAGATGGAATCCTTTAAATCAGCCTTTCTCAACCTATGGGTCCCCAGATGTTGTTGAACTACAACTCCCATCACCCATAGCTAGCAAGGCCAGAGCTCAGGGATGATGGGAGTTGTAGTCCAATGACATCTGGGAACCCACACGTTGAGAACTGCTGCTTTAAATGTTTCATTATGTTTTTATATACATTGGAAGACTCTCAGGGTGGCTGGGACAAAACAGTCAGATGGATGGGATGTAGATAAAAAAAATATTCTTATTCTTAATATGGAATAGGATGTCCCTATTTTCATCATAGAAAAGTTGGAGGGTATGTTTGGCCCCTGTGAAAGCAGGATGCTGGACCGGATGGGCCATTGGCCTGATCCAGTATCCAGTTTCTTCTCCTCTCCCTAACCACAGCACCACGTTCTGCCAGGCTTTAGAATTGTGAAAACACCACCACATACTGCTTTATTACCAATGTTCACGGCGAATAAAGTCCAATCCCTATGTGGAATCTGAGTCTTTTATAAAGCCGGCCTACTTACTGTTTGATTCTCTTGAAAAGCTCTGATTTTCCCCTCTTTTTTCTGCCAACTCCTTCCTCTCCTGGTCTCCTCTATCTTCAGACCAGTCTACGCCAACCAGCTCAGAGACAGTGAGGCCCATAGCAAACATTCTCAGATGCTCTTTCTGTAAGTTGGGGCAAAGCTTCAAGAGGATTTCCCCCCTCCCTCTCTCTCTCAGCCTGAACTCTGAATTTTCATGGCTTCAGTACCTTCAAATCAGCTCTTTAATGCTATTGAAACACCTCTTTTTTTTTTTTTTTGAAGATGATAAACGCAATTCTGAGTGTGTGAAAGTTGGAGGGGGAAGTTAGCGGGAGAGAAGAGAAGAGAGAAAAGGGATTTTGAGTGTTCCCTGCTAGCACACTGGCAAGCTTTCAACTCTCTTGTCCACCTGTTTCAATTTGTCTTGTTCAGGACAGTAGGACCACCAGAGCTGGTCTTTCAGGCAAGAAGACCAGGACCCCACTCAGTAAAACAACTCACACAAAAAATTTGGGATCCTTCTGGGGTATGGTTACCAGATTTTTTTCAATGAATCAGGGGACACTTTTTTTTTTTTAAAGCTGAGTAGCAACAGGGACCCCTTCATGGATGTTCCCCTGATTTTGGGAAAGATGGAGGGCACAAGGAGGAGATGACGACAGAGGACGAGATGGTTGGACAGTGTTCTCGAAGCTACCAGCATGAGTTTGTTCAAACTGCAGGAGGCAGTGGAAGACAGGAGTGCCTGGCGTGCTCTGGTCCATGGGGTCACGAAGAGTCGGACACGACTAAACGACTAAACAACAAGCAACAGGGAGTCAGTACAGTCATACCTCTTGTTACGTTTGCTTCAGGTTAAATCTTTTCAGGTTGCGTCCTGCGGTGACCCGGAAGTACCGGAAAGGTTTACTTCTGGGTTTTGCCACTCGTGCATGCGCAGACGCTCAAAATGATGTCACGCGCATGCTCAGAAGCAGTGAATCACAACCCGCAGACGCGCAGACACGGGTTGCGTTCTGCTCATGTTGCGAATGGGGCTCCGGAACGGATTCTGTACAGTGGTACCTCGGGTTAAGAACTTAATTCGTTCTGGAGGTCTGTTCTTAACTTGAAACCGTTCTTAACCTGAAGCACCACTTTAGCTGATGGAGCCTCCTGCTGCTAACGCGCTGCCGGAGCACAATTACTGTTCTCATCCTGAAGCAAAGTTCTTAACCCGAGGTACTATTTCTGGGTTAGCGGAGTCTGTAACCTGAAGCATCTGTAACCTGAAGTGTATGTAACCCGAGGTACCACGGTGGTGGGGATGGTGAGGCAAAAGACCCTGGGCCCAAGCACACATGCATATTGTATAAAGGTGCAAAGTGTTGATTTAAAGCAGAGTCTGGTGCCCAGCGGAAGGATGAGGAATACGTGCTGCATACTCTATATTGCTTTATTTACAGTTCAAAGCTGGTATATTACAGAAAGACATCTTGCCTCTGCCGGAGCAGAAAATGCATCCTCTCTCCTCGACAGCTCGGAGAGAATCACACAGTGAAAAACAGGAAACCAGTGTACGTCACATCCAGTCTCCCTTTCCCGTGAGAAACTCCAACAGTACAGACTGTGGAATGTAAACACCTGTCTCGTGACAAGCAGAGCTGCACAGTGAAGGAAAGCAGAAACCAACATCCTCCCCTTTCTGTGAACATCACTGGGCAGCGTGTTTGCACAATATCAGTACAAACCCAACTTCTGCACATAGGTACAGTGTTGATCCCTTGATACAATCTTGGACAATACATCAGCAGGAATTTCATTACCTGGCATATAGGACACCGTTACGAGTCCCTTCTGAATACATTCCCTAGCATGCTGCAATTTTAATTGCAAGTGCTTTGTGCTTTGCTTACAACCTTCAGACTTCAGCAAAGCCAAACATGCTTTGTTGTCCTGGTAAACCTGGATTGGACATTTGACAGGAATTTTCATATCTTTGCACAATTGTACTAACCATTCACAATCCTTAAGTGAATAAGACAGTGCATTGAGTTCGGCTTCACAAGTACTTAAGCTAACTGTTGTTTGCTTCTTGCATGACCAATCAAAAAGACTCTGATTGTACATGTAGCAAACTCCAGACGTACTTTTCCTGTCTGTAGTGTCACTTCCAAAACTTGCATCTGCAAATATCTCAAGACCACCAGACTCTGCTTTAAATCAACACGTGGTTATGGGCCCAGAAGTCGAATCGGAGTGCCGGCAAAGGATCGGAATGCAGAGGGACAGATCGGAACGGAATCTGCTCTGCGCGTAGAAGTGATTGATGAGGTATGTGCTACTGCTCCGGGCAGCCTGCCAGCTTCAGGTTAATGGCTTTATGGCTGGACTTTGAACTTTTAAAGCCGGTTTTGCCGGGAATAGGCAAAAGGCTCCCAGGCACAAGTCACTATGCTGGGGAAATCGAAGTAACTTTTAAGTGCGCCTTTGTAATAAGGCAGCTGCAGCAGTGACGCAGCAAGAATTAAAGCAGCATATATATGACGCTGAAGGCTAATGCCAGAGTCATGATGGCCCTTCAGGATGCTTGTGGGATTCCTAAGCTCAACAAGAAAAATTACAGCGACTGGGTTCAGTATGCAGAGGGAATTCTGCGGAAAGAGGGTTTGTTTGAGGTGATTACAGAAACCCCCCCAGTTCCAGTTACAGAAGCATGGGAAGCTAAGGATTCCAAAGCAAGGGGAACTCTTACATTGATAGTATCCCCAGAAGAGCTCTGTCTATTGCGTGATAAGACCTCAGCCAGAGAAATTTGGGACGCTTTGAGAGAGGCTCACTTAAGGACAGAAGCTGGATCCACTATGTTTTACTTTAACAAGCTGCATAATATGGCTCTTGCTGAAGGTGGAGATGTGCGTTTACATCTGATAGAGATGCAAAATCTGAGACATGAGCTGCAACAGAGAGGACTCAACTTTCCAGAGGCTGTGTATTCTTTCATGATACTACAATCTTTGGGTTCAGGTTGGGAGTCTGTTGCAACCCAGATTGCTGTGCAACCAACTGCTCAGCTGACAGTGGACTTTGTTACTGCCGTGATTTTAAATGAAGCAGATCGCCGGGGTGCTAGCTGCATGGGCAAGGGGAGTCTTCACAGACGTCATCCCATAGTGCAGTGGAACCACCAGATGGCGCCAAAGCTTTGAAGGCAGTGAAATGCTACTCGTGTGGACGTCTAGGCCATATGAAGAGGGAATGCAGACATCCCAGGGCCAAGACAGAGCAGCGCAGCGAAAGCTCATCGCGCGGAAAAGGCCGAGGCAAAGGCAAAGGTCCGGTGTCTAGGACAACGCAGCACAA